ACAAATCCTGAGCTACTCAGCCACTTCGGATTTGGTTGAGAGGTTTTAGCGAAAGTCGCCGCACGGCAGGATTTTCCCAGTCCCAAGATTTGCGAGCACAGAGTGCTTAACTATGGGGGGGCTGTCGGGTTTCTCGAGTTGGTTAGAAGTGCAAAAGAAATACTTCGTCCTGATATCGCGTGACTTTGCCGATTAGCTGTTGTTGATTATGCGCCTGAAGATGCGCATTCGATGTGATACGTGGAGTACATATCCACTACACAGCCTGGGAACTTCCAAGAGAATATTTAACAATGTTCACGAGCATTTCGGAAGCTGGGTAATACAGCGTGATCACTGATTCGAAGATGGGCTGACCATCCGAAGCGAGGAGTATGGCCCATGGAAACTGGAAGAACATTCGTTCAAATGAGCAGAAAAACGGAGCATATTTGACTGGATTGTGATATACGTGAAATTGGTCATGACCGGAAGCTGGTGTTGAGTCAATACCGTGCAGGACGAATGCGGGTGGTCGTGGCGCTTGGTCCAGGCAGGGATCATCCTGGCGCTAGCCCGGTCCTCTTTTTCGGCGTTTGCCGTGAGCTGCCACCACATTTCCTTCCCCGTTTTCTATGGGCTCTACGTGCGCTATGCTACCTCTTGATACCCGCATCTCCTTCTTGATGCATCCCATGACCCTGGTCGATGCATCGTCTACTCCGATCGCACCTTCGATGTGCCCACGAAGCCCGGTCTACACGAGCGTGTCGCACCTCAACCGGAATGCATACTAGGAGGCCAGTCTCCATCGGTGATGAAGCATGCTGTTGCTATCACTGAGGGAGACATGTCCAAGGCACGATGCTCTACCGATTGTCGCGAAGTTCTTTCCGCGCTTCTCTGTGGCTCACCGACGCCGCAGTGCCACGCCATCGTTGGAAACCTTCTCTCCGTACATGAGACTTGAGGCCGGCTGGGGAAACCATGTGCGTCGTTTTGTGTTCGCTGGCTCCCTCGAGCCCAGCATCATGTCGCATGTATTCGCTCACATTCGTCTGGAAGGGCTAACGTTTCTTGGGGAGTAGAGACACATCACCTCGACGTACCGCGCCGTTCACGTGTTCAGTGGCCTGCCGCAGGCTCGGTCTATAGACACCAGTCAAAGTCGATACAACCCGTTCCATCTACCATCATGATGCGGAATATGCCCCCGAATCTTCTGCGGTCGTCGCGCAAGTCGCTATAAACGAAATCCGCGCTGCGTTAGACGCTCAAACCCAAACCCACTCGCTCAATACGGATTCGCAGCGTGTCTGGTCGGTCAAACGCCGAGCGCGTATATGCGCGTCTGCAGCAAACTGTGAGTGCTAGCACTGTCATTCTGTGCGATAGGATCTAGTTGTATACTGGAACTCGGCTATCGCATACCACACCTTCACAAATTCCGCGGATGAGCAGCAGCAGGGCTTGCTCGGAACAATGCAGCGATGCATCCTGCATCAGCTCAAGTCAAGGGAGGTGGACGGTTACCTCCTGATGCGAGAGATGTTCAAGAAGGAATCACAGTTGACAAGGGTATTCATAGTGTAAACACTGCTTGCTGGTTGGCGGTCGATGGCATGGCGTCTGACTGGAATAACCTTCGTAAGATGGTTTCGTCTATGGCAACCTCAGCTCCACAAGAGCAGTTATGCTGGTTTGATATTTGCAGACATCTACTTCGCCTTGCTTTGATGACGGGGCTCTCCTGATGGTTGTAGAACAGAGCAGGCGCAGGACGCCAAGAGCAACAGTACTTCACAGAGTAATCACTCCGAACCACGGACTAATGCAAAAAAATGCTCAACATGTTTGACCAACTGTTTCTCTCCATAGCACCATTGCAAAACTTGCTTCACTCACTTCGTGATGCAGTGCGATGCTTGAGAATTGCGATTCACACCAGGTCCCGTGATGGTGTCGCACGTTAATCGTGAAGATCGTCGCGTACCCCCCAGCGATGCACTCCTCACGCAGAGCACGCCCTCACGCAACACGTCCCTACACGCATCTTCGGCATGCCTGGAATTCGCCATAATCACAACATGAACCCGCACTGCATAGCCCTTCCTTGCCTTTCTGCGTGAGGCTGCATCATATCTTTTTTCGTCGCTCCAAGCATCGTCGACAAACGTCTGCCACGACTCGCTCATCCTGACGAGGCATCCTCTTGACACATCCCTACAGATATGTCCGACGTGCACACGAATCCAAAACCATCAAGACGCAAACACGTACCGCACACTCTTCTCTCTCATCGCTCAAAGCCGATGTGGGGATCATCGATGAACGTCTCGCACAACTCGATCTCCTCACGACGCATCTCCACCATGCACCTCTACGCGCATCCGCAGCATGTACACAGCAGGAACTCGCGCCTCATACACGTGCCCTGTTCTGCGCGTGACGCGACATAAACCCTTTCCGAAACGGAAATTGAGATGACATCTAGGAGCGCGAGATGCACCTCTACGAATACAAGATTGGACACATTACATGCACCTCCACACTGCTCTGCGTGGTGTGGAACCTATTGACGGATTTCTCCCACAAACCGATTGTATATCGATTGACTCGTTACGCTCGCGTCGTTAACACATACCTGGTAGAGTGAGTGAGGGAAGACGTAGGAACCTATGTTCGTTTCGGTCCAGTTGGGGGAGACGCCGAGGCAAGCCCAGCTACAAGTGTTGCAGCTGCACGAGGCAATTACGCTGCAAATACCTACTTCAACTGCTTCCTTGAGTTCCCCAAGATCGATGGCGTCTTCGGCTGTTCTACTAGCAACGGTCCCGTGGAATATGTCACTCAAGAGGAAAACCCTCATGGCTCGACGACGGGCGAACGTGGAAACTTGACAGAGCCATGCCCAAAGATCTGCTGGAATTGATACCAAAGCCAATTATCCACAGACCCCGTATGCTGCGCACTGACACGAGTGCAGCGGAGTTCCAGGACATCCTTGGCGGGACCGGTTCTGTAAGGTTAGCAGCGAGGACCCACGACACCATCAGTACCTGCCCTTCCGAAGAGAGGAGTCGGAGAGGTTCCTTCACAGGGATCGAGGAGTGCAAACCACTCCGCATTATTTTCCGCCACGTACGATGAAGTGATCAGTAAACCATTTCTCCCTGCCACCGCCACAATCGATGCTTCCGTCGAAGGCTGGCCGAGACACTCTGCTGAGTAGCGGTATTTTGGTTGTGTGCAGTACTCGTTTGCATAGTGTTCGCCTGATGCGATGAGTGCATCATTGTGGGTTTGCGCGATGAGACCGAACTTGCCTACACAAAGGCTATCCTCCGCCTCACCCCGCCGTACGCTACGGAAAGAGTCGAGACCTGGTGTAAGCCTCATGCCATCCCTCCAGTCGAAAGATCCTGTTTCATGGACTTGCTTTTTCGTCTCCAGGCGCTCCTCGGGTGTCCTGTTGAACTAGTCGGGGTTGAACTGGATCGAGGAATGCTTCTTGCCGTGGACAGTGTAGCTATCCTTGCTGCACATAAGTCCTCACTTTCCTGCGTGTCGTCACCCAACAATCTCTACGCGGAGTGTCAGGGATACCTTATCAAGAAAACGATCCTGCGGGGTCACGAGCTTTCTCTAATTTCTATATCGAAATGCATCAGACCAAAAGAGATGGTAGAGCCACGCTTCAATCCTAATTTCCAAGACCCTCATCATATCACAGCTACCTCGCAATCACAGGAATTGGCTCTACTCATGTACATGGTGTAATGTAGCCAACGAGTCGATCCAAAAAGCTCCTACCGGACTAGAGAAAGCAGTCATTCAACGAAAACTTCAAGCCGGCCAATTGGGAATGCGAGTCAACGTGTAAAGGGTGTCTATATACCTTCAACAGAGCAACTCGTAGTAATGAGCCGGAAACGAGATGAGAACCGGGTCACGGATCTAAACAAGAAGGCCGACAGCGTCGATGACAGGAACAATCCAGTAAACTTGGAGTCTTCGCTGGCCTCAACATGCGGGTTCTTACAGTGTATACAGTGGCTGAGATCCCATTGCTCCCCAACCATTCGGTCAACAAGGTTGCACTACACATCACTCTCGGCTGGGGTCAAGGGGCGGCCGGGACTTGCTTGTCTTTGCTGTAAGCTGTGTCGAGTATTCGGATGGGCAGCTTAGGGTGGCTACCCATAATTGTCCTAGTCTTGTTGGGATAGAGATGCGTGCACTAGAATTTGCACCACGAGGTAAGTGTCTTTCACTCAGCAATGCACGTCATCATTGACTGACCTCTGGAGGGCTGTGTCCAGTTGTTTGCCTCCACATGGTGGGTGAAACAGAACGTCAAGATCCCGACTGCTCTTTGTGAGCTTGCGCTAGCGTGCACATTCCACCCCAGCCGCATTATCGACTACTTCTTGCCTGGCAGATGTGAATGGTGTGTTGCAGGCGTGCTTGCCGTTCTACCAGGCTGTCCACCACAATTTCCGCTGGGCTTGGCACACCTGACTTTGCGTCACGATCGTGTTGAGCACTCCACTCGCCCACAACAACACCCTCCACGGCACACCAGAGCGCCTTGAATTCAAAGCACTCCCCGCCTCACCACGGCCACTCTCACCCACGCTCTCATGATGCTTGGAAAGCGCGTGCGCTCGAGCAGCCCCACATGCAGCTCTGCAACGGCGCGTGAGGCAGCTCGACCAGGCAAACGCGCGCCGCTGTCCTCCCCCTCATCCCCCAACAATCGCACTCGGTGTGTCTGCACTGCTATCCACGACTGCGCTGCCTGTGCCATCGATCCTCGTCCTCGAAAACCACGCGCGAGCTCGCTCGAGCCTGACACCCCGCCCCGACTGCGCACCGCCAGTCCTCACACGCCACGAGGTCGCTCTCTCGACCGCAGTCCACGCCCGCTGCCTCTCACACGGCAGAACCTCGACTCGTTCAACCCAAGCACACGCGAGAATCTCGACTTCTTCGACCCCAGCACAGGCTCGTCAGCGGACATGACGGTCCCACGCAACCCATCGCCGACGCGCAATGCTTCGGCCAATGCAGACAGGAAGCAACTCGCCGGCTACAACATCACAGTCGACAAGGAAATTGCGCTGCCAAGGGTGCTTGCCGAATTTGTGGATACACTCAAGCGCAGTCGCGACGTGCAGCCCTCTCCGCATGCACAGATGATTGTCGACACACGACGGGCCGCCTCGGTGGAGAATGAGATCTTGGCTCGCCAGATGCTGGCGGAACATGTACTCTTCCGCGGCGAGGCCTATAACGACGGAATCAAGGGCTTGACGCTGAAGGACCAGGTGAACCTAGTCAAGGCCTTCACCCCTGCACCGCCGCGCAAAACTGTCCCGGAGCTGTGGGGCAATCTCGCGCGCCCACAGCCCGACAGCTGCATTGGCTATATCACCGCGGATGAGGCAACCTCGCGCACGCCCGCCCTGCACATGCCCTTCACTCGAGAGGAGGACGAGATAGCCGATTGGTATGTGACACAGCCGGCATTTCCATTCCCGTCCCAGCTAACACACCCAGGTTCAGTGTCGTTCATCACGCGAACACGCACTTCCCCTTCTTGACTGCGCAGTGGAAGTCCGCCTGCTTCGGCGAGAGCCAGGTCCAGGCCTCGTACCAAGCCGCCCGCGACGGTGCCCTCATTGTCAACTACATGTACCAATTCTACACGCTCGCATACCCCAACCGCGCCCCCTCGCAGCTCGACACATGCCATATGTCCGTCACGACAGAAGGTTACACCATCACGCTCTGGATCCACTGGCGTGAGATCTCCACTGAAGATGGCCAAGTCTACTTCCGCATGGAAATTGTTGACGCTGTGCACATGAGCAAGGTGAAGGATTTGCAGACTGTCCGTGGCATCCTGCACAACTACGTCGAATACGCACTCGGCCAGCGCTTGGCAACGATAAAGACTGCGCTGCCAGCCTTCTGGCTGAATCCTGCCAGGAAGAAGCCCATGTCGCAACCCACAGGCACTGATGCGAGTTCACACCTGAACTTCAATGTGAAGCTGCCGACGCCGTCGAGTTCTGGAACAGCGGGCAGGCCGGCCAAGAAATCCAAGCGCAGCTTACCGGAGGAGTCGTGATGGGCATAGATGGATAGAGCATAGGCGTTGTGCTTGGAGTTTGATTACAATGGCATGCATAGGCGGGGTGGGCTTTTGTGATTATTGGACGGTTTGGACATGAGTCACGATTCATGATTTACGACTTAGCAGAGAGCTCTCTCTCTCACTCCACGATAAATGGGCTTACGCGGCTACGATTATGATGTTCTGGCTTCTACATGTAGCTTATCCAGAAGCTTTTGCGGCGAGAAAAAAAGTCGGTAGTATCCTAAGCTTGATCATTGCGACTGTATGCAAGCAAGCGAAATGAAAATTTGTTCCTGCAAGCCTGGATTGATGAATGAGACCTCTTGTGCAAGCATGTGTATCAGCTGAATTAGATACGTAGACAACGAGTGTGCAGTCATGGTTGGAGAAGGTAATGACGCAAAACATGAGAGAGAACTTATGGGGATGTCTATTGTGTTCGCCACCACTCACAAACAGGAGTTGAATCTTGTGTCGGTTTACGTTCGTGAGAACCTTTCCATCCTGGTTGAAGAAAATTCAAGATATGTTGCTTCAGCTGAGCCTGACTAGAAGTTTACAATGATTGAAAACGTTATTAGTTATATCAACGAGACAAACTAAGTATGCGTCAAGGGCCTACATACAAATAAATTAGCTCTCTTCTCCTGGAGGACTCGACGCATTTCAAGTTCATTGACTCATGACTTTTCTTTGCGATAGTCTCCTTGAAGCACGCCATCTCTTCAGGTACAACAGCTCTGACGAAGTGTAACTTGTGCTTCAGTATGTCATGGCTAGTGGGTTGCGGACACGAGGCGAGGGTCTTATTTTGGGCCTTTGGAGCGAGGCGGGAAAGGGGTAGAGATAAGAGAATTATCAACGGTGTTGATTTTGCATTGTTACAGACATTGTACGGCAGGGATCTGTGGTCTGACGACATTATTTGACGGTAGGATTAATGCTGAACTGGATGATGTGATTATATCGTTCACCTGGTCATCCCAATAGCTGACCATATCCAGTTCAACGGTTGGTTCCGCGGCAATGCATTGGGGTATCTCGAGTGAATGGTCATAATTCAACCCCATATCAACTCATTACACTTTTCGTCAAGTTGGTAAGAAGCTCAACGAGAGTGACTGGTCTTTTGGTCAGGCGACGCAGAGGGTGTAGGCAGAAAGGTTTGCCCTTGGTGAGCTCAGAGAGACCGAAACGAGGCGACGGCAAGCAACTGCCATAGTTGTCAGTATATCTAGGTAGGATCATCAGGGGTGACTGGGGCGGATGTATTTACTGCCATATCCTGAATAGACCGCCGGACTGGCGCGCATTCTCGCGGACGTCGAGCGAGGAAGGAATTCGCATATACCTATTCACCCGTGGTTCGGCTGTTCTCAAAGCTAGCCCAACTGGATTTCATGGCGAGACCGATGGTATGGAGACTTGCTATCGAGAAGGGCAGGATAGAAATTACCGCGCACACAATTGAGAAAAGCATAAAATTACGACAGAGTATCCATCGTATGTTGATCTTGGAGAAGTATACCGCGTCCGTGTGTGTTGAAAGGGTTTTCTGACTTCAACCATAGCTGCGGCAACGACGTCTGGCAGAAACTTGTTTGAAAAACTAAAGAAGAAACCGGCCTGTAGAGACGAATGCTACGTTCGCTCAGTAGAGAATCTCATGAATTGCTTTAGAAAGACCATCGATGATCATCGATGGTAGGGTATTTCTGATGGTATAGGTACAAGAGATCCAGACGTCAATTGTAGAAGCTAGAAATCGGACGGCCGGTTATATCAAATTCGTAGCACTAATTCTTAATTGAATTCGCTGTCAAATGGTCCTTCCATTTCATTCAAACCGCTTTATGCTTCTAGTGAACTGGTTGGAGACCGATGCCGAGGACAGAACGAGTGAACATTCGCAGGCAAGAGTTTCCCAAAATCTTAGAGCACAGAGAAAAGTAAAAGACAAAGCACAGTGAACTCTTCGCTGTTTGGAGCAGCACACCTTGTAAGAACGTCGTCTGAGGGCCGTTGTACAAACTTCTGTCACTAAGGAGCGCATTTTTGGATATGCTACTTGAAGTGGTTGCGACTCCGGCAAATAGTCAACGCTCAACAAGTTCCTCTGAAATGTAGAAGAGCAGAAAATGATGGTCAATTATTCGATGTTAACTTGCGTATCTCGCTGCTTAAAAGCCGACGAACAGGATCAGGGGTCAAGCCTGATTATGGAGTGCGGTTACGGTGTGATCAAGGGAGTAGACAATTAAATTCTCTTTGAGCATGCCTTTCCATCTTTATTAACCCTCTCCAGGTTCTTGGGACAGGAGGATGGTTTGTTCTAGGACTTCATAGAGTTTGTCGGAATCCCAGAGGGCAAGGACAATGCTCGGAGATGTATTTCCTGTAGCGAAATTGCTGCAGTCCCTTTATGAGTTGAAGATAAACACGACAACATAATCTGTGGTTGCTAATTGGGCATGAGATTAACGTTCATTCCCTCGCTAACGGGGTGACCGTTGGTAAGCAGCCGTCTACCTGTGACTTGACAGTGACCTTTCGAAAGTGAGGCAAGGATAGGCTACGGGCAGTTGCGTTGAGTCGAGGATCTCCGGAACGTTATACCCTGGCGTTCCTATCTTCTTTTTGTGAAACCAGTCACGTCGTTTAGCCCGAACTTGCTTTGCACTAGAACCGTCGTAATCAACGAGAACTTCCAAGAGCTCGGCAATACAGATTAAACACATTTCGAGATTCTGAAGGCATTTCCAGCAGCTTGAAATAGGAGTGTTGCAATCGGTCGAGCAGGAAGCAGTAGAACGGCAATCCGGCACAAATCTGAAAGCTCTTGGGATTTGGCGCGTAAGGGATTCCTGATTGGTGTCCCGAGTACCGAAAGCGGTACATTCAGTGTGAAGATTCGGTGCAATCTTGTGCAGAGCTAGTTTCAGTTCGAACCTACGAGCACCGTTCTCTTGGACTTAGTCTATTCATGAAGAAAGGTTTGATCCTCCAGATTCTTCCAGGTCGGGGTGGCTTGGCGACTGAGGTGCCAGGTTCGGGAGAAAAACCTTCCCCCATGTGGACCTCGAGTTCGATGTGGATGGCAGTGTCACAAAGCTCCAAACGTGTACTCCCTTCGGCGGCAAGTCAAGCACTGGTAGGTAGAGTAATGTGCTTTGCAATCAGGACTTGGATCGAGGTGAGTACATGAGAAATAGACGTAGAAATCCACTGCTGAACATGAACAATACTCGCACTGGTGATGAAAGGTAGTGGAAACAATCTGTGAAGACACTGAGCTGACAAAGGGCATAAGTGTAGTTGGTGGCGTCGGTGTGTCAGTTGTATTGAGATTATCAAGATACGTACTGACTCATTGCAGTAATGCAATTAAAAGCAGAGAGATGCGTGCCGAAATTGACTCAGTTTAGCGGAAGCAGGGGCTGGTATCAGTATGCTCATCAGAACTTAAACTGCTATAACTTCGTTGCGAACGACCGACACACAGGATGGCAGCAAACCAAGTAGAGGACTCGATAAGTCATGGACTTTGTGCACAAGAAAAATAACTGCGGGAATATACTTCAGGAGATAAAAAGGAAATGACGGTAAGATAGAAGAGGCGAGTTTATGTCTGGCCATCTTTGTATTCACGAACACACTTGGCTTGAAGTTCTCTTTCACTGGTAGTCGTGTTCACAAACCTGAGCATGCCCTTGCGCCGAATTTCTCTCCGATCGTGAACTTGATCCCCTCGCTGATAGCCAGCCTGTCCCCGATCAGGAGATGGACTCCTGGCCTTGCTAACGCCCACCCTCACGAATATGTCCGGGATGGCCGGCTCCTATCACTCTTTCTCTATGGACCTATCCAGACATATTGTGGCCGCAGTGAGGCGGAAGGGGGGGCTTCATATACCCGTCCAAGACGTACGCGGCCAAGTCCGCAATGTGAACCGAGATCAAGATTGAAATCAATATTGTATCCAGTATCAATCGATCGTGACGGACAGTGTGAAAAATTCAACTACGTTTGGGTGCTGGTGGTTTTCAGTGTCAGCAAGCTCGATGCTCTTACTGGATCTGGTGGGTGGGTATTCCCTGTAAATTTGCTGTGTTCTATTTCCGTGACTTGGATATTGCTTGTACTGTCCAAGGTATCCCAACTATGGGCATACGCGATCACAAGATGTCTAGAATTGGGGGATGTCAGAACGATGATCGACGGAGATTGTGCGGAGAGGCCTTGGCTGAGTATCGTTGTCAGCTCCAAATTCTACGTGAATCACATCGTCTGGGGCGATTTTGATAATCTAGCATCCGGAGCGGTGGCGGCCTTGACAAAATTGTCCAGGAAGCTAGTATGTGATCTACCTCGTTGAGAAATGGTGGGGTCAATCTCCCTTGCTATGTGCAAATTTGATCAAGGATCCCAGCGAATTTGGATCTGCTATCCTGAAGATACATCACTAGCAGTAGAGATGCTAGGCGGCAGTAATCTTCAATGCATTCGAGACAAAATTGCTGGTGCAATGGATAGTATCGAAGATGTTGGTATTTAGGATGCCCTTTCCCAGCACTATGTACTGCTCACTATTTTACAACCACCTGTGATGCATATTTTCCAGATAAGTGTACATCGAATGCGTCTCCAGCGCTGTTACAAACCATGTAGCAAATCGTTTTCCAGATCAACATCTAACCAACCTCCAACCAACCTCCAAAATCATCCTCAGCATCAGCTTCCAAATCATCTCATGGGCTATTTGAGTCGAGGACGTGTAGCAGCGAGAGTAAGGTAGCCGAGCGAGGCGAGGAGCTAGAATGACGAAGACGCTTGTGTGGCACAGCAGAAGATAAGAGCCTGCAAATGTGACAGCAGGAGGAAGACCCCCGGAATGTAAAGATTGTCAGAAGAGCAGATTGCCGCACTTAAATTACAGCGGCGACAGGGGAATAGGGCCCGAAGAGCGACTTCACAGGGGCCGGCTCAGCAACCGGCTCAGCAACCGGCTCAGCAACCGGCTCAGCAACCGGCTCAGCTACGGGCTCTGCTACGGGCTCAGCTACGGACTCAGCGACAGGCTCAGCAATTGGCTCAACAACAGGCTCAGTGACTGGCTCGGCGACGGGCTCAGCGACAGGCTCAGCAGCAGTCTCAGCGACGGCATCCGAACCCGCTTCTACACCAGCATCTCCAGCAACGTCAACGGCGACCTTTGCATCAACGGCGAGTCCGTCGGCTGCAGCGTCCTTGCTATTGGGAGCAGGCACAGCGGTGATTGCGATCTGAGCCGGAGGCGACACGTTTGGCGGGCCCGCTTCTGCTGCGTGGTTTGATGCAGCTGAAGTGGCTGCGACGGTATTGTGGTCAGATGTGGTTGACGTGGCCGCAACGGTAGCGTCGTCGCTAGAACCTTGCGAGCGATTGTCCTTCGCGATGTTGGTCTTGCTCTTCGGCTTCTTGCGACTCGTGTTCTCCTCCTTAGACGCGGCTCCTGCTCTGGCCCTCGCTCGCTTTGTCTTCCGATTGGACGAGCTGGCGGGATTGGCGACCTCTTGGTGCGGGGACGTGACTGTGGAGTCTGGCACGGCCGCGTCGTCGCTCATCTCCTCGCCGAGAACGATTTGGGCCGCAGTCGGCGGACCAGCAGGGCTCATGTTTGCGCGCTTGGCGGCGGTCGAGGCAGCGGGGGCAACAACTGCATCACTCTGATTACGCGCGGCAGCACCATCTTGTTCGAAGATCGACTCAATCTCAAGGTCCGCCTCGTCGTCGCGTACCTCCTCCGAGGCCCCGCGAGACGCGTCATCAGTCTTGTCCCTGCCCTCGTTCTGGCTCTCGCCGTGGCTCTCGGAACGCGGTGCGGATTTGCGGAGCTTCCAATCAGCGAGGATGGCGCTTCCTACCCTCTCTACCCACTCAGGCTCGTATCGCCTGCCGGTGCTGGGGTCGATGTCTTGGAACTCGACTTGGTAGGATATCTTTCCCGCCTGGTCCGTTCGCTCCGCAAGCACCCTCTCCAGGCGGTAATAGCCGAAGATCTCGGTATCTTCCCTATCCAGCACGTCGTCAACAGGCATGGCCTGGTCATCGTCGTAGTTGACCTTTGTCTTGCGGGCGCGCGTCGAGCGGGGAGTCATCGCGAGAGGTGGGGAGATCTATCGCGCAAGATCAAAGTCAGCAGTGCATCTTTCTCTTTGCTAGCGATATGCGCATACCGGACGGGTTCGGTGTTGTGCGTGCGGTTGAGCTCGATGAGGCTGGAGCAGCGGCGGGCGGAGAGGCGGCGGGCGGAGAAGCAGTTGGCGGAGAAGCGGCGGGCTTGGAGAATTTGCAATGGCACCGACGACTATGGCACACCTTTGTCGCGGTTGTCGAAGGGGCGCGGTGAGTTGAGATTGTCCCTTTGCGAGCGCGTCACGAACAATCTTGGCAGTACCACAATGCCTAAACGAGGGGCTTGGCACACGAACATGAACTCGACAGCGCGAGGCGACAGCGCCGACTTGAGTTGCCATCGAGAAGATGAACCATGTGAGGCCATGTTGGAGGGAAGGCTGCAGTCCATGTGGTCGTGTGGACGCGGTCCCAATCTGTCGTGCGGGTGGCGCATTCGAGCTCGTGCTGAAGATGGACGCCATGAGGTGTTGCATGCGTGTATGTGTACGTCTGTCTTGCGCAAATCCTGCAAAGTTCATCAACACTCGACACGCTGAGTACGAAGCCATGTCGATGGGGTCCACATCATCACGGCCAACATCTGCTATGTCTGGACCAGCGTGCAGCAACGTCTTCCACACTACCAACGTCGTTTGACATCAGCCTGTCAAAGTGTCAGTTGAGCGTCGCGATAGTCATTGGAAGGATGATGCTCACCAGCATTGAAGAGGCCATCTCTCAGGTGTACGCAACCACACCTTGAAGATGCGCAGGTAGGCGATGGATCAGCTGCAGAAACGGAGAGATGCGAGAACTCATCGCGAAGGCATCTGCAGTGTCATGCACAAGGCTCTGATGAGAAGGTGCGCTGAGCCTGCACGCAAGCTCGTCTTCAGTGTGCGAACTCTGTTGCGTCGTTGATGATGAAGGAACTAGACATGAAGAGAAAGTCGAAGAACATGAAGTAACAACGTAATAGCCTCGAGCGTAAGACGCACATTAAGAAATGTCGTGAGTCGGTGGGTGGTGGAGGTGAGGTGGACTCGACGAAGCCCGACGCTCAAGCAAGGTTCCGCCCGGCCAAAACTACCCTAGACCACGACCTTTGCGTGCTAGTGAGAGCCCACCATCTCCTTCTCGCGTTACGAAGTGTTCGTCACATCACGCCGCGATCAGAAGATAATGTAGCAATGATCTTGTGGTCATATCGTCCCACAGTCATTTCGCGAAATCAATGGTTTGGTTGAGACTTCAACATCTTCACCTATTTGCTGGAAGAAAAGGTCGGATATTTGTTCAAAGAGTACTTTCTCAAGCAACTCACAGCATCGCCGCTGCAAGAAAACATATATCTAGCAAATTGAGCATTTCAAAAAGAAGTTGCCAACGACCTGCACAGACATCTTGCTTGCGTACAACCAGGACCGTGCTGTCACAATGCCCCATCCTTTTTTATACACCCCAGCTTCCTTCTGTTCTCCATGTGTCCTTCGATCTCCCACCACAGTCTCAGATCAACACGCCCAAATCCCTGCCTTCTCAAATGCTCAGCCCCCTCCTCGATGCATTCCTCTTCCAAAACCACCCACCACACGCCATCCCCACACCGTTGCAGGCAGAACAATACCAGCGGTTCCAGTGCTGCTTCGAGGATATAGTAAACATCATAGGCCAAGAAACGCTTCAACTCGCAGTAGAAAGCAAGCAGCAGATAGGTGATCTGTTGCAACAGCAGGCCATGCGCGCTCTTTCTCTTGCAGCTGATCTGGCACGACTAACTGTCGAGTGCGAGGACGTGGTACGCGAGAACGGAGAGCTGAGACAGAGGGTGGAGAAGCAGGCACAGGAGATTAGCGTGTTGATGGGAGAGTGTGAGGAGGTGGGCGGGAAGCGTGATGTTGATGTGTATGGAATGAGCTATGCTCCTGGTAGGTAGATGCAAAGGGAAGCTGCTCCCTCTTCCTCTTTACTTCAACTCAAAGGTTCCAGGAATGTTGACCCTATCTCAATGCTTATGACGATATGGCGGCCAAAAGCATAACCATGTAAACAATCGTAACTTTTAATTGGAGTGCGTGATTTGATCGCACGCATAGCCATCACATGCACGGGTGTCTGGCAGCTCGGATCACCGAACCATCTCCGCGTCGTGACTTGGCAATTTATCGCTCATCTTCCCTCTCCTCATACACTCCACCATCCGGCCCAGCACCAGCATCAGACCCCCGCCATGTCTAAACGTCACCGCGCCCTTCGAACACACAGTTGCATTCCTATCAAAGACCGATCAGACTTCGGCTTCTGTTAATGCCGCACTCGCGCATCCGAAGACACGGTCATCCGCTGCAACCAGCAGCCCCTTTGTTATACCCTTGTGAAGACGTTCAATATGCTCTACACGGTACAGACCTTGACTAGTCGACGAACGTTTTCGGCGCGTTGAATAATCCTGTCAACGCAGAAGCGTGCGGCCTCTCTTCTGCGCGCGCACCTCGATGGGTACGGTCGCGTCGCGCAATGTCGTCGATGAGATGGAGAAATGACGCGATGCAAGGCGGACGTAGGATACGTGCGCAATGTCTCTGCGCATCAGACATTCTAATTTGCAAGACGGCGTTACGCTCCTCGCGCTTTCTGCCCTGCTGGTAACCTTCGCTCACCGCCAAGCTCGATCAAAACCCACCTCCCTGCCCGCACTCGCCACATTGCCGCGAACACACAGCCCACAGCCGTCATACATGTGCAAGAACACATCATATCAGCCTCCTCAAGCCACAGCTCAAGTCATCCGCCAATCCAGCGTCGGTATCGAGCACCGCACAGCTGCCAAAGAAAATGCTGTGCGAGGAGGAGAGACACCAAGCCAACACCTGGCCGTCGAATCTTCTGCGTCATTGCTCTTGACAGACTGCCAGGACGGCCCCCGTCATATCGTCCTGATGCCGCCGCTCCTCCTTTCAACATGGTGCAGCCAGAGCGAGCTGTCTCTGGATGCGAGTCTCATATCCAGATGGAGACAGTGAGAATGTCAGCCTCATTGTGGGATCATCTCCATGCCCACTGGCTAAATGTTTCAATCATCGCTGAACACATTTCTGCAGTTCAATCACACTACCTTGATTGGCAGCAAGCTGCGAACTACCTTCGAACCACCAAACAGGATATCCAGCCCCGCCTGCACCGAAGTGCTCGTCTTCCTCACGTACATCAACCTCGTTGGTCTGGTAACGGACACCGAGGTGGATGTCGGAATTGAGGCTGGCACACATGCTCCAATCTCGCACCATCGATCGGAGTTATTGCAGTAGTCCGAGGAACCTGAGGCCGGCCTTCACCCTTTTCAATTCACTTTCGAAGCTCACAAGCATGAGGAAGCAGTTCCTGAGGACCGGGTGTGGGATTTTTCAACAACGGTTTCTTCGGTTTGCACATGCCTACGTTGTATAACATGAGTAACTCATCGTGATCAAATTTCAGCGTGCATTAGTCCAAGCTGGCGATCGAAGTACAACATCCTGCCCGTCAATAGTTCACCGACGATGCAAAGACTATCGCTTTTCCCTAGTACAGCACGGCGAGCAATCATTCACATCCGCCATGTGTAGTTCCTTAGCTGCGGCCGTAACGCGTCCTTTGACCTACTCGAGATGGCTGACGGGCTGCAAGTCCAGATCAACTCTACAAGCAGACGACGTCTTCTCTCCTTCACCGACGCAACTCACAAAATCCACGCAAGCTGCTCATTCCTCCGAACACTCCATACACGACGATGATGAGAGTGACGAGAAAGATAAACGACACGACACTGGCGATTCGTTCATTTTGACAAACGAGGGACACGCGAAGAAGCACCAGGATGATGTAATGGACGTCAGAAATTGCAAAGCAAATACTTCATGTCCAAATACTGAGGGCACTGTCGTGCATCACGAGGTCAGGTCAGGCAATAATCTCGGTGACAACGAGGACAAAACAAATGACTGGCGTCGCATTGTCCTTACCTCGACGCTGCACGGTTACGGCCGGAAGCACGGCATCTTTGCCAGCCGATTGAGACATCGTGGTCGCAAAGCTTCCTCTCATGGCTAATTTGCATGTCTAGCAAGGCACCAAATCTACGGCCGCAGAGTTCAAGGAGGCTCTACCTCGATATCGGGGAGGTCATCTGCGCTCAGCCGACAGCATTATCAAACGGGAGAATGACACATTCCAACATCCACCCCTCGCTCTCCTCGAGTATAGGCATCGATTTCAACTGGTGCACAACAACGGCATCTTGAGCCTGCCCATGCACGACTACGGACGAGCAAGACAAATCGAAGTCAACAAAGTCCCGAAGCGCTCGGAAAAGCTCTGTCGCCTTACCAACGAGTTGCTTGTGTATATCTCTTCGATTGGGAGCACGTAAAGCGTCATCAACTTGGTGGAGGTCTCCAAAAATGTAGTGAAGTTGTGGAAACTGGACTATGATATCAATTGGGACAAACATGCAAAAGCTTATGTCGACGCCGAGCTATGCAGCATAGAAGATGCTACCATAGACTTAACAGGTATTTTATATATGAGATTTGCGCTCTTCTTGGTGTTGCGTATCGACGAGACCACATTCGGGTGTGCAGCATCTGAGCTTGGATTGACATGACAACAGGCTGCAATTGTCGTCCTGCCTCGGTCTTCGTGTCGTGGTTTCGGAAATCGAGTTCCCATGACAGTTCCGGACATGATCGCATGACTGATTCGTTATTGCTCAGAAACCTGCATTCGAGTTGAACGGAATTGAACGACCGGGGCCGGCGGGGTAGCGGGACACAGGACAAGCGCGGTATGATAAGCGCGTGTAGTTTTGTATCATGTACCGAGGCGACATTAAATTTGTTGTAGGAGAGATGCGACGGCAGCGGCGACACGAGAGTCGGTAACGACTCATAGGCACGACGAGGGGATGGCGGATGAGGATTGGCTAACCCGCTGACTAGGCTTCTCTACCGCCTTCCTCCGGTACTCTCCAACCAATCGGTCTCCATGAGCTTCTGCAAGATGGACCGTGTCGCACATGCACACAGCAACAGCTTCGATTCAGAATCCTTGTCCCACAGGCCTGCAATGTGTGGTCTTCACAGTGGTATTTCGTAGTAATGCCTGGATATGGTTAACCTTTTTCTTCTCTCAATCATCGTCTCTGCATTGCCGACAAGGTAGCGTAAAATAACCGCCTCTAGTCAGTGGAACAAAAAAACGGCGACTACGCAGCCCGCTTTCGTACCTGGATCCAAGCTAACCGTCCTTACATTTGATGGCGTCGAGGTTTCCCATCTACAAACTCTATGCGCCAGCTCGCTTAGGCGGGTCCTGAACCGCTCCCGCAGCTTACGCGGAACGTTCAGCTCCCCGCTTCCAGCCGCCCCCGAAGTTTGCCCAGGTCCGTCACCCGGTGCCCCGTTCTGCGCCCCATCTGTGCGCTCCTTGGCGATTATGCAGGCAGATAGCCCGTGACCCAAGCAACCTCATTCCTGCGGCTTAGGCGGTTGTGACCAGATGTTTCCAACATCCGCATTAGCCCCTCACGATAGGCGCACGCGTCTCGCGCCTCAAGCGTATCGAAAAATGCACAGACTTGAACATTGTCGAGTGCGTCGGTTCTTTCCACGCTTCTGGTGACCGCCTACAAGTCTTCCAGAAATGGAGTATTTGCTTCGAGAAATCTCAACACCCACTCGACCCATGACTCGTTTCTCTCACTGGAGGCTTTTTCAAAATTGGGAATCTTACAAACAACAGCACGCTGGAAATTAAGAAGGGATTTCAACGATGATGATGATATACACAATTGATGATTGACTACCAACAGGAAGCAAGGCTCTAAAGCGTCTACTGGACCTTGCTGATCTTGAAACCGCCGGGTACATACTTCTGGAAGATGCCCCGAGGGTCGTACTTCTTAGCGGCCGCTTTCATCTTCTTCACATTCACCTCGCCATAACCCTTTAGCGGGTCCTGCGTCTTGTCCGCATAGTCGAGATAGAGATACGGGTTATCAGCACCAATGCTTTCGGCATAAGCGCGGATCCTGCTGATCAGATCCGCTCCAGCCTTTTGGAAGAGCGCGTCCTGTTCGGCGCCTTGCCAGGAGATGTATGGCTGGTAGACTGAAATAATTCGTCAGCGTGTCAGAATGAGAGATGCGATGGGAAAACGACTTACGGCACAGGACTTGTCCATTGAAGCGCTCGAGACCGAGCACATTGCCACCTCTTGCAACACTGTTCTTCCAGTACGCCGGTGGAAGAGGCTGATACAGAGTGTAGATGTTCCAATCACCAGTGGCCTTGGCTTTAAGACCGGCCACTACGTCGACATAGATCTCTTGAGCCTTTGTCATGACGCGCAAGTCATTGGCAAAGGTAAGAGTACCAAAGTAGACGCTAGGTATTCGGTTAGTCTTGTGAAAATCGAATCGAGTGTTCTTGAACCTCACCTGTGAGTGGTAACACCGGCCAACTCCGCCGCCAAAGATGACATGTTCCTGATTCCAGTGCTATCGGAAATGTTGCCGGGAATGGCAAGGAACTCCTTATACGCAGCTGGCCTGACTACAGGCTCGGCGTTGTCATACGCGACCAGGATCAAATCTGCTTTCGCACTGCTTTGATATGAAGGCATAACAATGGCAGAGCCCTTAGGATTCTTGTCAATGTTGTTCGAGAAGTTGATGAGAGCCTTGAAATGTGCCTGGATCGTTGTCAACGGGTAGACAACGAGACCGCCCCACAGCCCATCATAGTCAAAGGTTGCGAACTTAAAGTTGGTCACAATGCCGAAGTTGTTGTTTCCACCTTTGAGAACGGTGAAGAGATCAGGGTTCTTGGTCTTGCTGGCAGTGGTAATAGTGCCGTTGGCAAGCACGATTTCGAACTCAAGGACGTTATCGCAGATCAGCCCGTGTTCCGGACTGAAGTAGCTGATGCCACCGCCAAGGGTAAGTCCACCAACACCGACAGTCGATGAACGGCCACCCGTCGTGATAACACCCAATGGCTCAAGAGTGGTAAACACATCGTTCCATCGCGCTCCAGGGCCAACATTGACAAGTTCGTTCTTGGCATCATACTTGACAGCACTGAGATACTGGAGGTCGACAGTCACACCATCATCGATATTCGAAGCACCGGCGTACGGGGTATGGCCACCACTTCGAATGGCAAATTTGCAGGGCGTCCCGCTGTTGGCGGTGGTCAAGATTTTGACAATTAGAGATACGTCCTTGGAAGTCTTTGGCCGGATGAGGCAGTTTGGTGTCAGGGCCTGCTGCTTGATATCGAAGTACGAATCGATTCGCGTTTCGTATGCATCTTGTCCAGGAAAGAGCAGATTATTCTTGAGTGAGCTGCGAGACAGGGCAGCGCACTGTTGCGGTAATGTCAGAACTTGAAACAGCGTAATGCTGACGCGAAAAGTTTACTTACGCAATGATCAGCGGAGGTGTCATTGTGTGCTCGTGCAAAGGAGCCAAATGCTGCGGCAAGCAGCACTGGGTACAGATGAAACATCATAGCAAACGAAAACAAGGAACACTCGAGGAACAAATCACAAGAGATGGGCTTGATGTACCTGGACAGTACGGGACACACTCACATTTTGAAGCCGGTACGAGAAATGCGACTCGCGTCAACCGGCTACATTCCAAGACCAGCCTGTACTTCCGAGCACCGGGGATGCGGGAACCATGCTCGTGCAGCGGATAAAACCCCATAGAGCAACGAAGGAACAGGGTACTCTTCTAGCTGCATAGGCTTCTATTGGTGGCATTCTCCACGCCCATGTTGTGGGGACGGCGCATACCATTCGCGCAAGCCAAAGTTAGAGTAATCTCGGTTATCTATCCCAGTAAGCTTCGACTACGCCACATGTATACATGAAGCTAACCGTCAGAAGCACACGAGAAAATGCAATCATACAGGTAGTCAGGCAGGGCTTGCCTCCGCATCATTTGATTCGATCGCAACATCTACCCAACTACCGAGTATACCGAGGGATAGGTTCGTGAAGTATCTGCCCCCTGATGCACGGCTCTGCAGGAGCGTAATAATTTGCGCAAAGCAATATGTGCACACCAACCACGTAAATGCATAAGCCATCTTGTAACAGGTTTGGTAGGAGCAAAGCCCCTGGTGTTGGGCGGTCTATTGCTGTAAGTGTAGTCAAAGAGGTACATTAGTCCCACAGCTAGTTCCAATCTTTCTGTTCATACACTGTCAAGATGGACATGAGCAAACCGGTCTTTGCTGCCCCGCCTGGCTACACAGTTGATCTACAGAACCCGCAGAGGTCGGGCGAAGCTGCAAATGTCTGGATTGGTGCGGTTGGCATGGTGGTTGCTGCAGCGTTCTTGAGTATTCGGATCTACACCAAAACGGTTTTAGCAAAGAACTTTACTGCTGATGATGGTGAGTCGGAATTCCATGCATCCTGTGTTGAACAAATGATTGTTTAACGTACTTCTTGCAAGCTAACGCAACACCAGGATCACTTCTAGTAGCATGGGTTCGTGATATCATCTACTATATCCCAACTTCTCTGGAACTCACCACGGGATCAGGCCTTCTCCGTAGCTATTCAGATCATCATCATCTGTAAGTTTAGTCGTTATGGGTTATTCATCTCGCAATTGCTAATCAGTCCAAAGATCAATACGGCAATGGCACACTAGGCGTCCACATCTGGGAACTCACTGGATATGAGGTCAACACATCAATTAATGTTTGTACCAGAATCACCCTACCTGCGTCTCCCTCTGATCCGGTTACAGCTTGTCAGTGTGACAGGTATCCTGTACTGTCCTTTCTCAGCTTGCGCAAAACTTTCTCTGCTCTTCTTCTATCTCAAGCTCTCACACCTGCGCTGGTTCCGACTCTGCGTCTACGGCAGCATGTTTGTCGTTGTAGGGTACAACATCGCAATCGTATTCCCGCTTGTCTTCTCCTGTACACCGTTCATGAAAGGCTACGACATTACCATCACAGAGGGATATTGCCTCGATCGCACACCACTCTACATGGCAACGGCTGTCTTGAACATGATCACAGATATCCTAATACTCGTCCTACCAATACCGATGATTGTCAGGTTGCAAATGCCAAAGGTGCAGAAGGCGGGACTTATCTGTATATTTGGAGTAGGCTCTGCGTAAGGTACCCATATTCGATACTACAACGACTCGAGCTAATGAACTTGTGCCAGAACATGCGTCACCAGCGGTATCCGCCTATCACTTCTTTTCCCGATGCTGAAAAATCCCGACGTACCGTGGGCAGTCGTCACACCTGGTATATGGATGTATGTTCTCTCCAACTTCCTGTTTCCTCCCGCATCGAAGAGATCTAACACCGTCAACAGCCTCATTGAATCCAACCTCATCATAATCACCGGCTGCCTCCCTACAATGCGCCTCTTTTTCCGGCATGTCGCCCCGCGCCTGATTGGCGAATCCTCGATCGGAAGTCGCTCCCAGAAACCTGGCACAGGATACGGCACAGGATACGGCACCAACTCAGCACACCTTGCGTCAGAGCTGCATACCATGAAATCTGCGCGCACGAGGACGTACAACCGCATGGAGAACGAGGATAACGTGAGTATTGGGAGTGATGAGCGGGTCGAGGCCGGGTGGTATGGTGATGCGAGTTCGGCGCGGGCAATCATTCCGCTGGATGGGAAAGGCATTGTGAAGACAGAGACCACCGTCATCAGGTCTGAGATTGTGAAAGAAGATGGGAAGGAGAGAGGGGATTGGTAGTGCGAGAATTTACTGAGTTATACCTTCTATCCAGTTGATATATGTATAAGACGTGTATCACTTTCTAGTCTCTTTGATAAACTGAAGAAGCAGGCGACGTGAAAGTGCATGATTTGCTATTACTCGTGGTTTTACTCAATTATCGCATTTCGTGGAAATCAAGAAATCGCCCTCATTACTAACGAACGAAGTATCAACGTGCCCTTGGCTCGAGGCAGGACTACGTCGCCAAGTATGATGACCTCGGAGGATTTGCAGAGAACGCTGATCTCCCAAAGATACGAGACGGGGATCATGGATATAACGCAGTGGAGCGTAATGGTGATTTGTAGCGGAGCTTATCATGATATGCATGTCTCCCAAGTTCAGCAACTCTCCATCAAGTAATGTTGCTTTTGTTCATCGAAATCACTCCTTCAATATTGGTGACAGGTCTTACTGTTCTGATTGGGAGTAATGATTGATAGAATTTTAAATTTAGAAGCAAATGCTACAATGCGAGTACAATGTGCGAGAACTCGAATAGCCAAGTTCTAAGCAAGATCATAATTACTTTTAACGGGGAGATTCATTGGCGCACTTCGACACTTCCAAGACCAACGTCAAAGAGTACAGTAGGGAGGGGACGAGGCGCCCGTAACGACACCTTGTCCAACTTCCGCTGAACTGCAGGCTTCTTCGAAACTAGTCGGGTTCGCATACATCTGCAACGCCGTTCGTATATTGCCGACCCGTGCCACTTCCTACTTCAGCTTCGCCACGATAATGGTCCCATTGTTACTCACTTTGCACTGCGTGAGTCGTGCTGAAACACGACGTGCATGCTACCTAGTCTGAAACGTTGTTCCTACTGCCGCCGGGGTCATAGCGTCGACGCGAATGCGATCAAGGGAACGCGGCGAGGAGAAGACGCTCTATCATGAAATAGTGACGTGTGGAGTAAGCAGAGATGAGAAGCGTCTCACACGTTTGATAAGTACATAGTCGAAGCTTTGCAGGCAGTTGCGGGGTCGCGGTTGTAGGAAGCCGGCGGCATGAAAATGTACGACAAGGCAATGCCTTTAGTGCAACCTGTAGAGGCAGTAACTTGCCTTAACAATGGAATTGCAGCTAGCGAAGATTTTCACACACATGGGCATTTCATTGTGGAGGTGAAATTGTGTTGCGGCTGTCCCCTCCTCCAAACTTAGGAGCTGGAGCTTCATCGATTATTGGCGATAATTGGACGTTGAAAGTCCGGAGATGTGCTTAGGGAAGGCTCGTATTTGAAGCTGAACAGAATTATGGCGAGCGCTGTAGAGACTGCAAAGGGCCACGTGGTGACCGTGCTCTACACCTTGCCACTATTTATGCAGATGAGAGAAGGATTTCTGCTCTCGAGAGATGGGTGATTTTAAAGTTCCTTCAACCATTGCGGAGTGTCAAGTTTGTGACCAATGGGATTGCGTGGAGGTGTCTAGCAGCGCACTAGGCAACTAGTCTGGGCTGCGAGGTGCTAGCTGTAAACAGATCAAATCACCGGTCAACCTAGTTCAACAGGATTGCACAATCCATCGAAGCTATTTCATCAGTCGCACCTATACCTCTTTTCACATCGTTGATAAGAGCAGCTACGTTAGTTGGGAGATTGGCAAATTAAACGGGTCGGCCTTACATACTCTGTAATTGAAAATCTGCGTAACGCCCTAAGCTACAACAATATTGCCTGTGAATAGAATTCCTTGAAAGCCCTCTGTTAACAAAATATAGTATACTTATAAAAATAATAAAGATCGTTACGTACTACACGTTTACGTTACCTATGTTTCCAAACAGCAATATGCTGGAAACACTCATTCCGACCACAACCAAAAGAGTATAAGATCTGGCCTTAGAATCCTCGAAACTCTGTAAATCCGTATTCATGGCGATTTTGGTATCGTCCAAGGAGTCGCTGACGCTGTTGGTTGTGCTCAATTTCTGGGCCTCATACTTCCAGTAGCATGCCATCGAATCCATTCGGCAGCACTGGGTTGTTTCGTATACATGTCCTTATACGGCCATGAATTTTGCCGCACTGTCTTTCCAGATTTCTGGAGAGATCTACTTCGATATCAGTTATAACTCTGGTTGAACTGTGTACTGAATCTCACTTGTAGTTCAGGCATGCGAGATGCACATACCCGACGAAGGAGTTGAGTATCGTTACCATGCGCAGAGCATCATACCACGGACATCCTTTCGGCCAGAGGAAGAAGTAGACAACGGCTCCAGAGATGGAGTTTATGAACAATTCGAAGCTAGGATAAGCATGTTTATATTCTGGGATGAGTAGCTGCTCAAACCAAATCTTTAGTAATGAACATCATATGTTGAAAACACTGTATAGTAGCCTACCTCAACGTCGCTAACGTAGGCTTCGGGCAAAAGATAGGCTAGATTCCTTGCAACGAACAGCCAGTAGCCCACCTCCCATCGCCACCCTGTCATTCCGGGCCCGAACCACGATATCCGTAAGATCGATGTAGCCCAGCTTGGGAAGCTACACAGCAATAGCCCGTAGTAGAAGTCCCACGCAAACGCAAGGCTGAATGGCCCCATCTCGCGGCGGATGATGTAGATGAGAATGCATCCCAGAGTGGTTGGCCAGAGGAGATTCCATATCGATGCGAAGAGATATATGCGAGCGTAGATCGGGATGAATACAAACAGCAAAGGGCGCAACAGATACGCCAAAGCCAACCCGAACTCAAACAAATCTGACGTTGTGTCGGAACAGTGTGTTGTGCGAATTGGGAATGATTCCGACATTTCAAAAAAGTAGAAGGTATTTGTGAGGCCTGTAGATGTGAAAACACGCTCTTCATTATATATCACAGTCTTGAGTATGGTGTATGGTCATCGAAAGGATCACCCCATGTCTTGGAGCGGGGAAGGTACGGCAGTGTAACCCACAGATAAGCTATTTTCAGAAGCGAGACCTGCTGTGAATTCTACTCAAAGAACGTGATACGTCAGATCTCAGCCACCAAGCCCCACACAACCTACACGCCGTTGTACTCGCCGCGTAGGCGTCTAAAGGATGACTCGATGCATAATCACTGATACATGGCCCCCATAACTCGCTAGAGTTTGGCTCCCTCAAGTTTCTCTACGTGGCGATTTCTTGTGACTTTTCCAGAAAACTATATGTCCTTGTGAAACTACTCCCATCGATTGATTTCTTGTATTGCTCCAGCCGGCACTCACTTACTGTGGCAGGAGGATTCTCGAAGCGGGACACTCCAGGCCTTTAGCGACCGGGATATTATATGCGCTGCTTCATCTCTGTCTTTCGTTGTGTTACCATGCAGTGGAAGATTGTGGTTGTAGGCGCCTATGAACCAGTCCACTTTTGCATGGGTATAGAAGGATCTACTGGTTATATCTTCATCTTCGTGTATTAGCTTGATTGCTCCATTGCACAAGCGCTTACTCAAGTAATCTTTTTGCTGGAGATATTGTCAAAGCGCTCTTCCACATACATGTAGAAGGTCCAGAGGAACTGAGATTCCTTGAGTAGATGGCGGTATCTTTTCTAGCTGTTGGCGGCTGTTGTAGACATGTTGGTTCTCGCGGTCATGTTCATGCTTTTCAATGCGTGGACGGCAGAGAACTCACATTTGCTGGCTAGTGTCATCTGTCGATAAGGTGGATACGCCCTCAAATATTATCACTACTAACCTCACTCTTCGGTTCATGGCTCAAGTTTTAGTATCAAGAATCAAGCCTCCTCTGCACCATTTCAGAGTTCCTGGGTTGTGTTCGAGGGGTATGTATTGTCCGTGCATCATGATGTTTAGGCTCCAAAAGAGATATCGAGCCAAATATCCCGAGGTGAAGGGTTTGCCTATTTTTCGATCCGTTGACAAAATGGTCTTGGATCTTGCTATGAGTATTGTTCCCTTGGCCACTCGTGCGTGACGCTTGTAGTGCACTTTGTTGGCATTAATGTTCAGCACCAGGCATCACGTACATCTGAATTTGAACTCAAAGAAAGATGCATGTCGAACATGGCTTTGTGAACTAGAAGGAACGGACCTATCTCCAAGGCTGGAGAAAAAGACCTGTCAAGACTTGATACTCCATGTTCTTATTACACAATAAACGTGTTTGATTTGTAGGTTTGACTGGAAGGTCTTGGGCTGACGAATTCCCTTCGGACTTGAGCGTTAACTTCGAAATTTTCAAATCTCTGAGTATGTACACGCAGTCCAGCCCGTTGCAAAATTGAACATCGAGAAGTCTTGGACGTCGGAGAAGCGTCTTGGGTAGAGAATATCAATTATATTCGAGAATCCAGAACTGGCCTTACAAAAACGTAAACATCACAAAAACGTAAACATCACAAAAACGTAAACATCGAATTTGGATACTCCAATGGCGTGGTCAACACTTGGGAGAAAACCCAAAAAGGTAGAACGCATCTTCGGAGGATGAAAAGATTATACACTATATTCACAGAGGAAAAAAAGATTCTGCCTACATCGCTGAGATTTTGCATATGACAAGAGATAGAACGTCTTGATCTTAGTAACTACTCCAGGCGGACCACCTATCAGGGGTACCGGCAATAGACACTCTTCAAGGACAGCATCTGCCGGTGAACGCCTGCAGTTCAAGATGAAATGAATCTGTTCTTATCTTTCGCGTTACTTTCACAAATCAAAAATGAATCTTGCTGCGCTCCCTTTACCTCCCATCAAGCCTGAGCTGTAAATCAGCCTCTACTCACAGCGTTCCAGAGAGACTCAACAGCACCGGACCGAGAACAAGAAACGAAGGATACCGTCGCACTACATGCTCTAGCAACAGGTTTTCCATGAAGCGCGTGCTCAACCTCAACCTCAAAATCAGGTTTCGAAACAACTGCATTGCCCAGATCTACCGCGTCAAAGCCTATCTATGCACTGATCACAATTATCTTCTACTTCAGTGTAACCCAACAGTCTTATCCTGGACGAGACTCAACGTACCTTACACGCACTCACCGAGAAGATGGCCCCTCTTTCCTTGGGATCCTCCAAGAATACCATCGCCATAGACCGCCTCCTGCCACGCATGTATGGCCATGTCAATCCATCAATGAGTAAGGTTACTGACGGCCTCGCGAATGAACCGTTTATTTTCCTACCCCTTGTTAACACTCCGAAAAAGTCGTGCAATCAGGACGGTGTGTTATGGAACTGAATGACGGGGATGTTAGGTAGATAGGCCGTCCATTGAGCTATATGTGGGGATTGATTGGTGTGCGTTTTGATGGATGATTCTCGGGTGTAATATAGAGGACAAGAGAGTGCAATAACGACTGGGAAGTTGGTGAGTATGCTTTGGGACTGAGTTGATTGGCGAGTGGTCGTGCAGAGGAGGATGTGGGTATCTTGCGGATTCGGGCTTCACTCGTCTCTCTGTTTAGTCTTCACATCATAGAATTCCCCGAGGAAAGAGGTTGGACTTGGCGTGAAAAGCGGTTCGCTGAGCAGGTCGCGTCAGTCCGATACGCAAGGTTGTTGAGAAACCTTTGGAGATCTGTACACTATTACGAAAGAGTGTAGAATACCACAGCTTGCATCTCCTACTTGCGCGAGGCGGGCTGAAATGAGCCGCATGCTCCTGATGATTCTTGGACATTTTCTCAATCTGCATAGCCGGTATAAGCGCGGTTGACGATGATCGCGTCTGACAAACGAGTTACAGTTGAAGTGTTTCAGATAGCCTGCGCAGCGCACCCTTCCCTCATCATGCCTGGTACTCAGCAGCCTCACAAGTGAGAACATGGAGGCGCTGTAAGTGCAAAATGTCGACACTTGCGATGCTAGGCACCAGCGCGAGGATGCGTACACATCCTCCAGCACGAGACCACGTTCTCCTGATATGGCTGCACACGCTTATGCCATTGTTGGCTGACGCGGCGTTCTTCCACACCGCCCTGGCAAGCTGGCTTCTCCGTCAAAGGCGCGTCGGGAGCCTCAGGATATCATCTTATGCATTCGGCGACGTTCGGGGGTGTCTGGAGGTGGAGTCGCGCGTTGAGCCTGTGTGATGGCGGGCAGGTCAACCGATGACGGGCGCCTCAATCACGCATGTCGATAATGTGAGAATGCTTGGCCGGTTGAGTAACGCGCGGTGACGATATGGTAAGTTGGTGACGCGATAGAGGACGGGGCAGGGTGGTGTTGCTCAGACGCAACTGCAGGGCGACGATGAAAGACGCTGAGATGGATTCAACGATCGATGAAACGTGATTGGAGGAATAGAATACGAAACCAAAACAGCACTCTCAGTGGCCATCTTACATACATACCGCTTATTCATGTGGGCCTTCTTGAGTCGTGTTCGAGACCGTCCATGTCATGCATGCATGCATACGATACGCTACCTTAAGTCATGCGGGCCGGTCCTTTTCCCTCGGGCGCCATCTTCCAACCTTGATCGAACTCCCTCTTCATAACTCCATCTCCATCTCCATCTCCACGCTTTCCCCCTCACACGTCCACAGCCCTGTACGCGCGTGTTGCTGCCTGCTGAAAATGTCGCAACGGCGCGCGTGGCCCATGCTCGCCAAGAGATGCCGCACCAGCAATCGCGACATTCACGCCGCAACCTCTGTGAAAGCAATCGTGAAAGCGCCGCCTCGCCGGCCCACGCCCTTTATTACCACGCCCTCGATCCCCCCCACCTGATGCCCCTCATGCAGTCTCCACCCTCACTCGAGTCGTCCCCCCGCAAGCGACCTCACCCCCTCTCGCCTTCGCCTGACAGCGTCGACAAGCCGCACTCGCACCCGAAGCGACGGCGCTTTTGGGACTCGCTGAGCTACATCCACCTCACGAGGGCCGCCATCGCTGAGCTCAACCGCCGCAGTATCGAAGAAAGCACTGCTCCGGTGGTCGACGAGCTACCCCGCAGCCTGCCTGACATCCAGCACTACGCCCGCCACGGTGGACCTGACTTGACCGACTTGCGCAATGTAAGTGTCCCTCTTGCTTGGCAGTCCAGTGGCATCTTTATCGCGCGTGCAGCTGACGCATTGTGGAAGTATTCCCTGCCAACAGACTCTGCGACTTCCCAATCCGACTCCACCTACCCCGACACCATGGCCAAGAAGAAGGGGGCTACCATGGCTGACTCAAGCGGTGTCTCCAAGGGCAAACACAAAACCAAGGGTCAAGGCGGTCAGGGTGGGAAGAGCACAAAGACAGGCACCACGCCTTCATCCAGCAAGACGAAGAACAGCAGCGTGTACGACCAAAACTTCGAGCAATGTCTTATCGACCACCACATATTTCCACCAGGCTATTTGCGACCGCAAGACGAACAATTCCTACCAGCGCCAGTCAATATCAGCGACATTCAAGAGGTTCTACAGGCCAGACGTCCGTCTCTCGACTCTCTGGCCTACGACTCGGATTGGCGCTCGTTTGTAAAGCAGCACCATGCTTCCAAGCTCGAGATCGATGTGATGAAGCGGGAGTTCCCCTTGATTCAGGGCGGGGATGACGGGTCTATGGGCACTTTTCCCTGGAACAACCTCAACCCTCTCTTCGACCCAGATGAAGATGATGAGGATAAGAAGCTCACGGCCGGCAATCCAGACATCTACTACGGCACCCGGCCAGAACTAGTGGATCGCCGCATCCGTAAAACGCTCGACAAATTCATCATTCCCTCCGTCTCTCCTGGCCGCCCCATTGTTCCTAATTTCGCCGTCGCCATCAAGGCCCCAGGAGGAAACGTCAATGTCGCCAAGAAGCAGGTCACATACGATGGCGCTTTGTGTGCGCGGGCGATGCTACATCTGGCTTCGTACGGACATCCAGAACTCGACTATCACGGCCTAGCCCATGTCATCACATCCCGCTATCAAGATGGCACCCTTCACCTTTACGCATGCCATGTTGGGCCCCCGCAGAACAAGGGGGCTCCCGGACCTGACGGCCTTCCTGAATACATCACGACTTCTCTTTGCTCTTTCGCCATGACCAACTCCGTCAAGACATTCTGCGAAGGCGCAGCCGCTTATCGCAACGCACGAGATTGGTGCAAGGAGCAGCGCGATATTCTCGTCCGGGCGGCTACAGCTGCCATTCCTCCACCAGCCGGTCCACAAGTTCACACCCCGTCTACTTCACCCCAATCGGCTGGGCCTGTGCGCCGCTCCTCGCGTGTGACGAAGCCTGCAGGGAAGAAGCCTGGGAATGCACAGTGAGCCGGCATCTCTTTGGTCCTCCGTGCTGGCATTGATCTCGCCTTGCCCACGACACGGGCATTACTACAGCGGGCACGAGGTGGAGCTTCAGACTGTCCTGAACGGCGGAGAAGGGGAAGGATACTTTGGGCGTGGCGGATACACAGGATGTGCAGGCAGAGATGGTTGCAGCATTGCCGGGCCTGTATTTGTCTTGACTTTGTTTTTTGCGTTGATCTTCACGACTAAATGACCATTTTCGCCCCACTTGTACGCCAGACGGCAGAGGGTTGGAAGACGGATAGATTGCGATGTCATGATTTGGAATTTTTGCGATACCCAGAGTTGGAATTCAGCGATATGAGGATTGAATCCTTCCCAAGTAGTCATATGAATGACATGTGCTTCCCTGCTTTACTATCGGGTGCTCGTCATGTTCATCAGTAGGGCTTGGGTATGAATTTTGTGAGGGTCCGAGAAGATCTTGAGGCTACCACACATAACTACCGCCTATATCGTCAATCTGACGTCCCACCCAATCAACCAATCCCAACCCACTCTCTGCGTCCTCACGGTGTCTGCCAGCCACCAAATGCAAAATCCCCCAACCCTTGACCTCTGGATGTAGGACTTAGACTTCGTTAGCGTTCGAGCAATACATACCACCCCTTGATGCAAGAGCTTATGCTTCAAAAGATGACACGATCTTGAATTTATCTCCGCGTTCTGTGGAGTATGAGAGTAGGTGGAATGGTTAAAATATAGTTATGCTGACTCTCGTTCACGCAGTGGAGCTGACTGAGAGTAAGATATTCAAGTATCCTGGAGATTACTTTGCGGAAAGAGGATGTCGGGACGCAATGCCAAAGTCACACCTCTCATCGCGGTGTCAAATCTTGGTGATTCCTACATCCGCAAATAATGAGCGACGGCAGTTTGTGAGATAGACAAGACTTGCTTGGTACAATGACCCCAATGTCAAGGTAGGGATTGTTTAGACATCTGTCTCTTCTTTGCTCGAGCTAGGATTGGGGAGGAACTTGTTCTTCTCCCTCTTTTTCAATGCAACGTGAGATCGACGTTGCCATCAAGGAAGGTCTTTCATCGAGGGTTTGGGAATATGGTGTGTAGGAGAATACATAACGTATGTGCATGAGCAAGTGGCGGCCAGTATAGACGTTTGTGATCAAGAGCTTTTTGTGATAGTTTAACGTAGAGGATGGCAAGTCATTGAATTGGACGGTCATGAAGATAGTTCAACTATGATTCACAGTTAAGGAGATTTCGATGCTGGTACATTCACAAAACAACCACTGTACCCTTTGGCCCGTAACTATCTTTGCGATCATCGAGATCGCAGTGCGCGAATAGCAGAGACTGGGAGTCGACATGTACGAGTTGCGCAATGTAGGCGGATTGGATTATGCCAAATCCCGACGTTGAATGAACTAAGATGCTATATCTGCGCTAAATCAGACAACGAGAAACTGGAGCAGAGAGGCAAAAGCGTGTTGACAAAATCCAGGCTGAGTATGTTTACGTATGGTCTTTTGTTTACACTATTAAGCAAACCTCAGTTCGAGATCAGTGCCCCCAGCGCTTGTTGAGCTTGAGATGTTAAATTCCTCACGGCGGGTATAATATGCTCGATCTGCGAATGTTGCCTGTCAAGTAAGTGAGGTCCTTGAGCACTGAACGCACGCTCGACTCGTTGACCGTAGTGTTTATCTTCGACTCGATCCTCGTCTCCAGTAAGCACCGTAGATTCGTTGCTAAAGTCTGCAGCACGTTGGAAAGCGGCCTCGATCTTGGTTATCTCCCTGGCTGCTCTCTGGAACCAAACGGCGCCCAGGTTGCATGCCACGATTCGTCCGTCGCGTGTCGGATGTCCGACCTCGATACCACGTTTTGTGGGTCCGCTGGCGACATGAATGTCTTTGATCGATATCATGAGGGCCTTGATAGGTCTTTTAGCAAATCGTCAGAGTGTGTGGAAAAATTACAACTTTGCCGTGAGCTCATCGAAATTCCCGCCGTGGCCTTCAATGTTGCATTGCCCAGCTTTGACTGTGTGATGAGCTTTTCAATAGCGGACCTTCATGTTGTGCAGGCTGGCACGAAATCTTACCAGACTGTCATGACAGAAGAACGCATCCTGGCTTAGGAGATTGATGAGCCGGATCGTCGTGATGACTCCGTGAGATCCTTCACAGCTCGATGCATACCCAATCCACTGCTTTCCATGTCCGGCCTGCCAAATACTTGTGAAGGCGTAAGCGTTATACCTAGAATGCACCATAATCGCCGGCTCATTCGTATAGCGTGCCAAGAATCAGGGTTGACCCTCGGCGATGTTCCTCGCTGTGCTCATTATCGAGGTGCACTGTAACATTTGATTCACAGGACCCGACAATCACGAGACTGTGGAACATGCGTTGCCGGGTGGTAAGACCAAGCGAATAAGTCATAACACGCAGCCGACCTGCTGGGGCATTCGCTCAGGCCTTCGAGGCCGTGCCGTTCAGATTTGTTGACGTGGTGAGAGATTGATGGCGGGTGCCCATATCATTCCGCTCAGTGTGCTCTCGCAGCTCGGGTAGAGTCGAAGTCTGATGGGGTTGTCATGACAATGGCAGCAATCCATGATAAGGTCGTTCTGGAAAAAGACACCAGTTTCTCTTTCGGCGCGTGGCTGGCAAGCGATGTGGTGTGCCACGGAAGTTTGAGAGGGGGGCGGGGTGGAGTGCGGAGTTTTGGAGATAGCCGGTAGATGAACGGCGGACCCCCGACATGCGTTGCAACTGCAAGCCTCGGAATTAAGCGCACTCGAAAGAATAACGCGAGGAGAAATACGGGCGCGCCATATTTCTTTGCAGATAAGCATTGCTGTCAACTGCATACAAGACGAGACGGCAGAAGAGTCTATGAAGCCATATAAAATCCGGCATCGTGCCGTCTCATCAAGGAGAACAGTGCAGTACTCCGGGGTGCAAGGTCTCCCGAAAAACACCCATGAACCGTTTGCGTCGCGCGGCCATTGGTGCGGAGGAATGGTGGTGGGTCGCGTCTGTGTGCGCCAAAGCTGGTCAAGCTGGGATGCAGGGGATACGAGGAATGCGGCGATGTAGCGATGCGGCGAAAACCAAAGGACGCTGACAGCAATGGCAATTTCGTTTGATGTCTATCGTGTCATGGAACCGAAGCCGAAATCGAGAGGCATCGGTACTTTGGCACTCACTCGGCCCTTTCTGTTCTCCGAAGCCAGCCGGATTTGTCACATTCCGAGCGCGCCAAACCAGAAGGGGGTCAGTAGCGTGCCTTCGCCAACGATAGTTGCAAAGATTGCAGCACACTAATAGTCGCTCATGAACTTCATGACACGCGTTGGGGATGCGAGATGATGACGCTGGGTGGCGGCGTTTTCTTCCCCCCTTCCACGTTCTGTCCCCGCTCCCACCTACGACAAAACGTTTTGAGAAGGGCTCATACGGGCGATAACAGCCTTCACCAACCTTGATCTCGTTTTCAAAATGCAAGATGCAGAAACAGGCGGCTTACATTGATTTATGAGAGCCCCTTTCGAGCGAAGCTCAGCCGTAATCATCACTTTGTGCAGAATGTACAGACGAAACAGACCAATAAGCAAGGTTTTCCAGATTAAGATGGGCAAAGTTACATCGGCCACTGTTTGCGTTGCCACTGATCTTTTGTATAATCTCTGATATGGGCGAAAGAAACTAGGCAAGCAACTATAACTATGCGAGAGGGTATGCAATTTCAACTTGAACCTCACTACTAACCCAACACGCTTATCTAGATTTCAAGGCCACGAACAGTTTACGGGGAGATATCACGTTATGTAGCCTGCTTGCAAACATCACACAAAATCTCATTGACATAAAGGTGCAAGTCAGACATACTCTGTGCAAACACGCCTAGCATCAAGGCTTCCATTTCGATCTATGCATTTCGCACACCCGTTGCTCGATTCCATATCTCTTTGTATTAACATCAAGCCAAGTTGCGGCGCGTTCAGCATTCCTCCAATCAACACTTCACTGCATTTATAGTTTCAATGACAGTCAACCGCAGCCGGCAGCTACCGCGTTGAGAACCTGGATGGGTGTATTGGCCGGTAGACGAGCCAATCAATGGAGATGTGGCAACATGTCGTAAGTACATTCTGCCCATAGATGATGTGTGATCTCGCAAGTCAAGACAGTTTGTTCATCTGACCAGGAAGGAGCCTGGTGACCTGTAGGACCCGCCCACATAGGCTTCAAAGACGTCGAGTCCCCTGGCGCGACATGTCCAGTTCGTGTGGCCGCCTAGAACAACGATTTTATCATGCGCAACGCACCAATTTGAACCGGAAAGCAACAGCCAGTAAGAACCAGGTGGCTTGTTTGGATACATCGATCGAGATGAAAGGTACACGGATAACGCCTTCAATTCCGACAATTCGTTATATACTTCCAACTATGCACATACCCAGCACCTCTTCCAGAGTATCATCGTCACTTGCTTATTGTATTTATGCTCCTCGTGATAGGTCTCTCATGCGAACAGAGAATGCATTAACAGCTACATATATTCGTAGGAATATGACAGAAAGAGAGTGAAGTCCTACTATATGCAACACTGGTAATGCACATGAGCGTGGTACTACTGTACTTGGACAAGACGATATGGGCGTAGAGAGCGGATAAATGAGAGAGGATCTGAGGATTCGAGGCTACGTTCATGTCCCTAGGGAATGAGGACCCAATGCAGCCCAGTTGTGACGAGATTTACCCAGTTCGCGGCACAGACTATAACAAGTTCATTCTCAAATAAAATCACGGCATCGAGGTGGCTGGTACAGAATTTTCTCAGCGCAGCCCATTTATGGCGGTCAATATTCCTGTTACTGTTACATATCCGAACACCTATCACGTGTGAGATGGTGCGCATACCATGGGATTACTCTGGCGGAAGGACTTGTAGGGTACTGAAATCCCGCCTGTCTGGCTACGGTATGCCGCCCCTTATCCGCTCTTTCATAATCTCTGTGCATTCCTAGACTGGAAAATTTGCTCAGAAGATTGAACGCGTTGGATGGAAAGAATGCATAGGAAATTCTGATGGAAGAGATGGCACGAGAGAATTTGTTTGTTGAGTTACATTTCAACAATGAAATGAGGAGGTATTTTGGTAAATCTTCAGCGGCAGTTTCGCCCGGAGGTAATACTTACTCTTCAAATTAATCGAACCATGCGTTGACATCAATAAATATGAATACATAGTAGCTGATCGTCGAGCAGTGTGGACACTCATGGTTCGGAGTTCGGAGTCAGTCAAATTGAATTTGAAGCGGAATATTCTCGGAGGGCGCATCACATTCCAGCAAACTTAGCATGAGCTTTCCGAGCATAGTCAGGAGACATACATGGATGGGATCCAAAGCTATCAGAGTAAGCTTCTACCCCGGCCCACGTAAGCATTCACTGGCAGGTCTTATTACCCCTCTCATCCTATACGAGCAACCACTCACTTGAAGATCGTGTCAAGCTCGGTGTTGCTATGTCTCCAGTGTCGCCTAGAAAAGATCCGCAGACGATGATAGCCTCAGATTAATGCTTGCGTACAATGGGTCTGATTCTGGGTTAGCGAGCAGTGTGCAATGTAGCGTATCTGAGACAACTGCTACATATGACATATGCCAAACACTACTCACAGACTGCCTATAGGGGCCGAGTGGTTAGAAAAGAGTAACAGTTTCAACATTATCCGGTGTCAATTATCTCTACGACACAGCCAGGGCGACCATTGTTTCGTGAAAAGAGTAGATTGACCTTGAGTACATACGCACTGCGCAGCGCAGTTCATCTGAGACATGCTTACCTAGGCGAAGGTAATGCTTACATGCAGAACCTACTTATTATCTTCTACAAATGATTATTGCCATCAACCTTTTTTCCAGAAACCTCGACCACAGCACCAGAAACCCGAGCTCTTGCCCGCTCTCTTTCCACACAGCAGAAAGTACTACTCTTGTCATGCAGCAAAAGGTCGGACCATGCGGTCCGCCGGGATGGTGGTCTGATGAGTACACGGCAGTCGAGGACGAGGAACTCTTCCAGGCGCTCGCATTAGAACTGCAGGCTTTCGGTCGGCAGTTGTGGATTCAAACATGGAAGAAGAAGGTGAGCATTTCAGTTGACATAGCGATGTATCTTTGTTGACCATGACTAGGCAGAACGTCTGGATACAACGAATAGACCTACAGCGAAGCGTAAGCTAGAGGCGTGTGAGGGGATACGTTCGAGGGGACAGAAGAAGTGCAAACTGAGCAGATGACATATACCAATCGAATGACAGTGGTCTACGTACTAGAGTGAGCAGCTCGTTGTTTTCTATCATTTTGAATTCGCATCATTAAAGCCAAGACAGACATGAATTCAAACCCGATCTGATTAGTACTCCATGTCATCCTCTCCTAGCAAAATCCTTTTGTTCTGAAGTGAAATATAGAACAACCACTTTGACACTACTCTGAACCATCTGCTTCCTTGAGTCGACATTCTGGAAGCTCCTTACCTTGCCAACGCTACTACACAACATACTGTGCTCTGTGTTTGCTGGATCAGGGTGCGAGATACATATAAGTCTCCGCCTCCAATCCCACACAGCCTTGCCATCTACTTCTATCTTTGACATCACGCCCCATAATTACTGCGGGAAATCCCTTCGTGATGAGCGATGTGAGCCAGAGCCCTTCTCTCCCCTTTCGTCTTGCAGATTCCTCCCAGCTCGACCATGAGCCGCGCCTTTTGCAAGACGCCCACCACCACAGCAACCAACTCCACAACTACAGCTTCCCCGCTGAATTCGTGCACTCATCACGGTACACATTGAGTAGCAAGCTCACCGAATCAACGCTCGATGCGCTCCGTAAAGCAAGCACAACGAACAACATCAACAATGCTCCTATTCGCAACAAGCCCGCAATGCAGCATATACCCCACGGCCAGAGTAAACCAGAACGCCGTCCTCATCCCACAAACCATGACACACACTCCCCACCAGCCGAAAACTTCCAACGTCCTCGACTCCAACAACTCCGACCCGGGATCGAACTGCTTCAACTCAGCATATCCCTACGCGCTTCTCGTCTCAACAACGCATTCACCAAACTCACACACGTGTACATGACGTTACAACACGACAAGCTGGAGATCCGAAAAGCTGCCGGCCAGGAGGACTTTGCTACGATTCACCTGGAATACGCGGTTTGCGCCGTGGTTGAGGGGCCGATAGTCGGCTATGCTAAGAGGTGGTGTTTGAGGGCTTGTGAGATGGCGGGGGACTCCGAATGGATAGTGGCGAGATGGTTTGTCGAGGTGAGACATGTGGTTTTGGAGTGGGCGGGGGAGGTGGTGTGGTTGGCGTTTGGGACTAAGGAGGACGCGGAGTCTTGGAAGGAGGTGCTTGATGAGTTGATGGATTGCCCGCATGCGCTTGAAGATATAAGGTGATCCGACACTCCGGCTGCTTGGTTCGAGCAAATGTACTGTTAGATTGGACATTCGCTTTGGGCCGATTTGTGCTTCATTGAATACGTTGTTTCAGAAGATTTCTCTGAGCATGTGAGCTGTGCTATCATTTGGCTATTCTCTTATTCTGTGTACAGCTAAAAGCCCATTGTCCGAGACTGAGTGTAGCACTGAAACTATCCTGCCAAGTTCACCGAGAGCCATGTTCGACGTGCAGATTTGTTGGCTCGCCTGGATATCTCGCGTATTCTACCTTTTGCTCAGTGTTTAAGCCTAGATTTGCCTAGCCTTTCGAATCATCTCCACCTGGCGTCGCACCTCCACAAGCTCAGCCTGGATCCTCAGTTGAGATGCTTCGTCGATCACGATGGCGCACTCGAGCTCAAGATCGGCGATGTATGTGAATAGGCATGCGAGGACGCTAGAGGGCGTTGAGGTGAGGCTCGGGAAGGGCGTCGTGTCAGTTTCGGTGGCAGTGGTGGTGACGGTAGCATTAGCCGTGGCTGTACTGATTGGGAACGTGAGGAGGTGCATTTCGTTGCGGAGGAGGAGGAGCGGGCTGTCTGTCCTCGATGTCGACGGTGCAGCGGGCGGCGGGGTATAAGTAACGGTCGGAGCGCTGTAGGTGATGGTGTAATTCGGCATTTTGCTTTGCGTCTTGAATCTTCTCGCTGCTGAACATTGCGCATTAGTTGTTCCTTGCCAGCGGCAAAGTGACGGCTTACCACGTATTGGTAGCGATTTGTGAAAGGTTGGAGCGAGAGATTTGCTTCTGAAGAGGCTCAGGCGTGTAGGAGGAGCTGGTGAAGCGTTATGGTGATGGCGCTGGAGTTGAGGTTCCGCCGCCGCAACAGCTGCGATAGTGATGGGGTGTGGTGCGATGAGGTGAAGCGGTCGGCAGCTGAGGTCACGCTGGGATTTCGTCGATAAGCATGGTGCGGTGAGGTCATGGCGGGGCTGCGCAGTAGTGAAGGTGAGTATGGCGGAGATACAAGCTCAGTGCTTCACTTCAATTCTAGAAGTGTGCCGGATTACCGCGAACTCATTGTACCATGAGGAGGTTGCTGACAAGGAACTCAAGCCTTTGCAAGCTGCTGATTATCCCTATCTCGTCGACAAATTATTTGTGTAGAGCCATGCTTCGATGTCGACATGCCGGTCGTCCAGGCTCTGAGAACTATTACTCTGTTCTCTTGCCTGTCCTTGTGCCGAGTTCGACAGTACTAGTGTGGCTAATGAGAGACTATTTGGCGGAATATACAGCTGCCAGATCTACAAGCTCTCGCAACATCGCATGACGATGATGGTGATAAGAGTTCATTATGCTCGACCTAAATCCGCACCCAAGTCTGAGAATATCCTAGAAAAACAATCATACATCGTTGACCCCCGATGAACACCAACCGCCGCAATATGCTTATCCATTTGGCAAACTGTCATGTCCAAGCGCAATAGCAAATCAATATGCTCATGATACATGGTGCTTACCAACTGTGGCGACCAACAACTACTAACAACTCTTGATTCTCCCCAAACCCTGCTGTAGCACTTCTCATAGCTGACCGCTCCTCTCTGTCCTCGACACCTCAGCCGTAATGTCCGTCGGCGGTACCTCGTCGGGGTCAGTCAAGGCCGCCTCGTGGGTGTGAAACATAGATATTTCGCCTTGCAGAAGCGTGGCCATTGTACCTCGATGTAGCAATGCAATACAAACGTCGAAGTCGTGCTAGAACGGTGATGGAGTGGGAATCTCGGAGTCATGCTTGTGCAACGTAGCACTAGGGGTCCCAAAGCGAGTGAGGTAAGGAGCGCAGGTTGCGTAGTCTATAGGTGTCAGGTGTAAGCTCGAACAGAGAAGGACGACGGTTGTTTACTGCAACTATGTTTCACGTTCTCAATCTTAGGCAGAAAATTGCGAGCCAGGCCGGCGAAGTGGATGTCTTGCCTACCAAGTTTGAAGTGGCGAGGACGACGGATTACTGACTGCGAGCTGAAGCAGTCGTCGCACAACGTCTGGCTTTGTTAGCTGAGCTCGATATGTGGGAGGAGAAAGGCTTACTGCCATACACCAGCCGGATACTAATACCGTCGCATGGCGCTTGGACTCGAGACTACACTGCAGGTAACGCCGACTCCCTCGGTAGTTGGCTGGGTGAACGTCGAGATGGCACACGGTGAGCCGATGGTGCACCGCGGAGTTTAGGCTGCCAAAAGACCTCGAGTGCGCTCTCGCGACGATTTGTTCAAGCATGTCGCGTACACGAAATGGTCTGCTCGCGTCAGCAGTGCTGAGGAGACGCGGGTGTAGAGGATACGAGGTACCCACGGCATGGCGGGGACGAACGACGGAGAAGTGTGACGGGCTTGGAGCAGAGGGGGTACTCATGTTTGTTGGTATTTGGGTCCTGCCATCGAAAGTTAATGGGCGTATTCGGCGCAAGATAGGTTCACCTCACCATTCCAGTCACCGACTCTTTCGATGTAGTCGAACCCAACGTGCGTCTCCAACGCTGGTCGATTGCGCAGCGAGGTGCCGGGACCTCATCCAATGCTACGAGGGCGTGTCTTGTTTGTCATGAAATTATCTTTGCCAATGGTCAGGGCGGCAGAAAGACTGTGAGTTGAGGATGAAGGATCGCCATTGAGCTCGCCGGCTTATGAGGCAGTTGGGCCTGTCGCGTTGCCACGGGTCTGACTTGGAGGAGATAACGGATTTCGAGCAAATCTGCGAACCCGAGGACCTTGGCCACCTCCTCGGCTCCATTCCAGTTGAATCTGTGTTGTCATCCAAACTGAGCGTGTCGCCCTCGCTAAGCACTCTTGTTGGGATGCGAGCGCTGGTTATGAGTCGCATGATATGAGCCTCCTCCTGGACCTGCTGCAGCGGCGGCGCGTCAATCCTGTTGCTCGCAGTGTGGCTACTTTCGCTAATGCGGTATTTCAACGTCAGCTGTCGCCAGTGGCTCACTAAGGGCGGAGGCGGAGCAGTGTCGCTTTTCGCCGTGGGCAGTCCGGCGAGATAGTCTGCTTGTCGCAGTTCAGCGGTTGATTAGACCGTCTCATGGCGTTTGGAGAGCGTGAGGCTGTCGTTGCGGTTGTCTGGAGCGATTCGGGAGGCGGGTGTGAGGAAGCCAAGGAGAGACTGGGTCGCGCTCGTTCACATTGATTGGTGTGAGGTGCAAAGCGCGGTGACGGTGATCCGGAAAATATCGAGTTGCGAAGCGCGAGTACTGTCGCACGTGCGCACGTGAGGAAGCGGAGGAGATGTTGGCGAGTACTTGTGCGTTATTGCAAACGCGCGGTGAAACCCGAGACGAGGCGGACGCGCTGATTGCTCATCATCTCGTGCCTGTCACGCGACGCCAAGCACGTCGTTGGCAAACCAGACATGGAGATGTGGCAGTGACGTGGAAGTTGATGACATTTTGGATATGCATGAGTATGCGCTGCCTTGGAAACGAAGACGCACGTCTCGAATAATTCGCGGGTCACTCTTGTCCATTGAGTGCTACTTTCCTCGGACCTGTTCGTTTCGTGGAGAAGTTGCCTAGATGTCCAGGGATGAGCGGAAGTGTGCCACATCGCCGAGGTGAAGGAGAGATACCAATCGGATCATAAGCATTGTTTGTGCAAACTGAGCGCCCTGGATAGATTGTGGCAGAGCATTTGCGTCAGTGAATATTTGAGAATACTCCTGAAATAAGCCTTACAATAATATTAAGGATGTGTCCCCACTGACTGACGAGCCCTGGTTTGTTGGTCGAACGCGAAGAAAGATACATCATCGAAAGCAGAATATGGTAAGCGGAAAGATGAGTCTGTGAAAGCAGGGAGGTGTACAAGAACCAGATCGAATATGCATAGAATGAAGAGGAATAAGGGTAGAAATTACCATGACCCTCAACACAACGCGAGAAACAAGAGAAAATGAGTGGGAACACAAGCTATAAGTTATTCGGAGGACAAAGAAAGTAATCTCAAATTTTGAACACAAAGTAACTGTGATTGTTGATAAAACATAGAATGCAAAGACACGTATCCCTTCCTACTTCACTACCAAGGAGCTTTTCAAAGAAAGGTCAAATCCCACTGGTGCTCGGGCTTCTCTCCAACTGCTGCGAATGCTTCCAAAGACAGGAAAAGGGCAGCATTCCACAACGTAGACTTTCCCAAGTGTACCCCTAAGGGTACGGTCGTGTTGTGGCTGTCTTGGGCAAAAACCAACGCCCCCGAATCGCCCTTCTCCGAAAATTGGCCGTCGGCTGCCTTGACTAATCCTAGGAACACTACTATCCTATCTCCGCAATCTGCACTTGCTACATCTTCAGACAGGGAATTGGTCGATGTATTCGAAGCGCTATCGCTCCCTTCGTTCGAATCGCTCCCAGAATGTAGGTACCAATCTTCTGGAGGTACTAGTACTATACCATCGAGACGGCCTTTGGTGAGACGCGTCTGTGCGCCCTGCTTGAAAACTTCTATGGCCTTCTGTTTGCAGCTCCATAGCAAGTTGTAGTAGCGACATCGTTGGTAGTCCAGGATTCGCGGATCGACCATCATAAAAGTCCAGTCTGGACGGTTGAAATGATATATATCAATTCGCGAGGATGTCTTTTTGAAGAAAGCTTCGAAATCGGCCTTTTCAATTTCTAAGATGCCAGCCTCAAACTCTTGCCAGTGCGTCGACGGTATCGCCATTTTAGGCCAGATCCGCTTCATCTGTACGCGGAGATCACTCCGGGTTATCTGGAGCTCCATCGCATCATGCGATGCTACAACATGTCCGGCTGTGATAGCAAAATACCGGTCGTTGTTCTGAAGCACAGCGCCCAATGTGCCCTCAAAATTGAGGGCAATCTCTTCCTCATACGGTAGTATGGCGTGAGGATCAAGAAGCGCATCGCCGGGAAGAAGGCGCTCAACGTCAGACTCCTCCTCAGACTCCTCAAAATCTGATGATGACGAGTGTTGCACCAGACCTATGTCTTGATATCGCCTCAATTGAATATATGGCACATCGAGACATTGTGGTACCGCCTTAACGCTGCCATTCTGTCTCGCGTACGCTATGAGGGTATTTTGCATATTGGTCCACGAATATACGAACATGCGATAACTAATGATGAAATTTAACATTGAAGCAAACTAAGAAAAATGTAGAATCATTATCAAACCCTGACGCAAAGAGCACCTTTTGGATAAGGTGCTGCAGGATGCCAAAGAGACCGTTGGCACGACTCTCTGGTGTACTGAACTTGTTCTTGGCGAAGAACATCGCCTCAACTACAGAAAGGAGCGTCGGTGATTGCGCAATTGGGGATTTCTGGAAGTCCCAGTGCCGCATAGCTAGCTCAAGAGCTTTCAGCTTGATTATCTGTTCTGGTGCAGCTTTTTCGAATGCTTGTTCAATATGGTCTAAGACGCTGTCGCGCCGAGGCGAAGGGAATGGCTGGGGGAGGAGGGGAAGAGAGTTCGACATAGTGGTGCGAGTGAGGTGTCTTGGAGCAGGGGGTGCTGTTTTGTATGATGGCGAGAGAGATGTAGGCTTCGTGTTATTTCAGCTTCGAACAATCGATCGACAGCAGTCCACGGTGAAGACACGTCGTGCTGGCAGACATGCGAGCACGCTAAAAGTCCTAGCCGTGGACATGGCAATGACACTAAAATTTCGTATCGCTGCAAGCTAGGCTAGGGGTTCGCCTGTCTGAATTCCTATTCTGAGGCTTAGCAATGAGTCTATATAATCGGTCTGTTCAGATATAACAACATCAAATGTCGAGCACACCGGAGAGAAGGCAAACGAAGAAGATGGTAAGTTGGTATACACATCTACTGTCTATGTTAAGCCCCGACGTGTTTGATCCTCGCATCCCATCTCACAACTCCAACCCTCGCATTGCTCCCACTGCCCCATCATCTTGCATTCCCCTGATTACTTTGCCTTTGCAGCACGAAGGGGCATAGTCGCTCTTGGATGGGAGAGCGGAATTTGCAGAGCCTTGATTGATACCAAGGTCGACGTGTGTTTCTTGATACACCGTGGAGTGTTGGCCGGAACTTGGCTTGCTGTGTCGGTGGATCTGGGAGCATGGCCGGGCATGCGCTTCGTTGCTGTGGGAGCTGCTGGTGGCGACACAGGCGAGATCAGGGTGGAATCGGTCAGAGCTGGAGGCCCATATCTCCCCGTATCTGCCATGCCGAATGAGTCAGCCATCTGCCTGACCTCTTCAGCACTCGTGTGCTCATTGACACTCATAGCCCTTTCGCCCGTTCGGCTTCCAAGCAAACCCTCTACATCGCCCAGTCTCTTCTTCAGAGCTGTGCTCTCCTTTTATACTTTGCTCACGCCGGCGTTTGTCTTGCTGCCTTGTCGGAACAGGATGTTGATGTCCTCGGTGTTGCCGGGCGTGGCATTGCTGAGTGCAGGAAGGTTCAAGCCGGCATTCGTGGTTGCGGTGGCCGCGGTGGTCGTGCCAGTCGGTCATCCGGTCGACGTGTGGCTGGCAGCGCGTCTTGAGGGCCGCGTCGCCGTTGGTGGTCGAGTACCTGGCCGTGTTTCCGCATTAGACGTTGTGACGGGGGGTGCCGCGGCAGCGAGGATGTGGAACCGCCTGGCTCAGATAGCACTGCAGCCGGCTATCAGGAGTGACCGGCTCGAGACATGGCGATGCTTCTGCCTGGCATCGTTATGTTGCTGTCTGATGCTCATCGAGAGACTTCGTGCGTCGTCACGCCTCATCGGTCGACAGGCTTTGTGTGTCGACATATCTCATCGGGCGGAGTCGTGTGTCTGCGTCGGTGGTGGCCGTGCCAAGAGGCCCAATTCGACTCTAGCACGCACAGCGCCAATCAGCATTCGAGAAACACTTCTACATGAATCACACGCGTAAACACGTGCTCGCTGTCCATCGAATCTCACTCCGAATCGTCCCCCGCATCATCATGGTTTGCCGTCGGTTCCATGCCACTGTCCCGTCGCCGTTGCGATTATGTTAGCTGGCCCTAAGCTATTCATTCTGTAGCTCCACCAACCTCCTCACCCTCTGCAGCTTTTCCCACCTGCCCAGCATGTCTCCTGTTCGGCCACATCTTTGTCAACCTCGGCGGCAGTCGTCGCTGTCTGCGTCTCGACCAACTCGTCGTCCACGCGCTGCTTTTCGAACATGTCCGCCTCCATGACATGCTCGAGTTGCTTCACGACAACCCCTCCCATTTGTGTTTCGGTTGTTCTCCCAAGCGCCGACACCTCGCGCATGACATCTTCATTGAGCCGCGCCTCGATTGTGTCCATGATTGCTGCTTGAACTCTTGACAGCTATGGCGCTGACTGCTCGCCCTACCTGCGATGCATCTGAGCAAGGGGTTGTCGTCCATCGTCCGTTGCGTCGCTTCGGGGCTGACTTAGAGCTGCTGGTTCCTGAGGAAGCCGTCCACAGACTCTGTCATTACCGTTCGCCATTTCTCAGGGATCGCCGTGTCTTCGTTTGGACGTGGTGCATCTGTTGCAAGATTGGCATCCAAATTTGTTGCGAAAGCCTTCCGAGACTCGACGTGGTCAACGACCATCTGCGCCCGCATGTCCGCTTTGCCACGATACATCGCATGCTTCGCTTTATCCTGCATCCATCGACCTAGCGAATACACTTGCATCACGACTCTAGCTCAGCGAATGCATGTTAGTTTCATGGTCCTGCCCAAGATCTGGCGCGTGTGCTCGAGCCGGCGCACTCAGTTCTCAGCAAGATGGCCTCGCAGCTTGTGGAGATCCTGCTGACGATCATGCCTAAGCGCATGATGCGCATGCAGGAATTTGCGGGACCGATCATGTCGAAGATGCTCGCGCTGGAGATTGAAGCCCATACCCCTCATCTGATTCAGCTCCTCTCTAGTCGGCCCGCTACCTCTATCTCCGTATCAATGCTATCGTCCACGGCCTACTTCCTCCCCGCTCCTCGAGCTCGGTTCGCATCTTAGCGCGGAGAACGACTTTCGCCTGATTAGCGACTGGTCGCTGCAGCTGGGCTTTTCACATCAATAGCAGTGTGTTCGCCCCACGCGCGACCTATACGCATACCGGTGAAACAGACCTTCCGTGCAGACAGTGGAAGGAGGACAATTCTGGAATGCTCGAGCGCAGGAGTAGCTCTTTTCTTCGCTGTGAAGCGGGGAGCCAGCGAATCAGCCATCCACCGTTTGTACCGCTGTCTGTGACTTTGGTGAGTGCGGCAAGTTAACCACGCTTTACTATCTTGACTCCTTGCACAAACTTTTGGATATACTCCTTGGTTGGTGCGCACGGCAGTGAGACTTGAGGCATAGATGTTGTTGAGCAACCCAGCCACCAACGCATATGCAGTTCTGGACAAATGATCTGGGCCTTGGAACTGGAGGAAGCTCGACGCTGCGGTGTTGCTGAGGCAGTGAGGTGGGTCGAGACGTTGCATCTGGCAAAGATATGGCGAGACATGTATGGTACATTATGTGTATGTTCTATATCGGCTTCTCGCGTGCAAATAATCTGCCCTGGTGTAACTTTTCTAGCTTCAATTCGACAGGATCCTTTCTCACCAATACTACCATCACGCAGCCGCACATCTCTTTGAACAGCAAGCACGAATACAACCATTGCGACAACGTCTCACGCAGTCATATTTTGGAAATCTCGAGGCCGGGACATCCACCACGAAGACACGCAGACACAATCTTGAGCAACGGAACGGCCTGGAATACCGCCAGAGGAACAGCACACTTAACACGCAGGGCAGCTCTGGAATTCTCTCCCTTAAAGCAGCCGGAGTTGACATGACCTAAAAATATCTTCACTCGGTTGTTCCCGCCGACCATCGCCGCAGACTCCGCCTTCTTGCTCCACGTCATCAACAATAAAGACAACGTCCATGGCAGCCTCGTATCAACTTACCTCCTCCCAGGCGCAAACTTCGCTGCCCCACGATACCGCTGGCTCAACCTGTAGAAAATCGAACCATACGTCTGTAGGAAGACGCCGCACTGTCATTAAATTTACAAAACCGTGGAACCACACGAAGCAAGCGTACAAAATCCGGAGAGCAAACCATGTCCTACCTTTCAAACAGACTTTAGGGCCTTACGCGCACCCTCGGCCTCCTGCTGCTCCGCCACCTTCCGCACAAACACTCTACACTCTTACACAAACACTCGGAGTCGATCTCCGCAGACGACGATGCATCGCTGACCCTGCATATATATGGTGGCGGAGGGGGCTGTGTATACTCATCCCCACTGCATCGGGACGCGTATCATGACAGACAAATTTGTTAGGCTGTTCGAATACTGTCGAGGCATCGCGTGATTGAAATGTTCGAGGCATCTTGCCGTATGGCATCGATTGGTTGGACCACGAAACGCAGCCGCGGTAAACTGAAGACGATCCCGCTGAGTTTTCGAGATGTGTTTCCTAGGCAGCGACGATGCACAGTGCGCTGCTGCAAATGGGGGTTTGAAGATGCAGAGATAAGAGGCGAAGACTTTTCGATGCGCTGCAGCACACGGTGATTGTATGTGCGTTTCTTCGCGGGAAAGTGGGTGTAGAGCGCTGGTGCATTACTGCCGCGTTCCGGTATCTATGATTGCTCGGGGTTGGAGACAATTTTTGGTTGCAGCGAGGGAAGGGGTTGCGTGACTGAGTGGGGAGGATATAGGGGAGAGTGTGGCGAGTCGATAGAAAGTGATAGTTCGACCCTAGCTTCCGGAGGCGGACTGGTCAATTCATAGGAGCAGGCCTTGAGCTACCAACTCTTCCGTATCCTATTCACACTCATGTGTTCGTACACTGCGTGTTCTTCAGCCTCTTCGGGTTCTCTTCTCTACCAGATTTGTCTTTAGCCGTCTTTGCATTCTCCTTCCATACTGACATGCTTTTCTTTCTGCCACTCTTCTCGAAGGCTTTTCTTACTCCTACTGTGACTGCTTCCACTCGTTCCTCTACTCATGAGAGTGGTCAAGTATCTTCAGCCATCGTATGGTTGGCACGATATTCACTTCTTTTGTGTGCGGGGACGTTTCCAAAGACTTGAAATGGGCTCTGGACCGTGTAATTGAAAAGACAAGAGCTATACCACGGAATAAGTAGCACATCGAATCTCGCCCAACCTCGTCTCGAAAATGTAAACTTTTCATGACATTTGCGAAATTCGGAGGTTTCCAAGACGTCCGTCCATTCATTCCCAAATCAGTATCCTCCTCCGTTCACTTCTAACAGCATTGCTCTTTACTGAATCCACCCAAGATATATACTACCAAGCCCTTCGAAAATTCCGCTGTACAGCCCCCAGTATGCAACTTATAGACCGCAGCTCGTCTTCGTGACGCATACATTCGGCGTACTGGCGCCAATCTCTACGGAGGGCTACCCCACGATTGTAAAAAGCGTGGAGGCGAGAGTGGATTCCCTGAGTAAGATGGCGTTTCAATTTCAAGCAGCATCTCGCTTGCATTGTGTTCCCCAATCCATGGCATCCAAGCATTTTCTAGCCGCAGTTCTTCTAGTCGTAGGTGGATGCATTATGGAATTTCTCACAGCTCCTCGCCCCACATTTCTTACCAGGCTTGTTTGCTCACCACATAGCGAGGTAAGCGTTCTAGAATGCAGACACGAAGAATCGTTTCTGTGAATTCTTCACTAGTCTTATAAGTGTCTAATTGTGAGGACCGAGGTGGTTGTACTTCCTGGGTTGCCGACACGAACACCTCGACACCAGGGCCCGGAGTGTCGATCCTGCAAAACATCTTATTATGCCAGAAGTAAGTGCTACCGTGTAAAGACATACCAATTGCGTTGGTTCGGCAGCATCATACTGTGCTGGAGCAGTGAGGTATGTTCATGTTCTGGCAGAAATCGGGAAGACTTTGGTAAATACCACTCATCATCGCTTCGGACTTCATCATGATGTGGGTAGAGTACCTACAACTTCACAGGCTGGATAGATTCTTGCATCGTTGGATGGTGGTGATTTTAAACTATACACATTTGAATCATTGTGGCTCAGAGAGGGGTGTTGCGTCAAACCCATGTTTATTACAAGCAGGACCTACTGGAATTTTCTCTTGACAATCGGCACTATGATGCTTATCCCGCGCAATCTTCTGAGAGTTTATGTCCAAGCAACACAACGCTCGAAGCAATCTGACCATACTTCAAAACAAGAGTCTCGGAAGCACACTCAACTTCCACAAAAAGTCCACTCAACACAAACCAGTCCCAGTCGCAGCTCCACCCGTCAATCCACCACATACATCATCCCCCCATCCCCCCATCCCCCGCAACCCTCCCGCGCAACCATACACCTCAGCGCCCCCACACACCCCTCCACACAACCCTCAAGCGCCATCTTCCGCCCCAAACAAAGCCCATCCAGCCTCCCAAACCGCGGATCCTCCACGCGATACCCCCTCCGAACATCACACCTCACACCATCCACGATCTCATACGCCGGGACCCGCGCCGCGATGATACACACACCCGCCAAGCTCGTCGGATTGCGGATGCAGTAAAATGTCCGTCTCGAGAAAGCGTGGTGCGCCATTCCGTCTCGTATGAGCTCCACAGGCGAGCCACGCTGCGTAGGATTTCGGTCCGGCCTTCGGCGTACATAGCGCGGGAGGAGAGCAAGAGGCCGCGGTAGGAGGCGGGGAGGCCGTTGAGCGGGGTCATTAGGCTCCAGATTTTTAGTCGGAGTTCGGTGGGGAGAAGGGTGAAGGGGAAGATGGTTTTGTCAGTGGGGAACTGCTGGTTGGTGAGCGGAAGTGGGTAGTTGACGTGACGTGTGGTGGCTTCGGTGGACTCGGATGGAGCTGGTTGCTTGTTTGGTGTGCTCGTGTTCGTCATGGGAGGGGAAGGCGAGGTTGCGGGTCGAGGCAGATGACAGATAGCCACGGCGACGGCGAGTAGACGAGTGATCGTTTATGGTCGTTGAGTCACTTCTGCGTTTTGGTCAGTGATGTTCAGGAGCAGTGGTGATCTAGGCAACAGACTTTCGTTTCCCCATGGTCGTATGCGATTGCTAACTCTTATTCGTTGCGTGGAGGAGAAACGACAGAAAGAAGAAAGAGAGGTGACCAAGAGGTGAAATAACAAAAACCGCAGTGCAATACCAAGACAAATTGCTCATTCACCTCAGCTCACACTTTTTAGCGTATAACAAGTCATCCGCAGTGCTTACGCCCCACTTCACGAGACTCCACTGTGATATCATGCATCCATAGCAGGGATTTTGCCCGGGAAGTTCCAGGCCCCGCAAAAAGAGCAGTGAAAAGCGATTCTGGCTGATACGGAAAGAACTCAGCAATAGTTAGACAAAGCGGAACCCGACTGACGATTCCCTTCACCATCTAGACTCTCGCTTCCGAGAAGCATAGAATTGGCATTGGCGTTATCGAATGAATGGTAATGCTTATGCAGATTTCTAAGTTCCCGAACTGAGAAGAGCTGCGACAATGAAGATGATTGAACATTGCACCTTGAGTTATTCCCACGAGCGACATGAAACGCACGTTGACTGCAAGTCATTGAATTCCGGAATACTACGTATCGAATTTCCAAACCCATCCATACCTCCACAGATTTATCTCGCCATATTCCACCTCACAACTCCAAACTGCGCATCGCTCCCACTACTCCCGCATCCTGCAATTCTCCGACTACCCCCCTCAGCCGCCTACCCTCCCTCCTGGCCAACAGCCCCGCATCCTGCAGCCTCAGAGCTGCTGTTTCCAAGGTCTGGATTCGTCGGTCGCGATCGAAGATAGTAGACTGATCGTGGAGAGACCACACGGCGAGATTGAGCTTGGTACCGGGGATTGCAGATAGAATGGGGTGGACATCAGGATCGGGCATGGTGGTGTTGGTGGGTATGGATGGTTTCTCGGCGCGGAACTGGAATTTCTGGACCATGGCCAAGGTGTGAGTAGCGGATTGGAGCTGGGCAGATAGTCTGGTCGTGTTGGTGAGGTGCGCGGAGACTTGTGCTGTGGCGTTGACCAAGGTCTTGTGCTCGAGAACGGCGCGGGCGGTGCCATTGGTAAGTGTGGTACGTTCAAGCGTCGCGGCAAAGGTGGGGATTGGCGGTAGGGTGGCAGGCAGGTGTACATCATGAGTGCGGAAGTGCGGCTTGTCCATGCAGCGCTGGGCCGCTACAAGAACGTAAGTCGCGTCTCGATGCTGAGTGGATAATCTGTTCGCGTTGGTGAGCTGCATGGCGGCACGGTCTGCAACGTCGGCGAGCTTGGCGTATTTGGGCACGGTGCGGGTAAAGTCCTTCAGAACTGTGGCAAAGGTCGGGAATGGAGACGTAGCGATCGGTACAGGCTGGCTGGGACAATTCCGAACGTGGCAGTATCGATGAGCAGTCATCATGATGGAGTATGCCTGCTGTGCCTGCTCCGCAAGCCGAGTCGAGTTGATTGTCTGCCGAGCACGGCTGTACTCGTCGCCGACCTTTCCCAGGATACAACCGAAATTGGGCATGGGCTGATGACTCGTCGACATCGCTATCTGCGGACGCGGCTCAGCAGCGCATCGCACCTGCTGCACAGCCCCAAGCAGCCGACCAACAACTCCACACTGCTCTGCCAGCATTGAAGAATGAAGTGCATTCTGGCAAGCGCGGCTAGCAAGTGAACCGTGCCGGGGCGTCAAGCTGTCAAAGATGGAAGTGAAGGTTGGAACCGTGGGTGGGATGTCATTGATGTTGGTCATGATGTGAAGTTGCCGAATCTCCGCCTGACACTGACTGCGATGGATTGACGTGAGGAGCTTGGAGGCGACAGCTTGCTGCTCGGCGTACTTGAGGACGTCATGAACTGCTTTCTGACTGGCGAGGATGCGGTGCTGCATGCTCACGTCGGCCAGGATAGATGTAAACGTGGGGTGGTTGGGAGACCCATCATGACCCGTCCCTTTCGGCAGCGAATGACGTCGAGTTGTTCCATCGAATCGGTAATGCTTTGCAAGAGCCATGACTTCATGCGCGCGGCGCTGCTGTTCGACCAGCCTGATCAAGTGGTCGGTATGTTTCGTGTTTTCGAACTCGTTATCATCGGTCGTAGGTTCGTCAATAACGTTGGACGCTCGATTGGTCGGCATGTGTGAAGACACGGAAGCCAGCACTTGCGCAAAGCTGGGCGTGGAACCGGCACATCCATAGACGCGACTCTGCAACCTCAGCAATTCCGACGACTTGCGACGGAGCTCCTGTCGGTATTGGATCTTCTGGAGCGATGCCAAAATTGCCGAGGCGTTGTTCTGCTGTGCCGCATACTTGAGCGAGTCGGCGAGTAGTGACGCGACGTGGGTGGACACAACAAGCGGATCAGTCGTGGCCTTGGGCATCTCGAGCGAGACGTCCTGCCTCTTCTCCACGCCATCCAAGCGGCTATCTCCAAGGCTCGTCGCCCTCTGTAGGGTGTTGTTGGGGTTGTTGCCGACGCTGTCAACAACTTTCACGACGACATCATGCGCGCTCTTTGCAAGCTCTCCACCACTTCGCGTTACCTCGCCAATCCTGCGCTCCACTTCGGCGAAGCGTGCTGCATTTTGGGTGATGCCAGTGCGGACCTCCTTCAACAAGGCATTCTCCAGCTGTCGTGCCGCGCCACTGATATGAGCATGCAACTGCGATTGGTCCTGGCGCAGATTGTCGACGACGCTGGACAAGTCGGTAGCGACCTGCTTACGTATGTTTTCTAGCAGCGGGCCCTGCATGTACATCTTCGAGTCGTTGCATGCGCTTCGGAGTTTGGTGTCTTGCTCCTGTGACATCTGCCAGAAGAGCTGCTGCAGATTGAGTTTCGGTTCGTAGACGGGCGAGTGCGTGCGGCGGCGCTTGTGGTTCTGATTTCGGGATGGGACTTCATCGTCGTCGGATGACGAAGAGCTGTATGAGGGGTTGCGGCGTTTCTTGCGGCGACTGGAGGTGGGGTGATGTTCCTCGTGGATGTCATTAGGACGCTCAGTTGAAGGCAAGGGAGTTTGTGCTGTGTTGCGCAAAGATGGCGGAGAAGCAGACGGCGTGTGTAGTGCATTCTGGGGTCGAGGTGCGTCTGGCAGGCGTGTATTTTCTGTGCATGTTAGCTAGATAGATGGATGGTGGGAGAGTGACACACCATCAGTACCGTTTGTATGGTTCGCAACCAACTTATCCGACGACCGAGCGACATCAAATGAGAGGCCTGCATTCGACACCAATGCAGTCTTGTTCGAAGCTGAAGCGCCACTCGCAGCCCGAGGACCATGCGATGTGGACAATATCGATGCATGGGAAGAGGAAGGCGACACCTTCGAACTCGGCGGTACCAAACGCGTCGGCGACACTCTCACGCTGTCCATTGCGACCCTCAGCGTCACACGACCTCGACCCGCCTCAGGCGACGAACTGTACTGCTCGGCGCGCAGTTGGCGTTGGATATCATCGTCGTCATCGACATGGTCCAGGTGCGGTGCCGGGGTGAAGAAGTCCTCGGCAGGAGGGGTGTAATGGTGTGTGTGGGGAGAATGTTCGCGTGGAGGCGGCGTTGGATTGGCGTAGAGATCGGGGCTGGACGGTGGGATGGATGAGGAAGGCACTGATGGGATGTGGACGTCAATGTTTGACCCAGCCAAGCTCGAAGGACCGCCACTCGACGACGGCTCTGACGCAACTGAGTCCCCGCTGCCCGTCGTGCCCGCAGAAGACGACGTGACGCCAGACGCGCTCGATGACTGGCCAGACGCAGAAGATGACTCGGTGGACGAGGCACCGCTTTGCCGACTGGGCGTGTACGACGCATCACTTGCACCATCGCGCGTCTTGCCAATATACCGCCCTGCCCTCCCAGTGGTCGGCGGCGTGCGCATCCCCGTAGCAGGCGTGGGCGTCCTCATGCCCAGCACGGCCTGTCGCGCCACCACCTCCAGCGCGCCCTGCAGCTGCGGGAAGCGGGCCAACCTCGCGCGGTTCGTCTGCAGCCATGTCATGTACTGGTACGGCACGTCCTTGAGGCACGTGCCCTTGTATTTGCCCGTTGGCATGGGTTGGTTGCGCGCGGCGCGGACGGCATCGCGGAAGCTGGGCGTGCTCGACGGCCGTGAGCGGATCGGTGACGGTGACGGTGACGGCGTCGTGGGGGGACGGGGAGGCGTCGACAGCGACATGGTGCTGTCAGCTTAGGCACGTCTGAAATGGCGAAAAGCGAGGAAAGCAAAGGGCGTCGCGCAGCCTCTTATGTTGGGCTTCATCTTCACCCGCCGCCAGTCCGTCCATGCCATGACAGTCGCAGCTGTAAGTCAACAGCGTCAAACTTCCGTGTCTGAGATGCAGTGCGCTGCGCAGTCATCGTGTCATGTATTGACGGCATTGCATTATCCCGTCATGGTTGGGTGTTGGTGGGTACATGCTAAGCTGGCTGGATGCAAAGTCTAAAGCGTCTGGGGCATGGACGAGATGTGTGTTTCGTCTTCATGATGATATTGTTGTCATGTTTGTGTTGCTGGTGTGCTGACATAGGAGAAAGCGTTGCAGCCCAGTAGGTTTGGCGGCGCACTTGACAAGAACCAGCTCGGCATTAAGTTCGTTTTTGGTGAATTTGTCTGCGCGGGTAGAACAAGAGGCGCAGTGTATCGTGTTGCAGTTGTGTGATGGTCGGGTGATATTCGAGCGGCTGCGGGACAGCGGCGCCGGACTTCGGTCGCTTCGATTTTAGCTAGCAGGGATATCAAGCGAAGCAAGTCGCCCCACAACTTGTGCTCAATCATAGCTTGTCGCTTCGCTTTGACCCCTGCTAGCTAAAATCGAAGCGATTAGTAGATAGCGAGGAACATGGAATCGATCTCAGAGTTGACCGTAATGTCTACCGTTGCGGTAGTAAGCATAGCGTCTTCACGCTAGTTGAACTAGTCAGGATGGCGTTATTGGCGTAACGGTTAGTGACTGCTGCAAGAAGACGAGGAGTTTAGTCGTGGACAAGTCTCAACAAGTAAAATGCGCTGACGTAAAAGAACGTGATGCATTCTCAATCAACTGAAACCTGCTGAAATGACAATGCAGAGGAGATAGGATACAGACCAAACTCTATCCATCGTTCAAAGCTCACAGTCGCGTCTATTAACGGTACAGTGGAGTGATAAGTCGTAGGTACTAACCGCATTGAGCTATCCCTGCAACCACACATCACTCCACCTGATCTGCCCCTTCCTCTTCCTCCCGAGTAGCAACATGACCGCTCTATACAGCCCCTCCCTGCCTCTACTGTGCCAGTACACCAGATCCTGTGTGGTCAATACCTGTCTGCGACATCAGGCTGCCGGCTGTCCTTCCCCTTCGCAAGGCGCCGCGTGGTTGACAGCATGTGCAGTCGTGTGAAGGCTGGAGCTGGAGATGGGGCTGCAAGGCGGACACGAATGCGCAGGCGAGTCGTGTATAATTTCCAACGCTTGGTACGGCTTGAGAACCACATAGTCATTGAGCCATTCTGGAAATCGATGGAGGGGTTTCGTGAGTCCTTTCCGAAGGTGCGCTTCGATAGGTGGCTGGGCTCCACGGCCAAACTTAAAGGCAATGAGGCCACAGCCAAGTTGGCCTAGTAACCTTTGTATCGCGCTGAAGAGAAAATTGTGGGCGTATTGTAGTACAAAGGCCTGCTGGAGATCAACATTCCCTTTGAAAAGAATCTCTGTAAGTATTTGTAAAGTTTCTGGTGTTTGTTCATCGTTCGGTAATTGCATGTCCCATGCTTCGCAGGCACGCTGGAGGTCCTCGACTTTCAATTTCACCACAGGCTTGAATCTAGGCTCCCATTTGGGATTTCTTCGCTGTCTTCGCCGTCTTTCTGCTGGCTGTGGTTGCGGTGGCTCGGAGATATCGTTGGTTGTCATGATGTCTTCTCGCTAGCACGATGCTGTGCGCTGTTGATCAAATTTATTAGGAGTCGGTAAAATGAGTAGGTCTCTTTTATATCACTGACTCACAGGCTAAGAAGCGAGCGTGACGTACAAGTTCGCGGGATATTTGTGGTTCTGGTTCAAGATCGGGTGTTTGATAGATCGTCCTTAGTGCCATTGGCTACCGAGTAAGGTATTGCCACTACATTCGTGGTTTCGACCTGCTGGCAAGGTGTGCAAGAGACTGTCGTTATCACAAATTCCTGGTTCATTGGTCCCGTGCAAGTCCAATTGCGAAACACTCAATTGTCACCAAATGTAGCTTGGCAGTGAAATTGCACGATGCTTTCATGGTCGCAATTCACTCTCTTTTCTACCTCGGAACTGCTACCAACCCTGCTCATTGCCGCAAATCAGCACTGAGATACATATCCGCGCACAATGCCCCCAGCTCACTCGATATAAAAATGCTCTCAGCATCGCAAAGAAAAAACCACAACCCATCTCAATAATCCCAATCTCCATTTCACGGTACAAGCCCGCGACGCGATCTCGAGAAGACCAAACCTGCTCAAATTTCTCCACAACACTTCTATCTACAATGTTCATCTCAGGATCATCGTCAATGCCTGGTAGACTCGCCTCCAAGGTTGAAGCCGCTCGGCGCCTCCAAATCGCGACTGAACTCGCAATGAAGGCAGCTGTAGATATGGACAATGCATATACTGACTTCGCAGAATTTAATCACATGGAAATTTGTTATAGCCCTACGCCATACTCGGCAGATTATGCCCGGGCTGCTATTGGCAGCGCAGTAGAGCAATGGAGAAACGCGACGGAGGTTCAGTCCTTTTATCCACGTTCGGTACAGGGTTTGCTGCGGAACATTGAGCAGGAAGTCGAACATGAGAACAAGCTGCAAGAAAAGAAGAAGACGGAACAGAAGCAGGATTTCAATCAGATACTCGCGGAGACGTATGACCCGAAGCCAAAGCTGGAACCGGCAGGTAGGTTTGATCAAATTCTTGCTGAGACGTACGAGAACTCGTCTGCAGAAGTGGACAGTCGCGATGAGCCTGACGAGAAGTCTCGCAGTGACGTTATGGATGAGTCTCCTAAAGGAAGATCCCGTTTTGTAGTTTGGGATATGACCTCCCTTGAATTCAAGCTGTCGGGCTGATGTCAGAGGAATAAGAAATTCATCCCGCTCATAGGCCCTTCCATATGCACAACACTGACCGCAGAATCTTTTCGACGAGCGCGATTGCATCGAAGGTTTTAGTTATCTTACTTAACATCTGCTGCACAAGTTTGATCGCGGCCATATAACATCCGGCAGGTAGTCACAGCATGGGAAGAATGGCGACGACGAACTGGCGCATACCATGATTTGATTTCTCTTTGCTGACTGAACGAGCATATGAGGCGATGGAAGAGGTTGGCAGAAATTTTAACTAGATGTCTATAATGCTCGGCAATATCTGTACTACCCATGAAACCTCCACGTAGATAACTCAAAACAAACCGAACATCTCTTGACTCTTCGACAGAAACCAAAGTGATACTTTTATGATGGTGACGGTCTCATGCTTTCCAAAAACCGTGAACAGTCTGTAACATGATCCCTTACTAATCCTTCCCCTCCAGTGACGCCCCTATATCCACACCGGTGCGTGTATACAAACCCAAGAGCTCCAAAACCCGCATAGCATCTACGCTTTCCTCATCCTCAAAGTCGAACACTCTCGTTCCGACCCCAATAACTGTCCACGCTTTGCCCAGAACCCTTTCCTTGTCTTCTTTCGCGAGGCGATAGATATCTCGCTCAAGTGTAGCACGAAGCCGAGCCACTGCATCCATCTGTATCGCGCGGAACTTCTTCGAGATCTCCATATCCGCTGCGTGTCCATTTCGGAGCTCAGTTGATTCCCGGAAGAACCTCATGATGGCTGGCCACTCAGGTCTGTTTGTGTCGATTGCCGCAAGCTCAAAGGCGAAGCATCCGTTACTTTTTCCAGCTTGATCACAGATACCAGGCTTGATAAGGTTCGGATTGGCCCATGCATTGTGTGCTGCATTCTCCGAGTTGACAATGGTTTGATGGAACGTAATTGCGGCATGTGCAAAGTAATCCCAGCGTGTGTCCGAGGTGAAGTTTCCATAGAGATCGAGGATGTGGTTGCCCGCGGTTAGAAGGATCTGAGAAGGTATCGTCGATTGGTATGACGATGGGAAGAAGTGACCAAACGTAGATTCGTACATTAGCTCAAGAACGGGATATCGGTCCCAGTATGTTGGTGCCGGAGCCATGGCAAGCTGACGCTGAGCCTTGGTCATGATCTTTGCAACATTCTTCGAGAACAATTTGTGCTTTTGAATAAGAATCGTAGCGTTGTCATACGTGTGGCCGGCCCATTCCATCTGATCATCGAGGCGTTCGGCAATGGACTTCTGACCAGGAAAGCGACCGTTACTGGCCGCTGCTACGATCGCAAGATCGATGTCGGTGTTGGATGTCCAGTTACGTGCGTTCTGGATGTGGTTTGTACATCGAACGAGGGCCATTGGGGCGTGGCAATGATTGACGTCAAGATGGATGTCGGGGCAGCCGAGAGGTACAGGAGAAGGTAGGGAACGGTAGGTGTATTGGTAGTAAAGTGCGCCGTTTGAGGCAATGATTAGGAGTGACCCCGCAAAGAGAAACAGTAACACCCGGAATAGCCGGTATAAGAGGGTTTGACAAGTTCGTCGTCTAACCGTGCAAGTCGGTTCGACAGGGGTCATCCTGTTCTGAGATTCTGGTGGAGGGTAAACATGTTGCGATGGAACGGACAGAGGCTTATATGGATCACGATAGAGGTAGGTCGTTTGGCCCGTAGGTTGAGGCTGTGCCAATGATGTCTGAGGTTTATGGGCTCCCATTTGAGAGTAGCGTGTTGGACGGCTCCGTACATCAACATTGCGGTCTACAGCTCTTCCTGACGCACTAGCGTATGACACGTCCTGTCCTCGCCTTCGGTTGTCGAAAATGCTGAAAGATCGTGTTAGTTTCGAGGATTCGAGAGGGGGCAAGGTGGATGCAAAGAGTAGCCCGGGACATCACACGGAATAGGAAAGGCAGAGCGGAACCAAAGTAGCCGATAGAAAAAACTTTACCCACCCATCTCCAGCATGATCTTCAAATCCCTCTATAGCCATATGTGTTACTTGTCCAGGAAGTGATGCTTGAACGAGGGAAGAGTTCCGGTACGATTCGCCAGAGCGGCAACAGACGATGGAGACCTCAGTATCCAGTGTGAAGGGCATGTTTGCTCTTGAAGTATTCTCCATCGTGTCCTACTGTCGGGGCAATCTGCTTGGGTTTCTATTGCAGACCATGCATGTATTTGTCACAAACTTGATTACCGACATTGGAAGGTTGCGGAGGGTTAGGTCACACACAAAAGGCGGTATGCAAGGATGCTTGATTCATGAGATCTTCAATTTTACCAAAAATATAATTCTAGCGGCTGAAGACAACGAAAGGCTCAACTCAAACAGTGCAACTTGCCGCTAGTCTGGCGCATGTCCGTGTGTTAAATACGAAGACGAATTGTGTGGTGGCTAATGAAGTGAGAAGACAAAACGCACTCACCCGTAACCTGCATACGATGAGATGGCCGATAGAATCCCACACAAAGACTGTCGCACAATAAACACAAACGGAAGGTGACATCGTGGCATAGCGGCTGAGTGAAGAAAAGCTTGCGAGACGGGGCTGCACAGTTGTGCGTGAACAAAGTTTGCTTGTCATCAAGCCACATTGTTGGCGTCGGAACAACGAGAATAGCTGCTCATCTTTGCATAACGATTCATACAAACCATATACCATGAGGTCCGAGCTGCGACACATCACATCGTGGACAAAGAAAGTTGCGAAGAATAAGCACAACTTCAAGACCGCAAAGACAAGGTAGATATTCTGATCTGGATATCGTAACACCTCAAAATCAGCCCAACACCTCTTTTCGTACTTTTCAACGGTCATGTCGCCCAAACCGCCCGATAGTCGAGGTCGGAGACGTGCTCGCAGAGGCCATCCTCCCTCCGGAACTATCGTCGCAAGCCGAGAAATACTACCTGTACAACCTGTCCGGTCTCCAAGAGTTCATAGGGTGTCAGCTGTGAGTTCCATCGAGCGCCATCTAGTCAAAGATGCTGCATCAGATCGAGCTCAGGAAACCTTGATATCTCAAGCCCATCAGCCAGAAATGAGTGAGCTATCTCGATCTATAGATCGTTCTCTCAACATCGAACTAACAGGTATACAGACGAAGCCAGCATCCTGGATGAAGGCATGCGTATGATTCTCCAGCATCCGACCCATAAGTTGACCAACTCGGAGCGATTCTTCATCGAATATGTGGCCCGCCCGCAGCCATCTCGCACACGATCGGAGCCTCCAAGTCCTCGCCGTAAGGTACCTGAGGCAAGAGTCGAATCGGGATACATGCCACGATTGCGCCGAGGTGTTGACAAAGCCAAGCGGTACGGAAGAAGGGGAATAGCGAAGCTCAAACGACGCTTTGAGTCCACCAAGCAGATCGGAGCAGCCTTTCTTGATAGCGTCTGGGAACACAAACGCGCTGTTGCCCTGACCATCGTTGCGCTTGCGGTCATGGGCTCTCTTATAGTGATGCACCGCAACGGCCGTGCATACATAAACCAGCCACCACCAGCTATTATCACCAGCTTCAGGGCATACCCTAGCTGGATGCACATCAGCAATGCCTACCAAGTGCTGGATATTCCTGAACCATTGGATGTAGCATGGGTGCCGCGCATGTCTGAAGTCGATGCTGCGTATCGAGAGGCAAACAAACGCGTGCATCCAGACAAGTGGAGAGTCAACGGCTTCAACGACCAGGCCTCAGCTGAATGTGCACAGAGGATCATCGGAGATGCGCATCTTCTCTTCGAACAGTACTGGAAAAGTCCATATTGTGCGCTCGCTCGCAGAGGTAACGATAGTGGACTCCTTCAGCCAATGGCTACACTTGAGCATATGGCCAGTTGCGGTCTGCCATCGTTTAGCAACACTTGCTCCAACCAGTGCACCTTCTCAGCCATGGCATTGGATGGCCTCAACGCTCTTGTGACAAGTCCCGAGTATCAGAAGAGAGCCCCTGAAGATGCTGCTGAACTTTCAGCTTACTGTCCCTGCTCTTTGACGAAGAAAATCCGCGACCTGATGAAGAACCTGGAAAAGGACCGCATTCCGCCGCCAGGAATCCGCCGCTACTGGGGCGATACTCTCAGCAAACAGGTCGACTGGAAGGCATGGGGTTACTTTCAATACCCATCCTTTTTTCCGCGCATCAAACCGTTGATGAGATGGTGGGATCGACGGGATCTTCACCCATATATCTGGTCAGCGGCGAAAGTCAACAGGCTGAAGGCGCAGGGCTGGATTGTCCAGGATGACATCGCTATGGTTCCAACAGGATGTTGGAGGGAGAAGGAGAGGTCGTAGATACTAGCTGTACCCAAAGTCTTGATGTAGCCACTTATTTCAGCCTATGCATTCTTACTAGGAATGTCGCATATATGTTCATTCAAGGAAATCTCTGGTCACAACCGTTCGCAGCCTGGGAATCTGTGATTTGTGATTAATCTCCCTATCTCTCGACGCCCTCTCAAATACATCACTTTCAACACAATCCGCAACTTCAGAAGCATGAGGATCAAAGACACAGTGCAGTCTGGACAGACAGGTAATTGATATATGTTGATCTCGAAGTGCAACTGCCAAATCATGCACAATGTAATTGAGAGAATTCAGGCTGACATTGGTAAGACTCTCAAACCATTTCGGAAATTTGACACTATACATCTTTACGTCCCATAACTCCAGCTGTGCCACATGAATCCCATTTTATGTGTTCATTTGCTATGATGATGCCTCCTCTTTCACAAGTCACGGCCTGGTATGTTTGCTGTCGTCATCTCCTCCCATTTCCTCCTCGCCCATTGCTCGATGTCCACCACCGGCATTGGCACAAACGGAGTTCTTACCTCCTCGGGCAGCTCGGACGTCGGTTTTGGATCTGGGTCAAAGCCAGGATATGCTGGGTGGAGATGAGAAGTGTCAGGTCCTCGAATGCACAATACAATAAAGATGACAACAACAGTAGCAGCGATGCATGGGATGAGAAGTCTTGCGCGACCGTTTTCCATAAGAATTTGACCATTGTAGACTGGACTGAGACGGTGGCAAACATCAGCCGCAAGATCGAGCAAGCGTGTCATGATGATCGGGTTCATTGATCAGTGTCTGAGGTAAGGGTGTATTCGGAGCAGAATGTTGGAGAGTGGTTATAGGCGGAAGACGAGCGTTTTGTATGTCCAAGGCTTTGTGCTAGTTTGTGTTCGATCCTTTGTACTCAAGCAGGGAACTTTCGAGAAGATATCAAGCAACGAGGTACAAAGCAGAAAAAGACGCACAGAAAGGCGAGATGAAATGAGTTGGGGAACGAACTGGAAGTAATCCGAGAAATTTGATGCGGTATCGGTATATTGAACGATCGACTGGGTGTCTTGTTGTGCGTTGCTCCATAGGTTAGCTCATTGTTCGGTGAGTTTGACAGATGTAGGAAAGACTGGGTTGATTTCGGAGCATGTCTGGAATGAAAATGCGATGAGATAATACCATGACATGAGCCCTAGTGGCACTCGAACTGTTCATATCAACAGCACAATATCTTATTTACCTACTGTGAGGACGTTTAGCCTCAAGTCCGAACGTGAAATCCAGGCTACTTTCGCGAAAAGATATAATGTAGTTCGGGACGTTGAAACAGCCCGGACATAGCTCTGGGTACATCCCGCTGCTTAGATTCGGACCAAGCTGAGACATGTCTTGGGCAGAAAACAAAGCGTATGTCCCTATATGATGCGGCTATGACTGCCCGTCCCGTGGACATGCACCCCTTACGAGGCATGGCGACAGCACACGACATGGCACCGTTGCCCACAACCTCATATATCACCCTTGCCGAGGCGCAAAGCATCATCCGTCAGCACGACATTGATCGCCAGAAGGAGCTACACACGATACAGTCGGACCACGGCCAGCAATATAACGAAGCAAAGACACACATAAGAGACCTGGAGAATGAGCTGAAGGTTCGACTCATTGCTGTTGAGGAGTACGAGTTCCAGCTTGAACAGAAAGTAGCCAAGGTTCAAGTGTTGGAAAATGATGCAGCCCAACTAGAAGCAAGCGAGCGCCTTCTTTGATCCATAACAGACACATGCTGACTAGCTAACGTCTAGGACCAAAATGAGCTGCTCAGACGGGAGGTTACGGTGTTTAAAAACCCGATCCAGCGTTTCCTCCGGGTTCGACGCTCAATTGTTGGACCCACCCAAGACCATAGCGGCTTTAAGTGCAACCTAATGCGCCTCCAGTTTGAAGGAACCGATGAGTACAGCTTCGACCGCATCTTCGACTCGGCTGCTGAGCAGCACAGCAATGCCAACATCTACAGTCGCCTACGCGTCCAGCTTGGGCGAGCGAAGGAGGGTAACCACGTCGTTATCATCGCGTACGGACCATCAGGTGCTGGAAAGACGTCTACATTGTACGACGGAACATCTCAGCGAGATGGCACACACGACATGTCCCTTCTCTATCGCATTGTTCAGGAGTTATTACAAAACTTGGCGGTGGGGTGGAAGCTCAGAATGAGCTGGCTCGAAGCCCATCACGATATTGCGAAGGGAAAGGATACGCTGTTCAACCTATTGGTCGACCCCAAGCAAAAGGTCACCCACAAAACTCACAGCTCTTCCAATGCTCCTTCAGAAAATTGCTTCATGTACTCAACGGCGAACGATTACTTTGTCACAGATGCACGCGAATTCTTGGAACCTGTCGATATTGTCTCACAGAAAAAGTTAGAAGTCATGAAAGAAAAAGCAAGAAGGAATCGCTCCACAGACGCGACAGACATGAACAAACAATCCTCGCGCGCATCTACGTTTGTTGAACTTCGTCTTGAACTCCATGGGGAGTTGCAGGGCGTTATTACCATTGTAGACACCATGGGCCAGGAAAGTTCCACAAATAAGTCGCAAAAACAACGAGTTGCTGCTGGAGCGGGAATGGCAACCAACTCAGAACTCTCCGACATGCTACGTGCTCTTGGGCAGCAGCATACTGTTAAAGGAAGGCAAGGCGCATGTAAGGTCACACAGCCGGTATATACGACCCATCGTTTCCGTCGGTCTTTGCAGACATCACTGACCATGTACCAGCTTAACAAACTTCTCTTCCCTGCCTTTAATCGCTCTGTTCTCAAAGGCGAACATCACTGCCACGTTACTGTCATTGGCCATGTGTTCGATCAATCCGACAGGAAACACACCCGTGAGACCCTCGAAACACTCAAGCTGTGGGAAACACATGCGAAGGCGAATGAGAGAGAGAGATAGTATAACACTCGAACTGCGCATGAGACTACTTGGGAGCGAGCTTAGGGAGGAACTTTGAGGCCAGATGGAACAGCTGCAGGAGAGAGTACATAGACCGGAAATCTAAAGGACATAGGCTGTCTGTTTAATAAGATATAGAAGAAATAAACAATTGCCTATGTTCGTGCTCCTCAGAATGTAAGTTCGTCTTGTTCCATGCAATGGGTTCTAACCTTACCTGCCTTTACCTTGTTCTTCTTCCAATATATCCTAGACGTTGTCATGACACCTGGGGCTGTCAAGAATTTCCTAGTTCAGGTGGCGTGCCTGAAGCTGCTGAGTTCGAATACATGCAGTCTCATGTTAAGGAATTCGTCTCTTCGTCAACCAAGCGGACGTCATGAAAAATTGTTGCACTTGGTTGGTTGCTGTAGATCGATGTGTCCAACGTACAGACTCCCGAGCCGAGGCTTTTACATGTCTCTCGAATAGCATCAAAACCTTTGCTTGGCGGTGTATCTTGAGCGGAAATAGTAGCCATAACAACAGATATACAACTGATTTGGAAACGCATATGGCAATAACAAGAAAACAACGTATAAGCGTAGGTCGTTCAGCTTCCAGGGACGACGTCATACAGAATGCTGCGCTTCGGCTAATAGTGCAAACAGCGAATCGGTTGTGACGCTCCAATTCACGTTAACATTCCAGCACGGCGAGTGGTGAAAATCGCAGGAAATTTCATGTAGTCTTCGAGAATACTGCGCCGCAAGGTTAAAAGAGTGAACAAAGAGGTGTATCCCATGCCCTGACTTGCTGAACCTGCGAATTTCAGCCAGTAGAACAGCAGAGTACAGTAACCAAAGAACATCAAACCCAGAACTTAACGCAAGGCCTATTGTTGATACGCTAACGCAATTTATTTGGTCGAAAGTCAGTCCGAAATCCCCGAGTCCAGCAAGCCGGGGCATGGGATAGCGGCAGCTGCAGCCGCGTGGCAGTGCTCGCGCGATGTGGGGAAACGCGGGGTGCAGGATGCAACTAACCGTTAGCGCGGGTTCTGATGACATCACAATATCGACGCTAAACAAAAGTCACCACCCAACGCGACGCACATACGTCTCACTCAATCACATAGTCTAGATCTCTGGAGAAACACACCATCTATCTGTTAAGGCCGAAATGCCAACGTACGCCGTAGCACACCACCCGCTGAGCGCTTAGGACTGCCACCAGGCACCTCACACGTGCCTGTCGAGACGTGGGAAGGGTCGAGATCGAACCTTTTGGCGACCGCGAAGGAGAAACGCAAGAGACAGCAACACTTTAGTGGCGAGCCCGTTGTGCTAGTTGAGAAGGGGACAGTTGGATGCTGAATCCTCCGTGCCGTTTATTCAGGATGTTTGATGCTTTATGATTTACAGTTTGTACCTTTGAATTCCAGCAAGACCGCTGAACCCACGGTTGACCATAACGATACCGAGCCTTACATGGAGCACAAAAAGATGAGGGTCAAGGAAACTCTGCCTTTGACGTCATCTGAACTTGCAGCGCAATCTCCGTGGTAGGCCCTGGCTGGGAAAGCTATTGATGCGTCACTCAATCATTTGCCGAGAAAAGAATGCCAAAGTTGCGTTGTAACAGCTTCGAACACTGTTTTGAGATCCACATCGTGGAAAGAGTTGGCGTTGGCGCCTGGCTCGACCATAACCCAGGCCACCGAGAAGACCTGGCGTTCTGATTGCCCATGTAAATGAGACGGTTAATACAAAGGAAGGGATGCTGGAATGAATCGAACAGTCTATACCTGAAGTTTCTGAGTAGTTATAATCGAGACTATGTTATGTTCTAGGTGTAGCTACAAGATGTGCTTTTTGAGATTTGCCCTGACGTTCAGTCTGCGCATGCCAAAGGATATTCAACATAAATGAGCCTCTGACCGGGATGCTTGGTCAGGATCTTGTGAGGGTTTTCCGGGATGGGTAAGAGTGTGTTTGGGTCAGATAGAATGAACTGAGTTTTCTTGGTACCCATCATCCCTATCCCTGAATGCTTCCATTCCATATCCCTTTTAAACACTTGTACTGAGGCATTGATAGAACCTATGCGTTACAACTGTTCGCCTGCGTGGCCCTTATGGGGGTTGAAATTCCAACGCACTTATAGACCATTCTCACCGTCACTGACCACTCAGTCCAACGGAAAATTCATATTTGTCGGTTTTCGTTTAATAAGCCGAGCGGAATTCCATGCTGCATGCTGTGATATAGCCCGAACCATCACATTCCAGTTTGAGTGATTGGTAAATGTTATAATGGGGTATAGAATGGTTGGTAAGGAATTCATGTTCTTTTCTTCATTGCGATTCTGCTGATAATGAAACCGTGTTCAACTACTATCTTTCGCTGTTCTTGCCTACATATCGCTCTCTCGGTGTTTGATGCACCTTTCCACAATCCTGCTTGTACCCGGGATCAGTACATATCTTACGTAGACTGCCCCTTCAGGGCTTTTCCTACGGTCGAAACTTTCCTCGCGATATTTCTATCTTGTGAAACATGTCGAGAGTAGCTACGGGACTGACTGGACATGATGTAGAGCGCAAATGTAGGAAACCAAGTTCTTCTGTACACTCCTTTCAAGAAACCAACATCCCGCTCAATCCCTGCTGAACGACGCAGACTTGGTAGGTCTAAGTAGCTCCCCACGTCAACCCCGTCCCATCAACCTCAAACATTGAACGGACCTGGTAGTGGAGGTGCAGATGACAGCGTGGAGGAAACCTAAGAATCTTTAGCTGCCTCCGACCTGACGAGCAATGCCTGCAGCAGTACGAAACCGAAGCTGATTGTGAGTACTGACACCGTATGGAATAAACAGGAAGCCCCAAATCCCGGTACGTCGTAAGCCATTACACGATTGAGAGCGCGATTTTGAATCTTCCAAAACTATCATTTCACCCTTGATCAATGCCAGCAAAGACGCCGAAGACGACTCCAAGATAGACATCAGTCTAACGACAGACGAGAAACAATCCGGCTTTCTATCGAGACCTAGATTGGTACCAGAGATCTTCTCGAAGCGTAGGCCGTCACGACTGCGGACGACTCGGGTTAATATTACAGCTATGTGAATTTATCCAGGGTCACGAACAAGGATCGGCTAAGACTCGGCATGAAAAAGACTCTTTTTGAGGAGCATTCGAATTTCGCATCCAAACACGAAGGACACAACCGGGAACTGGCGGGATTACCTCGGCAGACGGACGAATTGGATAAGTAGTAGGAGGAACTGGACAAGCAGTAAGAGGCATTAGATCATCAGCACGAGATATAGCTTGAGCAGTTGCTTGCCTAGAAGAAGGCTCTGGAGAAGCAGCTAGATGCTGTAATTGAAGAGCTGGAAAGCCTTTGAGATGTCGAGTAAGGTCCGTATGCCCGAATTTGAATTCGGACCAGAAAAGGAGAATGATCGAAATCAAGGAAGACATAGAGATACTTGAGATGAATTTTGGTTGGAAAATGTACGCGGCTGGCAGCCGTTATCGGCTCATCCTCAACAAAGAACATGTAATGTATACCGACTAGTCCCTCTATAGATAGTCATTAGACCTCTCCTAGGCTGGTTACACTTGAATCAAGCATTGGGTTAAGGCCGTTCTTTGCCTTTCCCACCACTCGAAGATAAAGCTAATCGATCGAAGCATAAAGTGCAAACTCATGTCTGCATGTACACTACTCAAGTCCGATCGGAGGTTGTTGACCATGTTGAGATGTGAGGCCGAACACAACGCTTCAAGACCACTTCTGGGATATAAATATATTTGGCAGCCTCAAACCCGTGCAATCAAGGTCATCGAGACGTTCCGTAGTTGCCGAGTCCAAAGGACTCACTATGGGAGTCAATATTGTCTAATTATTTGCGATGACTTCGCAACTCATGCTGCTGTCACTTGCAACGAACGACGAAAGTTTCCATTCACGATTGGTTGGCTTGATTATTCGTAAATAGTGATATTATCAAGGTCTACACCGATAGCAAAAAGACGCTCCACTTCTACGACAGATCAACTACCTAATTTTACTCCTAGACTATTATCATTATTGCTTTCTTATGAGCACGTCTTTGTTGCGGTAACTATCGTGTGGGCCAAGGAACGAAAGTGTGATACAAGATTACGATTTCTTCGCCACGATTAATAGAGCAGACTTTGAATGGAATAAATGAATTGGTTGGGAAGACGAAACCAGTCTAGTCAGATAGTAAGGTCACAGCGACAAGCCCGCCATCTTCGTACACCCGACCAGGACCACACCAAATCCAGCGGCCGATGTCTCTCTACGGCTTGATACTTGCTTCTTGACATACGGAAGACACGTTGGAGAGCAGACGGGTAATCCGCGTTATGCTAGATTTCAAGCATGGATAGGTCGATCTTCTGCGTATCCAACGCCCAATAGTCACGCAATCGCATTGGAATATTCAAACCTAGCATCGAGCATAGTTTCGACCAGGGCAACTTTCCGTCACTCCCTCCGTTTTTTTGCCTTCTCCACTCCAACAAGTTCCGGACTCGAACTGAAACCTCTAAACCGAAACAGCTTTCTCGTCGATAGCTTTGAGCGCATCTGTGATTGCTACACGACAAACCGTCGATATGCCCATCCCAAGCAACGTGACGGCCTTTCCCAATACCTTTGAATGCTCGAAGGATCTTCCCATTTCATCACCACGTGCATCAAGTTTGAGAGGTAACTAGCTGTGAGTCTTGACAAACTATACAACGCGCCACCGAGCAATATGCATTGAGATAATTACAAGCCGCGTCTCCTTGAACATATTTCCTAACACCTAGTGGGTTGTTACTTGGACGGTGCGTAGGTAATTGGCAAGAAGCAGATGCATCGTTTCGCTCCGTTTGAGGCAAGTTGGAACAGGTGTGATACAGGGTTAAAGAGACACGGGGGTCAAATCACTGGCGTAACTGTGAATTGGGTCGTCATCTAGACTTGAGGTGTAGCGGTGTAAGCTTCGTTTGGAGAGGTGAAAAGTTGCTGGACGGACGGCGGGAGAGGTGGTTGTTTGGGCAATTACGAAGACCGGGTCGGTGAGTGCAGATTTGGGAGAGTAAGAACGATGATATGCAGGAGATGGAGGTGGAGCAGATCGAGATGGACTTGAAAGAGATGGAGCGATGGAGATGGAGATGTTCGCCGTGCAGCAGAAGGCGAAATGACACGTGAGCGCTCAGTGGAGAATGCCATGGACAGTGAGCGAGATGCAGGCACTCCGTGACCTTGTGAACTTATCTATCAAACTCCGCCCGGAGAAAAACGAAATCTGCAAGAAAAAGGCGTAGTGACAACGATCGTTCTGTGTCTGTCTCTTGGTGATGCGGATCGCGATGTCGCGCTGGATCCATACGCCAAGGCTGTCATGTGTCGTGTCATCGCGAATCATGCTGGCTCAAGTCGACCTCCGTCATGTCGCCCCGCCCACTCATTCTGCTGCCTCGCTCCGGAGCCCGCTATCCACTTGAGTTCTTGTGCTCGTTATTGCATCTTGCAATTCCAGCTTGTCGCGCAGGAGTGCAATGGAGCCTTCCGGCATTCTGCAAGCAGCCTCTTGTTATCGTTCTCCTTGACCAGCTCTTGCTTGCTGGTGGTGTTGATATACTATTCTTTTCGCCTTCTAGTATCCGACATATCGCGAGCAATGCTCATCCCATTTGACTGCACTGGCATTCGCGCCAGCCACGACGTCCTCGACCGTTTCGCAGCGTACGACGTCGCCTCGACCCGCATGACCGACCGTTCACACCGCGCGCGCTATCAGCAGCGCAGATGTGACTTATGCGTCTGCCGTATACCGCGTGCCGCCGACCTCGCGTAGAAGTCCGGCATAACACATACATGCGTGACGGGCGACGTATCGCATCAGCAAGCACCCACTTCCCTCGCCATGATCTTGCGCCGCCAGGTCTCCGGCGCGCTCCACCAACAAAGCGACGCCAGGCGACTCAACGCTCCCCTCGCGCCCCTCGCGCCATGCCTCCGTCCTTTGACAGCTCTGCTGCTCAAAATGGCGAGCCGCGGCTGCTTCGCCACGTCTTGGTCTGCGTGGGTGATATCGTTGTGGGCATGCTTAACGGGATTGCAGACAATAGCTATGCAGTACCGCCAGGTCTTCGACTATACAATCACTGGTGCCACGTGCCGAGGCTCCTGGTCCGGATACTGCACCTCTCTGCGACCACACCGACGTGGGTTTTGGGCAGATTGCGCTCGTACAATGCACGTCTTGGTCTCCCTGGTACAACCCCTCCATCGTCCCACCCCCTGGTTGGACACCTACTGACGCCATGTCATAGCGAGCTTTTTACCTAGACGCGTTCCGCCTCCCCAATTACGTGCGCGTCATTTGTCTGTCGCACATGTTATCACCTGATCTCGACTTCGTCTTAACTACCAAGAGGATCATCAAGAACGGCGCCGTTGCCTGCTCTGCTTCGGCTTCGGCAAGTGCTCCCGCGACACCATCATTATGCGTAGATGTAAGACCACCAAGCATCGTGCGTGTGGTGGGCGAAGCCTAAAGGAGCTTACATGTAGTCGGCAACCGGTTACCGCATACATACAGATCTGGCGCTTAATCTTGGAATGTGCCATCGCAAGAGTCGACCGTTTGGAACCAGATTAAAATATCTGCAGCGAGCGCCTGGCGCACGTCAATTACGATACATCAACTCGCCCGAGTGCATCATTACCCAATTACTTTGAACCCTTGTCTGGTCATCATTTACTGTATTACCCATTCGCCGATAACTTTGGTCCGGGGTGCAGCAGCGGATAGGTTGTGCATGCGACATTGCTACCGCCATTGACCTGTTCTCGTACACATTCGATCTTCCTCAAATCTGCCTCGCCGGCCTCGTAAGTGCTCCTGTGATCGTTTGAGCAAGGACAGCCCATCTACAAGAACCACAGACCCTCTTTTCGCCGGCGCAATCTACCACACCAAATGGCCTTTCGCCAGCTATCTCCAAAGTTGTTAAACTTGACCATACCCTCCTTCTCCACGATGTGCACGAGCCGATGGATGTTGACGACAACGTACGCACGCCATCGGGCGACTCCGACTCTAGCCATGCGCGACGCTCCACCACTCCAGTCCTTGCCTTTCAACTTGACCTTCATTCTCCCGGGCTTCCTTCGAGGACTGGGATGCATATGGCTTTGCCTCTGTGTTCAACTTCATTGTGGCGCTTTTCTGCGACGCCTTCAAGCTCGGAGATGAACAGCGTGAGGCATGGTCGAGATTGGTCATACTGGAGGGCGGCCACGCTGCAGGAGGAAACAGTGGAATGCTGGTCCGGATGAAAAGGTGATAGAGTATGACTTGCCGTATCATCACAGTTTGTGGCCAGGCGTGAGGTCAGACGCATTACTCAATGCATTGACTTTGTGGCTTTGTAGGTTCTAAATTTTTATTCTGAGGTCATACGAATGAACTGATCCATTTCTCAAACGCCGACTTGCGACGTGCAATGCACACGTTTCGACCCTCATCTCATCATATCCTCCGCCTGCAGATACCAATTTATCTCTTGCTAACCACCAAGACATAACTCGATTCGACGTTACAACACGCCAACAGGCCACGTCAGCCCGGTCTCCGCCGTTATCGAGCTCCTCGGCAAGCCAGGACTGACAATGCTGTCGCTGGGATATGGAATTATGTAAAACATGACCCTGTATTCAACTTCATCGTATTCAATCTCATCGGCGCGAGATCTGTGTGCAGAAGCGGTGCCCCGTAAGGCACCAAATAATAAAAATATCCGAAACTGACGAGCATTATGTTACTCGCAACGGGCGCATCGCTTCGGTAAAACTTCCCCTGATCTCATCGTCCATTTGCCAGCTCCATGCTCCTGCTAAGCCTGCGATTGCCAAGTCTTTGTGCTGTCCCAACTTCCCTTGATTCCTCCGGAAAGGTTCGCTTTTCAGGACTACGAGCGGGTAACTTCATATTGCTTCAGATAATCAACAATCTACGGAATCTTGACGTCCGTATTTCGCGATAGATTATGCTAGTCATAGCACGATGGCTGATATAATTAATGAGCCTGCCCGCGAGATTGACGGCGTCGTGAACAAATTCATAGACTCGAAGCGTGGGGGCAGGATGTTGGAACTGGGCGATCCCGATAGGTTTTTATCTAGATGCATGTCAGCATCCCGAAGGACAAGTCAATGGACCTAAGTCGCTCGATCGACCACCCCTTACCATTCACACGCCTCAACTCAACCAAAGGATTGCGCACTGGGTGCAGGACTGCCTCCACGCTGAGATTTGTACCAATCTCGAGAGGCATTGGAGTATCCAGCAGATGTCCGGTTTCAGCCACGACAACATGAAATAGAGGATGCACCGAGCATTAAACTTTCAACGCATTTGAATTACTCAAGACCAATTCCACATGCTTCAGAACAAGCGATATCCTCAAGGAAGCAAATTTCCAGATGACTTAACGGCTGCAAATCGAGCAAGTGCACACTCATGTCTATAGGCTGAGCCAAGTGCAAAAGGCCATAAGTAACTAACATCAAGGATTTACCTAATAAACGACTAGTCTAGCTTTTGTGTTGGGGAAGACGTGTCTGATTTGACAATCGTGTTCCTTACTCCTGATATGAACTGAATTGCGGAGCATTATAACTCCTCTAATGTCAGGTGACTGTATGTCGCCATCTTGTCGCCAGGAGGTCGACGCTCTCCTACCTGTGCAAGTTTTGCTCCATCGCCCGAGGGATTCACTGATTGCGTCTTTCCCTGGCGCATCACCCACCACCCGTGGAGATATAGTATAAGGATGACTCCATTTTTTTACTTTTACTTTGCGCACAGGCTCCACTCGCTTTCTTCCCTACCTACACTTTCAACTACTTATACCACGGAGGAAACTGTGCTCAACTCATGCATTATGGCGCCCGAACAGGCTCCTGGTAAAACCAGCAAGGCGCACCCAGCACGGCGCCTTGGCTCAGGGAAGCAGTCCAATAACCCATGTATTTTGACCACACTATTTGTGTCAAGACAACTGGTATTAATCTATGATTGCAGCACATGATGCCAGTACCGCACCCGTCCACAGCAAGAGACGTTACAAACCCGGCACTGTTGCCCTGCGCGAGATTCGCAAGTATCAGAAATCAACTGATCTTTTGTTGACCAAAATACCATTCCAGCGCCTTGTAAGCACATCTCATTGCTGTTGAACCCAGTTGTCCATGGCTTGCTCAATATGGAAGTATTGCCAAGTTCTTCTATTCAGATATCGGATCGCTCTTGCCAAAATATTTGCGCAACAATGGTCATACTGATGCGTCAAGTAGGTCCGAGAAATCGCTCTCGATGTGGTGGGACCCGATTCCGAGATCACCCGTTGGCAGTCCCAGGCTCTCATGTGCCTGCAAGAAGCTACCGAAGCGTTCCTTGTCAACCTCTTCCACGATTCAAATCTGTGCGCTATTCACGCCGGGCGCGTCACGATCCAACAGAAAGATATGCAGCTGGCGAGGAGACTTAGAGCAGCTTGGGGCAATCCTGTGTGAGGGAGTGGATGGACGTATGGAGAAAATCGAGACGCCTGCGGCTTTGCCTCAACTCACAAAGCGATACCGGTGAAGAGGGGCGATCCAACACGGACTACTGTGAACGGAACGATAGTCGTGTTTCAACCAGCAAAGCTTATGGCTGGTGAGTGCGTAGCGATATTGGGAACTATAGCCGTTTTAATAGGAGTTCTTGTATGCTTCACAGCAGATTGCATTCATTACATAGATTTCGAGGTATGATTCAGAATGATCCTGACCCAAGAAGCTGAGAGACGTGTCTGTAACCCCTTCATCGCTTCCACTTCACGTGGTAGTGCTCTAAGGACTCAACGACGTGTGAAGTATCTGCCTGTGTCAAATCACTCAATTGAAAACAAATCACTACACGACGACGAATGGTTTCTCATGCTACTGCGAGAGAATGATCCGCGATGCGGTGATTTAATTACACTTATACTGTAACAGACTCACGGAAGTATGCATAAACTTCTCGACAGCCTCGATCAGGTCCCATGGAACTTCCTAATTGGAATATGCCACTATCAGAGACCTCAATGACTCTAGCCGTGTCAAGGTTAACCTCATATCAAAAAAGGCTCTCAAAGATAACTGCATGGATCTCGAACTCGCAGAGGTTAGGAAACGAAGACTTCGTTCAAGGCAGGTATCAGTGTTCTGTATTATAGAATGAGATTGAATCTTCTCAATAGCTTGCCGAATTAACCAGAACGATGAGCACATCTGTGAGTTGACCCTGGAAAGTATTGACGGAGATGATTGTCCACACTTTTACTCAATCAAGATGCTGGAAGTGCCAAGACCATGTCGGCATGCTATTATGAACCTCCTTACATATATAGGTCACAAGGGATCAGCTCTTTCACTCAAGGATGCCAATATCTTGGCAATATTATTCCGTCTTGCCTGTAGAAATCGAAATATTGCCGACATGAGATGATGTACTGACACTCTGTTGTTGACTCCTCACTTCGTTACATAGTCTTTATGGAACACTAGAGAGCTCAACAGCGTCATGTACATATATCAACGTCATCATCCACTTCTCGGAATGATTTTTGTGCCCTACCCGTGTTTAACTCAACATGCACCCTTGACAAACTGAGGCAGAGGAGGATTTTGGTAGAGCGCAAATCCAAGTAGAGACAAGACATCGAACCAGCGTCTGAGAATCAGCAATGCACGATTTGTCCACCCCCCAGCGACATAGACCCGAAGTCAGTTTCCACACTACAATGCTGGAGCGGACAGATCCATAACTTTTTCAACCGTTGCTAGAACGCCCCTCTTTTCTCGCATGTATGTTCTTAGGAATATACAAGTATTTCTACCACTGGACTGGATACCGATATGTTCTTGCTCCCCAGCAGAACGACCGTTCTGACAACTTTGCTTCCCGGACATCTTTCCATCAGTAAGCACCGTCCCCCATTGATTCCTCCATTGCGTATGAGATTTCGAAAGATCGGTTTCTCCTTCGACTTCCTCGATAGGCCCATCGCGACGGATGGTTGAGAGAGGGTGAACGGCGACCTTGCAGTGACTTGAAGCGGTTACGCTCGGTCTACGGTCTCGTCTGGGCAGTATGCATGGTGTTTTGATCAGACTTGGTTTAGGTATCGATGATACGTTCGCGTCAAGTTTGCAGGGAGTATGGCAATTTCTAGGTACATACGGAACACGTCAGGACTACCTCAATTCCGACAACTTGGTGGCATCACGAGGCTCGATTCTGATTTATTGGTTCATCAAGTCAGGGACACAAGCCCGTAACAGAAGAGAGCAGTTGTTACGTTTACTACCAACGTCATCATAGTGTTTATCCTCTACGGGTTCAACCTTTATTTCCTACAACAGGCATACTATGGCCAACTGCAATATCAATACACATCGCCACCGCGCCCTACAGCGACTCACGTCGCTCTTGCGTCATAGTCGAGGGAAGGTAAAGTTAACAAACCAGCGAGTCGTGCTCTGGTCTTCTAAGCTTCCGTTTATCAGCGATAGGTGGATAACCTGTTTATGCCAAAACAATGCTCTTTATACCTCCCAACGACTTTGAAAAGTTGGGTAGCTTGAACATGATGAGGTCATAGCGGTACAGGCGTCGATATGCTCTGTTATATAGATTTCCTTAGAACGTTCAAGAAGTTGTCAAGGCCATAGAAATAGTGAAATAAACAGATGTTGAATAAGAAGCGCTAATGGAGCTTTGCTGCGCAATAGAAGAGAGAGAAGAATTAAGACTCAAGAGCCGAACAATGTAATCCTCAACAGTAGCAGAAGGTTGCTGTAAGAGTTGAATGAAGTGGCAAAACAGGCAAAGTTAGGGAATGAAGCCTGCACAGATCTCATGCTAGAGAACCAAGACGGCTGAGGAGCAACATTATCTTCGAATGCATTGCGGCGTAGTAGTATGTTGTTAATAGCGAGCGAAGTAAAGAGAATACACAGAGATGACGTTCATGGTGCACCGTTAAGACGAGATCGCTAGTCGTAGGTTATAGATGTATTTTTTCAGTAGTCTGGTGATTCCCCAGTGTTGTGGATCGGAGAATGAATGCACTGGCAAAGAGGCGGCTCTAGGAAAAGAGGCGGCTCTGAGAAACGAGGCGGCATTCATTAACTGCAAGGAACTTCGCTGATGCTGCCAAGGATTGAGAATAGAAGTAGGACGCGAGACGGATATTTGATCGACGCTCTCCCGACCTCCTCGCTCTGCATATCGTGTGTCGTACTCAGCGGTTTCCCGGTCAGCTTGCCCCGAGTCTCCACATTCTCAACCTTGCACTGCATGCCTGCATCCTTTCCCTTCATCTGGTGGCGTTCTAGAGACCTATATCAGCATGTAGTGGAGAAGACCGGCAGACATCGAGATCGTCGATGATCTGGCCGTAGATAGCCGTCGCAAACTTTCGTGACCCTAAGACCAAGAACAGAAGGAGTGAACGAGGTGAAAGTTTAATCGACGGCATCTGAGCCCCGCTACATACTCTCGCTTAATACCCCTCAGCAATCTACCAATCGCGTTCTTCTAGAGTCGCCCCACAAGCCCCGAGCCCGCTATCTTGCCTCAGGTGATGCAACTTTGCCGTCATCGAACGCACGCCCAGCAGGACATGGATACGTCTTACTCAACCACACGCGACTCGACACGCCCATCAACCGTAGAATTTTGGTAAACTAAGCTTTAGCTAGCAGGGGTTTAGAGCGAAGCGAGACCTTTAGCAAGTAGTTAGATCTGCACTGCTATCCAACGCCATAAGACAGATCAGGTTAGTGGCTATCGCTTCGCTTTAAACCCATGCTAGCTAAAGCTTAACCAACCAAAATTCTACAATTACTGAGATCACACCTCGTTGCCACTGCGAAGGAGGCACGCCTAACCTCCCAACGTTCTCCCCCGTAAATGCATCTTCCGCGACTGGAAGCTGGGTGTCCCAATCCCTTGCGCCCATCAAGCCTTACCTTGAAGATACGCTGCAATCTTCCACTAGCGTCGTTCCACTCCACACAGTCCTGAACGACACAGGCTGAACAAATGGCGCTTGTAGTGGAAAATGATGTGGGCAGTTGGCACGTGATTCGCGGGCTACGTAGCATCTATTTATACTGTGACAAAGTTTCCTACGCGCCAATCTCCAACGTGGAAGAACGCTGCTCTTCTGTAGACCGTCGTAAATCACAATGAAACACAAGACACGTCGGGAGTCCTCATAAGTGACGCGCAAGCACGAAAAATCGGTTTTACTCTAGAGACTCTCAATGATTCGAACAAGTGCAGTGGTCAATTCTGCTGCCAAACGATCAACCCGCCCGTCCGTGTCCCGCACAATCTATCCGAAATTCGACGCCATTCTTAGACGAAATAATGATGAATTGGGTTATGCATAATAGTTTGCAGCATGTAGGTAGTTCACAAGGTGCTTTGAAGAATGTCCAGCCACTAGATTGAATGTTTACTTTATCTGCACGGCAGCGAGGCAGCATGAACTTGCAACGCGACATGCGACAGCGCGTTGCGGCTTCGGCGGCGCACAATGATCTGGGAACACAATTTGTGGGTAAACGAGATGAATAGCAGATAGGTCGTTGACGATAGTACGGTTTGTGGGCATGGAGACAAGTTCACCGGTGAGTCCAAGCTACTCACTGTTTTCAGTGCCGTGTGCGAATATCAACACTACTCGCACCTTCACTACATCCTATCAATTTAGTCTGCGCCATCCTCGGACGAACCTTTCACACCGCATCACTCAATGGAGATAGTGGGCATCGGACATATTACGCAGAAACTGATGACCAGGATCTACGTGTAACACAGTATTAATGGCAGATGCAGTCAAACTCTACATTGAGCTACAAGGCAACGAGCCAGACGGGTCACATTTGTTGCACCGTATTCCTGCACGAATTGCCCATAGTACGTCGTATCTGGAAGAAGAAGGCAGTCATGCGTGGTTCAACTTATATGAACCCACGCCCCTCCCACCGTGAAAGATTCAAAAGAAACGGTGCATGATAAATATAATTTGTATTGGCAGTAACCTTACTGAACGCTGAACCAGCGCCTGGTCCCCATCACCACTCCGCGCTCACGCACAACACACGCGTTGAGAATGCACACCTGATCGACTAGAACCCAAGGCATTCAACCTGCTACTAGCAGTCACGGTCGCTGGAACCTAACCACCTGACGGGCGCGGAGTGTTGATTGTGGATCTCCATCTGAGCGCCGGAGTGGTCGGAGCAGGCAACATAATGAGGCGTCTGCGGGGGTCGTTCTCGGTGATCCATCTGCCCTCTGCGATGAGGTCTTCCATAGTTGGTGGTCGTTCTTTGGGCTTGACGGCTGGTACGGTCGACTTGGGTGAGATCTTAGACTGATCAGACTCGAGAAATGGGCTTGTTGTGGCTGGAGTGCTTGCTGCAGAAAGGTCGTCGTCAGATGAGGGGGGACTGTCTTGCGCGATGTGAAGGCTCCCGGTCATCTTGGATCGTAGGAGGGTGGCCAGCGGGACATGAACCTCGGCCTCCTCGTCACTTTCATCGTCTGATTCGCTGTCAGCAACGGTGGGAACCCGGAAATCGGAAGCAATGCTTACCTTGGGCGATCTTGCTAAGCTTACCCTTAAGCTTCTGATAGCTACATTCATTCACCAGTCCTGCATCGTCTTCCAAAGACTGTTGCGCCCCCTTCTGCACGGGCTCTGGAGTTGGTGGTGGGGTCAGCATGGTGGAGTTGGAATGTGACGACTATGGACAGTCTTGGGAGTAGTTGTTGCCGTGACTGCTGGGTTAGCTGTTACAAAAGCGTAGGCAGAGCGTCTTTTATCAAGGTCGAGGCCCGCCGCGGAGGTGGTGAAGAAAGGCGAGGGAACTGCCGCGTTGTGAGTGAGTGGACTAGCGCGCCTTTCTGTTCCCAACACTCACTTTCACTCCAGCGCCGACTCGCCGCACGAGAGCGACTTCGTTCCGAGACACTCCATATAGTCATGTGAGGCAACAACAATCTTCATGCCATAGCTCGAGAGTGCCACACGAAGGGGCGTTCTGTCAGGAGGGTCCACTTAGGTGACGGAGTTGCTGCGTAGGAGAAGTTCGCTACCATATCGTCATGTCGAAACCATCCCCCGAACTATGATGTAGGATGTCGGGCGTAATACCTGTTTTATTTTACGGCTTGCACACGCATAGTTTTCTGCTCAAACAGGCGAATGCACTTTTCTCTTTTCTGAATCTTAGTTTTGGTCTTGATGAGCCTTATAATCATTTCCTTATACAAGCCGCGTTGAGGTACACACATCCCGACGACAGATATGAACATCTAGTAAAACACTGCTTCTCATGTGCCATGTCTGAGAACAGCACAACATTAGGGAATACAGATGTTTGCATCTAAGATGCTGTATCGCCAGCGAACGCATACTAGTGTCCTACCAAGTTGATGTATGGCAGTGAGCAACAGTCGGTTCGGTAGTTCTAGAGAGGTGTTTGCGATTGTGTAAAGAATTGACGGCATGCGTGCTCGCAGGGGGATGTCGTAGCCATGACGGGAAATGTTGTCATGACGTGAAAGGAGGTCAGGGTAGGACGCTACTCCCAAGATTTTCACTGCATGCAAGGAGAGTTGATACATCAGTTGCAGACTTAGCTGAGTACATGCCGCGGTACGGTTACGGTAGTACTGCCCATGTCAAGTTAGTCACTTATTTAATCCAGGTGAATGGCAATGTTTCGATACACAGGTCTCCAGGTCAACAGGCGTAGAAATACCTACAAGTACACAGACGGGGTAGCCGCCGTGGAAATGCTAGGATCGTGTTCAAGAGCCAAACATCAAAGAGATATATATTCTGTAATGTTCTATCCAGGACACAACCTTCAACAACTCATTATACACGCTCCTAGTCTCCGCGAAGATACGTCTTGTGAGTTTGGGTTCGGGTCCCGCCGAGCTCAGTGTTTGGGTTGATGTGAGTAAGTTGGAACAGAAATGATCAGTAGTTTGCAATGAAAAAGATACTATACACACATTCTTAATCAACGTCTTATGCCGCCGCTCGATCGAGATTTCCCAAGGTGTGATGCCTCACTTCCAGGCAACCTTTTGAGTCATCGATCTCGCGCTTCTTCTTCCAGGAGACCATGATCCCAATCCAAATAGGCACATCTTATGGACCACAGCTGAGAAAGGTGACTTTGTATGTAATTAAGATCGTGACATTGTTCGCAACGAGTTCATGGGGAGTACAATAGAAAATGGTCACGACAAGGCGTTTCTAGAGCTGTGTTCAACACAGTACGGATATAGATAGACTTAGCACCTTCCTTTCCGCTTGAAATCTGTGTTGTCATGCTATGAGCCGTTTAAGCCAGATCTGGATGATTAATCTGGGGAAGCAGCGGGTTCACGTGACTAGAACTTGGAAGAGGATGGGTTGCGCGCTACGAAGACGTCTCACTTAGTTACTTGATCGCAGGAATTAGAAATTACGTCTAAGCTACGTGTGTTATATCTTGTTATCTTACTTGGATAGTCCTTGAAATTTGTGGTTTCATACATGTCTGTTCAATTCTCGCTTTCTTCTCTGATTGGGTTATTGCACGAGCTCCGCGGGCTGATTTCAAAGCCGGCACAGATTTCTCGGCCCGAACACCCTTCGTTTAGAGAGCTGCATCTTAACAAGCATACTGTGTTATCAGGCAAAGGGAGTGTATGTGGCCAAAGCATCACCAGGGTACTACCGAGCTGCTTAGTAACACGGGAAGAAACCCGCGCAGGATCAGTTGGCTTAAACCCTTGTCTTGGTCTGTGCCGTCTTCCCTGTTAGCCTACTGCGCCACTGTCTCTACACGCACTAATTTTGCCTGATACCACAATAGTTTGCTGCACATACGCGGTGGCTGAAATTGTCTCCTTCTAGGGTCTTATCTAAACGAGATGTTTTGACATGCAAGGAAGTGGATACAGCTGCATGAAACAAGGAGAGGATCTCGATGCAACATCTCTTTAAAGTAACTATGACGTCTAAGAACGGAATTGCGGCATTGCAAGACGCTGCAAAAGATTTTGAACGTCTTATAATATATAAACGACGCTGTCATGACAAGTTCCTACGACAGTTTCTAGATTCCAATGTTACGCGACTTGCAGGTTTGTAACTCCCCAGAAATCTCCATCCCGGGACAGGCACGAAAGCGGGGCTAGCTGCAACTCGTTCCCGTTAATAGCGTAACGGGAGATTATGCCGGTGTAATGACAGCCAGGTTCCAGCATGAAGGTTAAGTTCAATGTAGGGGTACCCCTGACTAACGTCAATATGGCAGATCAAGACAGGGGTAGGTGTGGGGATGTGGGCCGCGGAAGCGCTGTGAACGATCACTCTCCGTTTACTGGTACGCTACAACCGATGCATGCAAGATTGAAAATACAAAAACTACTCGTTGAGGTCCGTCAGTGTAGTTAATTTTAGGGCACATATTTTCAATTCAATGTCCAGGACGCGTGTCCTATCGTAAAAACCCGGCTCTTTTGGGAACTGCCAAGCAGGGGGAGTGGCGGCTGAAATTATAGGAGTTCTCTTGATTGGTTACATAGGCTTCAGATCGTGGGGAATAGTAAAAGATCCTGCGGCCGTTATCCCTTCCTAAGTTTAGCCTGAGTGTTGAGCCTCACACTTCCCCTGCTAGCAGTTTCTCAAAGAGCCGGGTTTAAACGGTACTCTCCTCACTTCATTCTGCGACGTCCATCTCTCTCTTGCAAAAAACAATGCAGCGCTCTGAATCGCCTGTTTCTTCCATGCGTTTGACCTAGCGTGTTTGTCAAACCTCACTGTAAGCGGGTCGTCGCATGACTATAGCCACTTCCAGTTGCGTCAAGCGTGAGACATGGGCTGACTACAGCACCTGATGGGCGTTGGATGATTCCTTGGTATCTGACGGGTACTGAACATTCCCCTTGGTACGTTCAGTTTCCAGCGACAGCGACTTTCACCAGGCAAGTTGTAAAAAACGTCAAGGGGGACACTTCGTGGAAAGATCAGCACAGCACAGCCTATACCGCCCAGCAAACCGCCTCATCTGTGCAGCAGAGTCCGCCTTTCAAGGTCTTTTGCCTAACTTTGGTTGACTAATTACAACTAGAGAATAACTGCACTGCATCGTCACCGCTGCTTTCGCCCTTGTAGTCCTCAAATACGCCGGAGATGTAAGTCCCATCTGAATTTATTTACGTCCATAACTTACAATCTCTTGGAATTACATCGCGTAGGTGACTCTTCGTCTGCAGACGCCCACCTATCTGCCTAGAGTTCCGCGTGAACTTCCGCACACGACTAGTATGCCCGTAAGTTCTCTTGGAGAATCTGACATCCGAAAGGTCAAGCCTCCGACCGCAGCTGGGGTGCAACATACGACTGGATCTAGCCCAGACGCCTCAGCCAGCAATGCGAGCGAGACCGATGTAACTCGCGACCCAAGTATCAAATCCAAAAACAATCTCACTGCCATTTTCGCGCATGTCTTCGATCTTTGCTGGGAGCAGGCCTGGGAGTACAAGTCCGCCATATTCACTAGTCTGTGGAGGGACCCCAAGACGACGATCATCATCACTCAGGGCGCTGTCCTCGGTTTCTTTGCCCTCCCTTCTCTCTTCTCTCTCATTGGATTTCGCTTCAGCATCCCCTCTCTCATCACTCATGCAGTTTTCATGGGCTTGACAGCTCTGGTGACCTATCGACTGAGTATCCCCCGGAATACCTCTCCAACCAGCTTCATGGTTCCCTTGGACGATGTGAACCAACTTCACAAGGATAGGGTACGCGTCATGGTGCGCGTGATGAATGCTGAGCTGAGCAAGCTGCTGGATGTCTTTAGCGGACAGGAGTGCAGAGACATGAAGATGGAAACGGCCAGGTTGATGGGTTTGCTGGGCACAACCCCTGTTGAGGCATCTGATCTTCCCGTTGCTGACCGGGTGAGGTCCGTTGAAGGGGGTGGTGGGTTCATCACAACTGGTTCTCTCGCACCGGCACCCTTTCATCCATCGGAGGGCCGTTTCAAAAGCGTACCATTCCAACCTGGGGCAGGAGGCAAATGGTATTGATGGCAGGCCAAAACGTGGCGTGGCGTGGATGAGGTGAGTTTGTTCAGCCTTGTTCCCGTCTACTCCCAGTTATCGCTAATTTCTCTGCCAGGTTGCAAGACAGTATATCACGCGACCACACTTAGATGATGAATTGGAGAGTCACCGACAGACTGGGTAGTCGGATCGAACTCGGACGCTCATAACACTAGTGGATTTCTGAAAATGGTCCTGGATATCATATGGGCATATATATCAAACGGTGTGCATCCAAGGAGATAACATTGGCAACAGTCCCTTGGTTTCGTTCATGTCAAACGGAATTGTTTGGTGGTATTCGGTGATAAGAAGGTTAGCGGGCGGCAGCATTTCACAGGAATTCATGGACTGACGGCCGAGCGGTCTTGATGGCGGCTCATAGCGATCAGATCATCTTGTGCTTGTCTTGGATAGTAATGCACAGTCCAACCCCTCTTCCGCGAATGAATTGAATGCTCTCCTCCTTCTGATGGTTGTCACTTACATCTTGTGTTTTGTTGTGGAAAAGTCGTCTCTAATCTTGCTCGTCTATTCTTGACGGGGCATTTCTTTTCCCATGACAAAAGCTCTATATACCTTCGTGAGGCGTTATTTTTGAAGGGCTAATTGAAAATTTGTGTCTAAGTGGAGTTGGTTACGAGGCTGAGGATGTAAAAGAAATAGTCTTGAGCTGGTCTTGACGCAACTAGTCACATCGTATTGTAGCGAGATGCGACTTTTCTAGAGGCAAAATGTCAGCTGGAGATGTCTCGTTATGGTGTTGAGTAGAGAGTCTGGGAGGGAGAAGGACACTCAACTTCCCACAACTAGAGTCGACATGCGACATGTTCTTCGCAACATGGTCAAATTGCAGTTATATTGATAGATTTGCGACATCAAGGGTGACACAGTCTTTCAATTTTACCCAGCTCAATCTTCGACCTTGGCTCAATGAGCAGCATATTCTAATAAGCATCGATGTCTGAAGCCTCAAGGTAGCGGCTGGTGGGTCATCGGAAACGCAGCATATCATTTAGCGTGTAGGAATAGATGTCTTCTGCTCGATTCCGTGAGTTACTCCAGTGAGCTTAATCCAGAATAACGCTCCATTTCATAAGTAACAACTCGATTGCTACACTAATTGATTTTTAAGTGACCTTTTCCTGCCGTTGCCTCGCAACACTGGATAACAGATTGATTTTCGCCTCTTCCTCTTGATTCGCGGACAGCTCAATAATCAAACGGGTGCAAGTTGCCCCTTTACCAGGTCCGAGATATGCCCGTAAGAAATTTGTTGTCTTGTCAAGTTACCTTTGATTTCTGTCGCCTTAGAAACTCTGCCGTCCTGTGTTCCCCTAGGGACAGACCCTTTGCTCATGATTTGGCCGGAATATGGGACATGTGATAAACTAATGCATAGGTTTATAGGAAGATATGTGACTAGGGTAACATTCTTCCTCCTAACTAGTCCTGATCAACAAGAAATTCTGCTTGCGTCTTTCAACGCGAACTTCCAATAGTTTTTGATTTTGACGATTCGTGCTGTGCTTGTGTCGTCGAAACTCAGATCCAAATCCCGAATACGACGATGGCTCAACTACACCAGATAGACGATCGCTGGCAAAGACTGCCTGGGGGAAAAGAGTGTGGCTACGGGCGATTATTTATACAACAAGATTAATGTACATTTGCTTAGTACTTACTGAAGCTACAAACAAGTTATGCACGCTCTGTGAAAACGGACAGACTACTGAGTATTCTGAGTACTTTACTTACCAGGTGTTAGACTGCGACAATCTTCTGTAACTAAGTGACAAATTCTGCGGATTTAATCTTGTTAACTTTCCAATTACCTTTTGTTATGCTCCCAACCAAAGCAAAAGTTATAGCTGCTACATTAAATTCAAACGTCTTTAGCATCATTTCTATAAAGATATCTAGATGATTATACATTGATACAAAACCAACGCTCTCCGAAGTCAGACGTCTTAATGGCGTGCCAAGATGAAGTTCCAAAGGAGCGGAAGTATACTGCTATGCATCAACAAGTTGCTACACTGCAACCTACTACAAGAAGTTTAGATAAAGGATAACCACATAAAGGCGTACATATTATATGTTAGACTCGATGATATTCTAACAAGGTGCCTGCATGAAATCCAACGTGTGATAATTCAACAAGTCACTTGTTAGACTTATACATGTGACACGACATTTGGATACGAATCGAACTCGACGAAGTAGTACTTCATCAAGTTTCGGAAGAGGTGTAGACCGTGTAACTGAGTGAGAAACCAACGCGATTCTATAGAATCCAAGTCATTAACCAAGCTAACTCTACGTTGAGATGAGCATACAGAAAGTTCTACACTACCTTGTAAGAACAGCCGATACAGTACAAAGGGACTTCAAGTTGCTGACGTAGATTCCGATATATATAATCGAGTGATACGTCTCCGTTCAAATTCCTAGACATAGATCTATCGAAATCTTTGTCGGGTTCATTGATGTGATGACGATGGGGGCATAACACGTAGCATGGAAAGAGGACAATATACTATTCTCTAGACTCCTTCGGCGAGCTGACACGTCTTATAGACGTTGAAGTGGAGCTGAGAAAATTCCTGCCAGAACAAATAAATAAACATTACGAATTGAATAACATACTTTGCTTGTTAAAACCTGGCTCTCACCAACGTACATTTCAATAGGGTTCTATGAATGTTGAGAGTCGTGTATATGCGCTATTCATGCGTTGTGATTGAGCGACGAATTTACTTCGAGCGATGTTTTTCATATGTTGTTGAAACTTTGTAGCGAGCCAAATTCGCGACACTTTGAGAGGCCGCTTGTCATAGCACTCAATTTTATGCAACGGTCCCGCCAGCATTTCACACACGTCCAATGTATGCAAGAGCAAAACCATCGCCTCACATGCCCGTGAAGGGGTATTAATTTTCTTGATACGACTCCCTACCTCAGTATCGACAGACCGTCAACATCCGCCGAACACACGACAATAACCACTAGAGCGCATTACTCAAACACGCTATTGAATTTTGAATTTCTTAAAGACATATATTATATTGAGATGCTGCAACCTCGACACGATCATTCCATGCCTGACCTTTGTAGAAACTATACACTGGAAGCATATATAGCACGTAAATCATGATACCATTTCACTGCCCTACACATTCCTCGCCCGTTTGCTTGCTGATGGCGGCGAGAAGTCTACGGCTTCGACAGCTCTCTTACAGTTTTCGAGCTCCTCGACAATCTCCTCCTTGAGCTTCTTCACTGGCGCCATAGCTTGCTCCACCGCCGAGTTCGCGGCGTCGAGGGCGTCATCAGCAGCCGCAATGTCGTTTTTCCAAGTCTCAAGCACATGAACTCTAGCCGTGAACTCGGCCATCTCGCCTTGCGCCAATGTGAGAATGTTGTCGAAAAAGTCGTCTTCGCCGAATGTCGACACCCTCAAAGCTTTCGCTTGCTCGAGTAAGTCTGACTGCCCTTGCGCTGAGGAGACTTTGCTAGTGGCAACCTGATGGCGTTCTTGCAGGTCGTCGAAGTCTTTGTACTCTACCTCTTCCTGCTCGTTGAATTGATCCTTGATGGCATCTGCATCGACTCTCGCGCGATCTCTAGCTGCACGAGCGGATTGCAGCTGTTCTGCGGCCTTGTAGAGATCTTGCATCTCCGGTGCAACAGCCCGTGCTACGCGCTCCGACAGGCTCGGAGCTATGACGCTGCCCCGGGACTCTCGGGAATTAGCGCGAGTGGCAGGTGAAAAGCCGGATCGGAGTGTCATGTCGTCGGGAAGGAACTGGGTCAGCACGGTAACCTCGTCAGAAAAGTCGAGAGGCGAGAAATGGGGTGAATGAGGGGGAAATCGCCGAGGAGACGCGAACGAGGTGCTTTCTTCAGGCACCGGTTGGTTGAGAACACTATCGTCAGGGAGGTTGTCAAGTGCCTTTTCACTACATCGCACGTTCTCGACTTCCAAATCAGCTGCCCCAGACACGCGTCGTTGCTTAGGAGCAGGAGGCAGGTTGTTTGTTGCCCACTCTGCAGCACGTAGATCTATATGAGCGGTATAGTAGTGCTTGAGCTCTGCTGATCCGATACGGAAGCGGCCTTGGTCGTGAAGCCTTCTCTTGTGAAGTCCGGTGCGGTTGGTGTCGAAGAAATCCTGGAGGAAGATAGGAAATGTGCGCTTGAAGTCCTGTAGGGTGGTCTGAGGGTGTTTCGCAATTTTGGCCAGCTGCTCGCAAAAAGCCTTGCTCGGATTCTCCGGTAGAGGAACGTCGCTGCAAACGTGCCACCAGTCGTCACCCCAACACTCAATGACTGCGCGCGATCAGCTTACGCAAACCAGTCACTGTGAGAGAACCTGCTGTGTTTCGTGGACCTCCACTTCCATTCAAGCCCCGAGCCCCAGTCGTTGTGTTGCAGGCTGAACTGCTGCGCGAACCAGTCAATGGCAGTGGCACTGCTGGAAGACTGAGGATCGATCGCCTTTCTCACGTGCAGATGAACGCCCAACCAGATACAGACATGCCAGAATTGTTCGAGTAGAGCCTTGTTGCGGATAATGAGCTTTGGAAAAGCAGAGAGACCGATTGCAGAGTCTGACAAGCGTTCGAAGGCCCTGAGCGATGCTGATGGGTCGTGTTCAGCGAAAATGTCCACAGCGACATGGAAGGATGCAACCGTCAATTCAACTCTCCCGTCCGACATACAGTGATGGCATTCGTTTGCAGTGGTCTGGGGGTGAGAGTGCTGGGAAGTTCAGTGTACAGGCGAGGTGAAGTGAGGTGAGAGAGCGGCATCGTAAGCAGCACGATGGGGAGGAAGGCGCGACGCTCATCTCGTGGAGCTCGCGAACGTCATGGTCTACATTCACTAAGCATCATTGTCTTGGAGTATGAAGTGACGGTGATTGTGGATGGCATTGACGACCTACACGACGCGCTTGCTGAGGTGACGGTTGTGTTGCAGTCGAGAGTGTGTCGAGGTCAGACGGCTGGGAAAGATGGAGTTTTGCCCGCCACAACCGTGCGCTGTGATTGGTCAAGAAAAACAATGAAGCACACTGGTGATTCGGGCGCACCGTGCGCAGTGAGTGTATACACAGTTCAGAGATGCAATGCTCAGATATCGTCGCGAGGGTGGCAGATAAGTCAACTGGGAAGTTTAGTTGTCGTGTTTGGTATTTATAATCCATTCATATACAGATGTGACGTATGGCACACTGCGGATCAGCCAATCATAACATCAAATGAAGCTGCTGAAGATCGATTTGCACGTGCGACCTTACATAATCTCACTAAACTCTTGTCAGCTTCTACACCAGTCCCGCGTTGCATTGCCAACATCAACCATCCCACCGCACAACACTACCCGGATGGTCGCCACAACGTCACCATCGCCCATGATGTTAATCCAGACAGCTGCGCAACCAATGAAAAGTTCATGGCAAATCTCCTGCCCGCCGCTATCCGAGCCATTTGTTGGCCTCCGCGCGCCACGCATCAGCCATGGCGACTGTTGCCCTTGAGATACTGCCTGTCCCTGGCGACAATCTCTGCAGTCTCCCCAGAACATAGCTCACACCATCCTGCTGCAACCTCGGTGTCTGGCCTCTCCCCCGCCCACCACTGCATGACGCCCTCCACGAGCCACGCCTCGCAGTCCTCCACGTAGTCTTGGAACCGCTGTCGCCGCACTTCCACTCGGTCTTCCCAGTCCTCGATTCGCTCTCCAATGCGGCCTACACATGCAACAAGCCGTGCAGCCCACTGTCCCACCGATACGATTATATCCCATAACATCTTCGCGACTTGGTCGCCCACACGAGCTGGGTGGGGCTGGCCATGCTTCAGCAGAGGCTCGGAAACGGAGCGCGTTGGTGGACTGCGGCGCGCGTAGTCACGTTCGAAGCGTTGCGACGGCGTGAGATGCGGGGAAGCGAGCGTGCTTTGCTCGGAGTTGCTGGAAGTCACACCATAGGAGGCAGCCTGGCGTCGCCGAGCCGGGATAGCCTCGCCGCACATGTCGTTGGCATTCATGGCGAAGTACAGTTGTGGAAATAACGTGTTTAGCAGGGTGGAGGTAATAAGCAGTACGCTTGCTGGGGTTTTGTTCGTGGTGGAAGCGCGGGTCCGCACAACAAAGACACATGCATGGACGCTTCGGGAACTAGCTGCACCCGCCATCTCGTTGATCACATCGACGACATTCCTCGACGGCTGTCAGTACCGCGCTGCTGCCCGTCGTACAGCACAACGACCCTCGACGCCGCATCGACTCAGCAACCCCACCAGCGCACCGAACATGGCGTGCTTGACTGTTGAGGGACACGAAGCGTTTGCGACGTTGGTTATGCTCATCTGCATGGCTGTCTTTCCCATGTTGCTTAACCTGCGCCCGTCCATGTGCTTCACGAAACGCGTTGCCTACACTGGCTTCACCACCGAGCTACGATCCCGCCCCCGCCAGCTTGATACTACCGTCAACGCGCACCCACCAGCGGCGTTCATACCATCATCAACACTGCGACAACCTCTGTCTGTACATTATCAACATCATACACGACTGCACGGTGTCTACGGCAAGTTCGTGGTGCAACTCCCTCCACGTCAGTTGAGGGTGGTGGCTACATGTTCGGTAACGACAACCAATACATGTGTAGATCACAAAGTTGTCAAAAAGGCCAGCATACATGCCGCGGATAACAAGGCTCTGGATGGACCAGCGGAAACACAGATGAAGGCATTGATGTCTAAAAGAGTTGGTTATGGGGGTTGGTGTAGCGAGGTTTTCACCGGACGTCTTGGTCAAGTACTACATCACAGGTGTAGGTAATGCAACTCCAAAAATACACAGCGATAGTCGAAATTTATCAGTATGAAGTGTCGTTCGGCACTCCAGAATTGCTTGCGCTTCTGTCATCTCGTATACTATACGTTGGCCAATACAGCGATGTTCCACAAAGTCCGCTCGATTGAATTAGATTATAATCAACCTTAGTTACTGTAAAGTAGCCACCTTTTTACGTTCAATGATTTTTGAAGCTGAAGCAACATGTCGTTTTTCGTCACTAGGAAGGAGGACAGATGCAACTTTTAGTTATTGATCTTGCAGCGAAGACTGCTGCCAGTACGGGATGGTTGCAAACGGCCACGAGTGTTACTTTGGAATTGCGAACATGGCCAGATACCTAGTATTGGGTTCGTATATGTGATGCTCAGTAGTGGTAAGGCTAGCATGAACTTCGTGATATGAATAACTTCCGGTAGGGCTGGAGATACGCACTCTCATCGTTACTTGGCGGTGCTGAACAAAGTCTGTTGCTCATACTAAGGATGCCTTGCGTAACGTGCAGTAATGGATCTTTGAGTCTCGGCGAAATCTTGCAAGGGAAAGAGTAACAGTTACAAGATTTTTCGTCCTTCGGTAAGATGTATGAAATAGTAGAACTGGAGTTGTACTCAACAGCCTATTCACTTCAGCGAGATCACAAACTCTGCGGTTTCACGGACAAGGTAATGCTTGGAGAGAAACATGGTCGGTTCAATAGACGTAGTCACAATCATCGGGCCGTAAGGTGAACGTGAGTCGTTCACACAGGAGGACAACCTCTACTCAACGGTCAGGTATTGATTCTCCATTCGAATCGGTTGTACGATGCGAGTAGGATACCCTGATATTGATCCTCTACATAGAAGTCACTTATTTCTAGCATCATTACATGAAACAGTTAACACCGAGAGTCCTCAGGTCGGCTATATGCTATTAGAATACCACAACTCTTGTAGGAAAGATTTCCAAGATCTTTTACACCGGACAGTGTTCGACGATCTCGGCAACGGTGACTACGCCATCTTGCCCGTCGTTGGACATGATTCAGCCTTAAAAATGTGCTACATGAGTCGTTGCCGGCTGATGCAAAGCCCAGACGTGTCTTAGATCCAGTGTGTATCCGAGCATTCTTTCACCAACAAAGCTTGTTTGATGTGTAGACCCACCGGAATTCACCGTCGGTAGCGGGAAAGATCTCTTTGTTTGTTCTGTCTCACTATTCAATCTTGCTTGCCAATACAGCTGAATTACGAATGACAACCAGACGAAACACTGATATTGACCATGAGTTGAAAGAACATAGATCAAATAAGCAAAAGTCAAGAAAGCTCCGAGGTACCGTCCATACTATATGGAGTGCAGCACCATCGGTTCAGATGCCTCACTCAGTCACAACACAGATATGCACTACTACTGTATGTTTGCTTCTTGTCTATCAATATGGCGCGGGAATAGTGATCCTGAATGCGCAAAGCCTCCAAGCGAGATGCCTGAGACCTCTACGGGATCCTGCAGATAGGACCACACCGCATCCGTTGCGACTCTCCAGGTGGTAGGTGACGCACTCTCAACGTATCAATCTTACTCATTAAGGCTTGAGGAATATCCAGTCGTGAACAAATCTTGAGATCGATGCCACCATAACTCGGCGTCTCGACAAGAAACTCTGTATATCAAAATAACAACTAGTCGCCGGCCTTTCTAGTGAGTCCGCCACCAAGAACGAAAGGATAGTGTTCATTGTCAAACGTTCTGAATCAGTTTCGCCCGGCACGTGTCTTACCTCCAATCTCAAAGTCACAACTTCCGCGAGAAACCAACATGGTCAACCCACGCGACAACGGGTCATCGCATGACTAAAAGTAACACGAGGGATCTTGTATTGGTTCCAAAGCCATAGGGGTTGTGTTAACTGTCTATGCATCAATTCTTAGTGTATAAGTACAGTACTTAAACCCGCTATGTCAACATTCACCAAGCATCCAGATACTATCAAGTACCCTTTACCACGAACAAACTCTTTCCAAAATTTCAACAGCCCATCTCCCACCGCCATGATCGGAATCACCGCACGCATGGTCGCGATTACTGCGTTCGTGCTCGCCCTTCAACTCCATAGTTCCTTCCTTGAGCATTACCTCAATTTTGTCACCGAAAGTTACAAGTTCTTCTCCCTCAATCTTCTCCAGCGTCTTCAGGCGAGTAATCTTGTATGTCACCTCTTCGTATCCTTCCACCCTGCAAGCTAACCAGTGTAGGTCGGAGAGATCTGCCAAACGATCTCCCACATCGTGCCATCATCTGTAATGGATGAGTTGGAGAGCCTCGCAAATGTAGCGCAAAACACGATGGTTCACGTCTCCCTTGTAGTCAGAATGAGCCTGTATACTGCAACCCGAACTTACAACGCTCTTCATCTGTACCTCAGCCCCCTGATTGCCGATATCGTTTTTGGAAATCTAAGTGTGCTGGCTATCAGTGTATTGCTTCGCTGTCTTGTGTGTACAACTCTGGGCATTTTCCATTGCCTCCAGGCTATGGGTTATACCCTCGGTCGTGTGGTGCAGATTCTCATGTTACCTTTTCGACTTGGTGAGTTTCCGCAGGCACTTGAGTAGCACTTACTGACAGCATTGTCTAGGGGACAAGCTGCTTACCAAGGTGTGCGGTATAACCTCTGGAAGGGAGGAGGTTTCGCGGTAGGCAAATGTGTGGAAGGTTCCCAGCGTGTTTAATTAGGTGCAGTATACTGGGTTGCACGAGGAATTGGGCGTATCTGGGGACAACAATGTGTATACAGAGTGCATGCCCAAGAAAAGCAGGCTAGAGGAACGGCCTTGAGTGATGTTAAGACTTGACCCGGTCTTTACGTTGATGTTATATGGGCAATGGGATTGGGTTTGGTTGAGTTGGTGTAGCAGAAACCGGGGTGACTGGAGCCGTATCCAAATATAATAGAACTTGAATAGCTTTCGTTTACAAATGGAAACCCTTTGGTCGCCATCCGACTGTCTGTAGCAAATTATCCTATCTACTCACCATGACTTCCAAGCTCTTGACACAAGTGTCCTGGGCATGTACTCTCTAATTCGTTTTGCAAAAACTGTACGGATCATCTCAACCATATACTTGATTCAGACAATCAATGTCTTGAAAGATTCTTATATGTTAAACTGGTCGAAGCTGAGGTATGTGCCAGCTCCGCTGCTTAGCCAGGGATGAGGAATAGCTTGTTTAGCAAGGGATCTATATCTCGTGAATCTTGATACTTCTACCTACATGTTATTCGACCTTGCCAGTCGCTTTGGATAGACCATGATAGTTAAAAGCTGCAACTGAATTGATTTATGTTCTTGACAATACTATTCCAAGTTGTGTCCGCCATTTCTTTTTAGCACAAAATGTGCGACGGGTTTCGTGAGTCAAGGGACGAAAGACATTGATATAACATAAACAGGAGCAAACCAAAAACTGGATTTGCATGAATTCGGGCAGTTTCGCTGCATCTGAGTAGGGCGGACAGCGTCAGCGGAGTTTTCTAACATGAAGTAGGATGCCAAAACTTTGAGTAGAGAATCTCCTTCAATGCATCGTTTGGGTTGCTCTAGGCACGTATCTTTCTAAACTTCTGGCGTGCGAGTAATCATCGCGTTTCGAGCGCCGATTCTGCAGGGGGTTTGTAGTAGGTCGTGCCAGCTGACGTAGACTTCGGCCAATCTAGCTTTGACTAGTAGGGGTAGAAATGGAGCGATAGGCGATGACTGCATTGCATCGGGTGGCCGTGCAGATCCTTGAAGGACTCGCTTCGCTCCAAACCCCTACCATATAACGCTCGAATCGAAAAAATATACGGTATACGCGGACAAACCCTGCAGCGTCGGGCCGAATCTCGGCTATGAAGCCCGTCGACTTGTCGGCAATTGGCAAGACGTTCAAGATTCCATACTTTTCCCTGGGCACAGAAAGGACGTTCAAGCGATAGAAGACTACAACACCAGCCATGCCACGTGGCAAAGTCCTTGAGGCATCGGGCAACGCAATTATTTGGTTAACAACTCCATCTGTAGGGAATAGTTGCCACGTGATCCCACGCTAACATCTTTTCCAGTAATACGCCAATGCACTCGTTAGCGTACAACGGCCCGAGATCAGTCGAGTCACGCTGAGGTCCTCAACTCACTCACTCATCACGACACCATCTGTCCAGACACCCCATCACATCCCTTGTCGATATCCTCATTACTATATTCCCAACCTTGCATCTTGGGCTCATGCTTCCCCAACGGTCACGTATATGACACAGGTTTGCTGGCATACTGTTCCCACCACGCTGCAGGCAGATTCGCGACGACTTCTCACCTTCTTCCGCCAAAACATGGCCCACCCACGCAGTCTGTTCGCGTGCATAGTTTGTTCGCGTACATGACGAGAACGAGGCTTCTTCAATGCTGGTCAGCACCATATTCATTACACATGATCCGCACGACTGACTCCCCACAGCTCAATATCGGACGATGTTGCCAGTGTGGAAGATGTTGCGTTCCCGTCACAAACTTGCGACACGCTCTGCGCGATGTTGCGGTGCGATTCATGCGCTGCGAAGATGTTGGGAAGGCTGGAAGCTATTCATCGCGTCGACTGCTGAAGCCTCGTTGTAGGAACGCCGACACCCGCGTGATGCGACACTACAGACATGCTACGACTTGTCTTTTCGCAGTCAGGCGTGCCGCTCACCCACCGACCGTCTCTGTTCCGTCCGGCGCGAACCGACTCTGCACCGTTGCGCTAGCGCGACTGGCTGCCCGCCAAGCTTGTTTGTGTCGCGCTCAGAGAGCGAGTCCAGCTCCAGGCGCCAGCCCGCACAACAACGCCACGACCGCTCCGCCGTACCGAACAAGTCGTTGTCACCGCTATGCGCTTTCCACACCCGCCGTCTCCGCAGTCTTGACAAGCCCCGCGCTCGATACGATCCGCTCTCACCCCACCTCGTATGCTTCGCTGTCTGCAACACACCCCGCTGACGGCTCTCTCGCGACAGCTCTTTCGCCCGCGGTCACGCACACACGCAGTCACGCACACACGCACACGCACACGCACAAGATGACATCCCGCTCGACGCGCAAGCCCGCAACGCCTATAAACTACAATGACGACCGAGAGATGCCCGTGGATAATGTTCTCGAAGAGGCAGCCACTCGCCGGCTGGGGCTGTGGCGTGTGGTGAAAATCCTCCTCGAGCGCGATTGCCCCGGTGCGAAGAAAGAATACATTGTCCAATTCAAGGACATTGACTCATCGACGGGAGAGCTGTACAAGCCGGAACGGGTATCAAGCGTTGGGGATGATCTTTTAGATGCCTGGCGTGGCGGAGAGGGCCAGCGCGTGGTAGGAACCGACATGTCCAAGGGCGAGATTCTGCACAAGCGTCAGAAGCGGTCATCGTCGGATGCGGGAGTCACCGAGACCCCAAGGCGCTCCACACGCAGACACCAGAAGATGGAGCAGAGCCCCGCCGACGTTCCTTGTGCGGTTGTGCCTACAATCGACATAACCACTTCCATAACCTCTGGCGCATTCAGGCTGCAGATGCAACAACACTTCGCTCCGGCATTCCACACTCCCGCCAACACCGCCGGCAAAGTAGAGGTGGCTGTCCAACTCCCCGCGCATGTCGTGTTTGTGTCATCTTCTCCATTAGGCCAGCTCCGCCAGCTCGCGCACAATCATATTGATAACCACTTCTCCGCTCCACACAACCTTGGCGCGAAGTTGCGGAACGCGATGGAGCTCAAGGGCGACCTGATCAAAGTCGTCCGAATGACCGCGACTGCTCCGGCCATTATTGCGGCGTATACGGAGGCGGCGAAACTCGTTCCAGGTGTTGACGATATAGTTGACACCATCGAGATCGAGCATGGCATCACTACCACCAGCCGCTTCCTTGCTGTGGGCGAGGACGTCGATGCCTTCATTGAAAATGACTCAGCTCCAGGCATCTCCATTGCCGGGGCCTTTTCGTCGCCTGAGCCATGATCACGTTCTCCTCGTCTTGAAATCTTTCCTCGAATCGGACAACCCGCAGCCTGGCTACTGACCTCTCCCATCGCCAACTAGCGATCCCTCCTTCCGCGACTCGCCGAACGACGAACTTGCAGAATTATACGTTGGAACTACCATGTCTGGAGTGTTTTGTTCCTGTCTCCAAGCTGCGAGTTTGGTTGTTAGGGAGCAAAGTGTGTCTGGCTGGTATGATAGTTTTCATGCTGTTGGACTTCAGAGATGACGTCTTTATCATTCACCATTATTTGAGAGAGTATATCCAGATAACCATAAATTCACTTCACTACTAAACACTATCGTGACACCACTCTCTGTACTACAAGCCCATGCTGACGCCGATTGATTACAGGCTTCTTCAATCCCCCCCCATCCCGTTCCAACCCAATCTCCACCACCTACCACGCTATCTCTCAGGGCTGGACCAACATGGTACCGACGCAGTTCATTCATACTCAGGGCGATACAATGTCATCCATCTCAATGTGGAGGCTTAGTCGTTTCCCTCCTTCCGTTCTAGATGTTGTTATCTAGAAATAATACCAAGAGACGGTTGATCTGCATTTTGATACTGTTATTGTGTACTCTTACTGATATCTACTGTGTATAAAGGGGCTGGGTATTAGCTTCTACACTGACTTACTATACTGTAATCTTACTGTGTTGCGTCTATCTGCTTGTACAACAAGCATTAATACGCTATAACCCTAAAACAATCGAGAAATAATGCTGTATTCTCCGCCATCACATCAACAGAAAGGCTGCCGATTACTCTCAACGATGCTATCCCTATCCTTTCAGTGCAACTTATACTCAAATTATCCACCTTTGCCTCCTCGCCTGGCCTTGTGTCTTTCCCATGGAGTTCCCTGTTGTAACCGCAAAGTATGGTCGTTCGATGGAGATAGCGTTCGGGATTCGCATAGGGAAGACAATTACCATGACAATGCTGGAACGGTTCATGGTATCTGGGAGCACGAACGTTGAGCACCGGGAAAGGAGGAATATGTTGGGCGGGTGTTGGGGATGGGTTAGCATGGGGATGGATGGTTTGTTTGGGCATAAAGTGGTGGCGTTGCGGAAGAAGATGAGCAAGGCAGAGATACCAAGGTAACGCAGTTCAATTAAGAGCCTCAATTCCGAGGCGCCATAGATCAGGGATCTTGGGATAGGCGGAGACGGGGGGTTAGTCGTGCAGAGCAGTACTGATTGGGCTGGAAGTTACTGCGTCTTTGGTATTAGAGAGAACGACGGGTCTTTTTCGGAGCGACTTGTTATGTTATCTTTTCAGCAGCGGTTGTGAGGGACAGAGAATAGATAAGTTAAGATGTGCAGGGCAGTGTACAAGCTGGCGGTAAGTAGGAGTTGAGAGGGGTAGTGATTTTGAAAAGGAAATGATTTCCAGGAGGATACATTATCGTGTTGTTTATTTGTTTGTGCTCAGGATATACAAGGCTTCAATGGTGGGTCTGGGATCAAGCGTTAGTGATATAGGAGACGAAGAATTTGTTATTACGGCTGGGCTAGGGGAGGGGAAGGTAGTGCATCAGGGAGATCTCTATAAAAAGTGGCGCATATGGAGTGCACTGAATTTTAGATTTACAGAGTATTACACGTCCGAATTCTACAACAAGAAGCTGATCGAAGCATTCAGTGTTTATGGCCTTTCCCTCAACTACACTTTCCATACCCAACCAAACATCCAGTACCGCAGTGTGTTGTAGTCGTGCCGCAGAAACCGCTGGCGCCGCAACATTGACCGTCGAAAGGTCCTCCCGCGCAAGTACGGCCGCCGTTCTTGGAGCCGCATGTCCCGTCGAGAGTAGGGATCTTGCCGGTCATGCAAGAGTTGGCGAAGGATGTTTGGCTGTTGTTCACTTTAGCAGATGGTTGCAGAGAATAAAGAGAATGATATGAGAAGGAAGGAGAAGGGAATACGTACCAGCCTTGGGCGCAATGAGTTACGGTGGTTCCGCAGTAGCCGCCAGATGAACAGCATCCGCCGAACGATGAGCCAGCACAAGTATACTTCTTAGTGCCTCCACAAGTTCCATCAGGCGATACGTTACCTGGTGTAGTACCAGAAGTTGTGCACCCGCCGAAGTTGCCCTGACAGCCTGTGGAGCAATGCGTCGTTGTACTTCCACAGTACCCGGCGCTCGAACAGCAGTTTCCGAAGCTACTACCGGTACATGTCATGCTTTTGCTGCCTCCACACGTTCCATCCGTAGAGATCTTACCGGCTCCACTGGAGCATGTACCGAATGTGGACTGACATCCTGCGGCACAGTGAGTGGTAGTGCTTCCGCAGTACCCTGAAGCAGAGCAGCAGTCACCGAATCCACTACCAGGACAAACCATTCCTTTAGTGCCTCCGCAGGTGCCATCGGTGGAAATCTTGCTAGCGCCCGATGAACATGTCCCAAAAGTCGCCTGGCAACCGGCTGAACAATGTGTTGTTGAACTCCCGCAGTAACCGGATGCCGAGCAGCATTCTCCAAAGCCACTTCCACCGCAGGTGTAGCCGTTCTGTCCACCACAAGTTCCATCGGGTGATGTTTTACTGCTCCCTGTGCACGTACCAAACTTGCTTTGGCACCCGGCTTGACAGTGCCCAGTTGTACTGCCACAGTAACCGCTACTCGAGCAACAGTTTCCAAAGGTACTGCCAGTACATAGGTATCCGTTTGTACCGCCACAAGTGCCGTCTGGCGAGATGTTGTTGGCAGTGCAGTTTCCGAACTTGGTTTGACAGCCTGCTTTACAATGCGCATCTGTACTTCCGCAGAAGCCAGAGCTCGAGCAACAGTCTCCGAAGGTAGAACCTTTGCATATAAAGCCATTTGTGCCACCACAAGTGCCATCTATCACATTTCGAGTCAGAAAAGAAAGATCGGAATTAGAAGAAGAGCTCAACAACTTACCAGGGCTAATATCACCGGGCTTCGGTGTCGGCGGCAAAGTAATAGCAGGCGTACTGCAATTTCCATACCCAGTCTGACATCCCGTCCCACAGAACTGCACTTCATCTCCACACTTCCCTGAGCTCGCACAGCAGAACCCCCAAGCCACATTACACACTTTGTAATCATTCGTTGGGCCACAAAGCCCATCAGTTGTGTTTCCGTACCACCAGAACGGTAAGGGATCCTTTGAAGGCAAGGAAGCGGGCGCTGAGGTAATAGGGCTCATGGTACAGTTTCCGTACAAACAGTTGTCAATGCCGCAGAAGTTTGTGCTGTTGCCACACGTGTTGGATTTGCCGCAGCAATTTCCCCATTTTCCACCGCATTTGAGGTTGGAGGTTGCTGGACCGCATTTCCCATCGAGAGAGTAGGCGCTGGGGTCGTTTACGCTGCATAGACCGCCTACGCAGGTACCGGGTGCACAGTCTTCTCTACATTACTCTGTCAGTAGCCGTCTTTGGGGAGAATGTGTTTTACTGACTTTGTATTACCGCATTTCCATGTCTCTCTATTACAGCACTGTCCGCCAGTATATCCTAAACAAGATGCATAGGACTCCGGCTTGCAAGTCCCGTCCGGCGTCGTTGCTACCACGGTACCTGCTACGCAGTATGGCTCGCTACCTTGGATGCTGGTACAGTCTGGATCTATCAACGGGTTGAGAAGCATGAACTTTCCCAGACTGATGCTGTATGTGTTGGCCAGCTCGGTGCATGTGTAGTATGTCACCTTCTCTGGTGCAGTGACATTGTAGCGGCAGTTTACCTCGGCTGAGACGCCAGGAATTACGGCCAGCAATGGTGATGTTAGCCAAAATGTGAGCTTCATGTTGTTGGGTATGAATTCACAGAGTTGGGGTGTGGGTCTTCCTCCTATGTACATATTGTAGGTTGTCTAGCTTGTATTTCCCTCTTGGCAATCATTACATGTACCATGGGCTGCCGCCAAGATGGTACGGCGGCACTGCCTGGTAAACAGCTCGCATGGAGAAAAGTCTGTGTTACGCCGTACAGTAGTTCAAAGAATATAAAGCGGGGATCATTGATTATTTCGGGATTGCTGCCTCTTACGAACAAGGCTGTCATCGAAGTGCATGTGTGGAGAAAAGATGGGACGATGAATTGCCACTTCGGCTATGCATACTACTGCAGGTCGATTATAGACAAGCGAAACGAAATTAGGCGCTTAGATATATGAGACGATGAATGTCGTTGCGCGAATAAGAACAATGCTTGGACAAATCTTATTTAATGCGATGCAAGGCTATTCCGGTATACAGTCTCGATCGTTTCCAAGTAGAACGCTAACTGGTGTCCATCCTCATCCATATCATGACTCACGTCCACACCTAATCTGGTATACGGACTCTCTGGGGTACCCTCTCCAAGACCGAGACCGGTAAAATAGAAGCGCGCACGAGTTTCCTTCTCTGGGCCCCAGATATCGCAGCACCGGCATAGAAGCCTGCGCAGGGGTACGGCGTAGTCGTGAGTAGCCTGCATAAGTTGCTTGACTGAGATAGGCCGACCGTCCGTATTTTCAACAAATCCTGGTGCTGGTGGGTCTTTTTCAGCTTGTTGCCAATGCTCCCAGGCATCTAACGGCTCTAAACTGATCTGTACGCGAGACTGTGGAGGATCTGTCGCTGCTTCGTCTGCGACAGGGTCCAAAAAGAGTGGTGTCCATTGCGGATTATCTTCAGCATCGAGAGAGAGGATTTCTGCCTTGGAGGGTGAGTCGAGGACAGACCACTTCAGCCGGTAGATGAAGACCCTGTTCACGTCTGTCGACGCTGAGTCTTGCGCCGGTGGTGGAGTTGGTGGTGGTGGAGGGCCAGGCTGAAGGGGAGCGTTCGTCGTGAAGGCTTGGAACGTTGTTCCCGTCTCTGGTGACCAGGTGAACATACTACTGGTATTGGGGGGTAGGTCGAATAGGGAAGGTAGTAGCGTACTTGAGGAAAATAGCGACTGACAATATTGACTTCAACGTGTGTTCTCGGCTTGAGGAAAGTATCTAACAAAAGGTTGATCCTTCGGTCAAGATAAAGTTCTTCAGTAGGACGGCACGACTTAATAGCGTCCGCGGCTATATGCTGGCACATGCTCAACGCTAAGAAACCTGCCTGATTGGATAACGCTAGCGGCCTTGAGCATGAATGTTCCGCCGAAGTATGTTCCCGCGAACCGCCACTCCGCTTAGCCGCTCGGATGGATTCCACCGATGACATCTTTCTTTCCCATTCTACAAAGCCATAACCGAAGCACAGACAGTCTTGAACAGAGGATGTCTTTCTCTCTATACGTGTGAGGAATGGGATGCGAGGCATCCCATACCTACTCATGGCAGGCTTCTAACTAAGACGATTTGATATTAATAGATTCCCATCGAATGTGCGTAGTGGCGATATGGCATGGATAGTTACTTCTTGTCCGGCGGCCCGTTTCTCGGCGCCAGTACGGTATTACGCTCGAGCGCACTTTGTTTTACCGTCTTGGCGATATGTCACTTCGCCCGTTGTTGGCTTTCGCAACTTACAGAAAACCTAATATCCTAAAGACCCTGAGAAAGAGTCGAAGCGATGCCAAAACGAAGGTGTATCTCCGACCGGCAGAATGCCAAGGTTGGATGAGGGCCCTCTCAGAACGCCATTAAGCTTGGAAGGATTTACGCTCTACGCTTTGACTCAAACTATAGACTTCTCGCGGGATCTCCTGAGTCAAGGATTAGCAGGCCATTGAAGGCCATTAGCAAGTATGTTCATAGGACAGAAGATATATATTCGTAATGCTGGAAGCGCAATAAAGGAAAGGCATCATCTCGCTTTCTACAATCTTTCTGGTACGATACACACTTATCTTTTACTATGATGACCAATTACTCCGTCAACGAAAGAAGTTTACAGCTGCTCTCTTACATTTTTCTACTGTTCAGCCTTACGCAGGCCCAGTATATTCAAGACTATGAGTTAGTGACTGTATCAAAACATAACACGATGTTTAGACTGACTTGTATCTCTCTACGCAGATGGCGCCAGAACAACGGAGCTGTTACACGTAAGCAAATACAAGGTCTTCTACACGGCGAGTCCCAATACTAACGGTAGTTTCAACCTTTCAGCTTTCTGGAGAAGAACGGCAGCAGATATCCCAGAACAAGTGATAATACCTGCAAATCCAGTTGTTCTCTACTACAACTGCTACTTTATGCCCGCTATCTGCCAAAACTACAATAACTGGGTAACAAACAACGCACAAGCAAGAGGCCGAACTCTTGCTCAAACTATTGGAGCAGGAACCCTTATCAATATCTTTGGTATGGATATTAGTAGATCACAATCCGGTCCCAGAGGAAAAGGTTTCTCTTATGAGAGAGGCGATGCTCAGTGTCCGCGAAACTGGAGTACCAATCACCAGTGTCCCGAGAGGAATGCTGCCGGCTTCAATATCCAACCGAACGTTATGCCCGGCCCGTGGACCGAGACGGAGCGAGAAATCATTGATCCACTAAATTTGAACGAGATTAGGGCTGAGTACTACACGGACCCAACAACTGGTGATCAGATTCTCTCGCGGCGAAGCGGTCGCTACTATACTTGCGAAGAATGGCCGCCCCGGAGGTTAGTCGACTCTCTTGTGATAACTTCTACATTGCAGGAAATTGCAAGACAAGATTTCGGGTGTATCTGCGAGGCTTTTCATTTTAACTCTGCTTACCTGGTTTCTTACGTTTATAGTACCGTCTGCTGACATGTTTACCACTATAGTTTTGTCGAGGGCGGCGACGGTACCAATGGTCAAAACATACAACCCGAAGGAGATGGTGGGAACGGCAACACCTTCTGTGCACCCGCCTTGATCAATAGCAATTGTGCTGACCAGCCTCCTGACCCGGATGAGAGTGTGAAGTCTGAGCAAGGTAAGTGCTTGTGTAATCTTGGTGGCTTTCATCAGGTCCTGCCTATCCTAATCCCCTGTAAGTAGCGTTTCGATAGCAGAGCGACAATTAACAGCGCTGTAACAGATTGGCAAGGTAACGCGCACAAGATGCTCGCAGGCAGATTGAGACCTATTGCGAGGTCGTTTGGGAGGATCACTCCGGCGCAGATCGATCATACAGCTGTCTTCATCAAATTTCAGACAATCCGCGACCCTAATCGCGCCCCTGCAGGCTGTAAGTTCATCTACTCTTAGCCTTTCAGGTAGTCTCTGACGTCTTGGGTTCTCCTCGATAGACATGATTCCGCAGATCGGCTATGAGTACGGAGTACCAACATACAAAAACACGAAGCGTGCCCTGAAGGACATCAGCCAGCTTACACCTGTGGAGAAGATACAGTACATGGCGAGTTTGACCTGGGATGATATTGTGCAGGCACAAGGCGAACATGTTGCAATTCTTTACAACGGTACAGTCGCTTCGTCGAACCATACCGACAGTTTTGCCGACATCAAGATCGCCGCCGATGACTACTCTGCATTGGGTGGCGATTACATGTTCGACCAAGGAACTCGACTTGACTCGAATAAATCTATGTTCGCGTCTACGCTTACTTCAAACGCCTCGAACCCTGCACCTCAGATGAGACTCGCCATGGGCAACGCAACAATCTCCCCAAATGCTTCCGCCGCTGATAAGGTACAGTTTGGTCACCAAGATATCAAAGAGCCACCCCCTTACGACATCCTCAGCCTAGGAACGTCTTACATTCTGGGCAATATTGGCAAAGGCAGCGACATGCTCGCAGATCCAAATGTCTCCTCTGGCCTTGTCACCGTCAATACTACCTTGAGCGACCGCAGCGTCTTGGAGTCCAAGCGCCCACTTTTTCGACGACATGCTTCCTTTCACCAACACCACGCTTCCCATCAGCATCATGCTGCTAGGGTTGAACAGTTACCCAACCCTCCTTCAACACCATTCATGAATTCGCTTCACAAACGCGTAGATGGCCCAATTCAATGCGGTCCGGGTTCTCCTTGCAAGGACAACAGCTGCTGCGGCCCAGAAGGAAAGTGTGGATACAAGGAACAAAACTGCGGCGCTGGTTGCACCTCGTAAGTCAACATTGACCTACAACCTGCATTGCGAGACACAGACTAATTACATACACCCGTTTTAGGAACTGCGAAGCAAAGGCAATGTGCGGTATTGACTCAGCTGATGGCAAGACGCGTTGCGGGCTCAATCTCTGCTGCAGTCACTACGGCTGGTACGTAATACGGATGCCTCCACGCTGAATTGAACTGACAAATTCACAGGTGCGGTACCGAAGATGTCCACTGCAAAGATCCCGAGCCGCAGTTTGGCAAGTCACCGTGCCAGGTAGGCTTCGGTTCTTGCCAGAAGTATCCCTCTCCGTCATGTTCAGGACGCTCCGCATCGACCGGCCGTCGCGTGGGCTACTACCAGGGCTGGAATGTCCGAGAACGTACATGCGATATTGTCAGGCCTGCTCAGATTAACACTAAGGGGCTTACTCATCTCTTTTTCTCCTTCGTCTTCTTTGACCCAACTACCTTCAACATTATGCCGATGAATGCTGCCGATCCCCCGCTGTACCGGGAGTTCACGAAGCTGGCAACAAACGGCTTACAAACCTGGGTCGCGATTGGCGGCTGGAGCTTCTCGGATCCTGGAAACACTCACACTGCTTGGAGTGACATGTGTGCGACTGCAGCAGGCCGCGCTGCGTTTATCAAATCGCTGATTGCCTTCATGGACGAGTACGGTTTCCAAGGCGCGGATCTGGACTGGGAGTATCCCGAAGATGCGAAGAGGGGAGGTAAGCCTAGTGACGGCGACAATCTGGTTCTTTTGGTCAAAGAGATGCGAGCTGCATTTGGAAGTCGATATGGTTTATCCTTAACACTCGCACCGGACTACTGGTATCTGCGAGGCTTCAGACCAGCCAAAATGCAGCAGTATGTAGACTTCATGGGCTTTATGTCGTACGATCTCCATGGGCCTTGGGATACCGACGTTAAAGCACTAGGTCAGTTCTCCAGCAAGGGTCTGTTTTGATAACACATTTGATCTAACCGAGTTTCGTTAGGTTCCATTGTCCGACCGCAGACAGATATCACTGAAATCTATCAGAATTTCAAGCCCCTATGGTTCGATGGCGTCGACCCTGCGAAAATGAATATGGGTCTGGCCTATTACGGGCGCACTTACAAACTTGTCGATGCGTCCTGCGGTAAGATGGGCTGTAGCTTCGACGGTCCTGGTGCTGCTGGGTCGTGTACTGCATCCGAAGGAGTTTTGTCGAACCGCGAAATCCAACAGATGATCAAGAAGGACGGACTGACACCCTACTTCAACCAAACGGCAATGGTCAAGTACCTGACCTATGGTGGCAACAATTGGGTAGGTTACGACGATCCAGAGACTCTCGCTCTGAAGGAGAGTTTCGCCAACTCGCTATGTTTGGGTGGCCTCATGATATGGTCAATCGACTTTGACGTAGGAGTAGGCAGTGGCCTTCCAGGAGATCCAGATGATGGCGGCAACGACCAGGACGGCAATGGCCCAGGCAGCGACCTCGTCTGGGTATCTCCAGAGATTTGGGACCAACCAAATCCCCAAGTATACTGCCAGTTCCCTTGCACCGTCGTCCTACCGCCCTACACCAAGGTGACGACCACGACTGCTTATCCGCTCGTGACTGTTACCAGTTCAGGCTACACCACGACGATTACCCGGCCTCCAATGACGGTTTCCATCTGGTGGGTCTCTACTCTGGTTGTTGGACCTTCGAAAAGTGGGCAACCAACGTCGGGTGTGCAGGCAACATCAGGGGGTCAGGTACCAACGAGTGGTCAGGCATCGCAGGGACCAAAAACCATCACCACTGGCGTGACTCTACTAACCACTACGACCTGGCCAGGCTTCACAATGACTGACTCTGCTGGAAGAACTATTCGCACGAGCGCTACAGAAACACGCAAGCCACCTCCACCATTCATGACTTCCGCAATCCCAAAGATTACATTCATCTCTGGTTTGCCACCACGGCCAACAACAAAGCCGTATCCTACCCCATGCATGAAGCGGCCTGGTCTCTGCGATCCGGATGAAAACGAGAACGATGATCCCAATAACAATGACAACAATGGTGACGGCAAATGCAAAGGCAAGGACTGTGATTCTGGTGGCTGCAAAACCTCATGCGGCGGGTGTAAACTGGGGTTTCTCTGCGATATCTGTATTGGACTCGACTGTATCGGCTGCATCGGTTTCGATTGCGTATCCTGCAAAGGTCCACTCTGCAACATTTGCATTGGCGCAAACTGTTTCGGATGCGTTGGGCCACAGTGCGCAACATGCAAGGGCTCGGACTGTGTTTCCTGCGCCAAGGGCAAATGCGGAAGCACGACTTGCAGCGATCTTCAGTGCCTGGCTGGCACTGACCCCAATCCAGATGACGAAGAAGATGAGGATGAGGATGAGGACGATGACAAAAATAAGTGCGGGCTCCAACCAGACCCGAGCGATCCCGACGAGCCAGACGGGCCGCTTCCAGGCGGTGGTGACTCTCCTACGAATTCTGGCGGTAGCTCCCCTACAAACTCTCCTGGTGGCTCTTCGCGACCTGTCGGCGGCGGCTCTACTACAAGACCTGTCAGTGGTGGCTCTTCGACGAGATCTGGCGGTGGCGCGACGTCTTCGAAACCGGTTACTCCTACAACTATTCCCACCCAAACCCCGGATTTCTCCAACCCTAGCACCAACACCAACAAGTGCTACGATCAGGGACAAATGGCTACACGCGAGCACATGCTCCTAGCCGCTGAAACATTTTGTAGGACGTTCAATGGAATAACATTCGGCAGCAACTCCTTCCAGGAAACCGTTTTCCAATTTGGATGGCAGGAAGTGCACAAGTCTGGGCTCAATATCCTTGTTCGAATGGAAGCGAAGAACAATTGTGGATGGACACTGAATAAGGACGAATGCAACAAGCAATTCGTGGCGCTCGTGGATGGCTGCGACCAAGAAGGCATCCTCGACAAGCAAGGTGGTGTGAGAGAGAACAATTGTCTCATCTGGCGCATCGATCCAGAGCAAAACTCCAATGCCGAACCACCCGCTCCACCACCTCCACCACCGCCACCACCGTCCGCACCGCCGGCTCCGAAACAGCCAGAGGTCAAGGGTGACCACCAGCCAAAGTTTGATCTCTACACCACCAGCTACGCCAGCAGCAACGGCGGTTCCATGCCTGCTACGTGGTTCTTTGGTCAGCAGGCGATCTCCTACTACGATGACTACAAGATTTGTACTGCAGCTTACGGATGGGGGGATGACGGAGACGTGACCAACGTTGATATGCCAGACCAGATCAAGGGCGTCACCAAGGTGTTTGGGAAGACGTGTGATTACATCAACAATGGCGAGGACTTTGACAAGGCGAAGAGACAGGACCAAGTGGGTTGGCTGAAATGCGATGGCTGGGAGGATGCGAAGTGTTTTAAGGAGACATTAACGCAAAATTGTTTTGGCGTGGGCATGTTCTTGCGCACTACTTGTTTGTGGGGTTTTAATTGAGTAGGTATTCGAGAACACAGTTATTGGTCTTCAGCCAATTATATATTTCCAGCTTTCAGCTAAGCCAACCAAAAGACTTGCATTTGTGATACAGTATTTCCTTTGTCTTCGATTCGCTGAGCTGCATCATTTTTGCTGTTGGTAGGGGCGATTCCCTGGTCTGCATCACTAGTTTGAGACTAGCGCGCGAGCTATGAGCTCGCGCCTCCTCCATAGTAATTCCATAACTTTTACATCACATACATTCAACATTTGCCTCCGAAGTACACGATTACTTGCCCAATGACGCAGTATAAGCCCAAGCGCTTAGTATGGCGATAATCATATGATTAGAAAGGTCTGCGCGTACCCAGATGGCTAGCCATTTTATCAACCTGATCAGGAAACTCGCGAATGATTGGTTGTCAACGTAAGACTCATGTGACATAACTTACATAATACGACGTCCTGGCTGTAACGCTAACAGATGACTCGCCCGTCCCAATCGTATCTATCAACACAATACCTACCGCGACGTCGACGTAGTTAGCACCGAAAGCTGGAGTTTCAACGATGAGAAAGACAACGCCGCCCACAATTCTCAGCCAACTCCCAATCACACCGCCCCTCTCAGCGCCATCGCCGTCGTCATCGCGCTCGTGCTCGCCCTGCAGCTCCAGCAACGACGCGCCTGCAGATCCAGTCAGCATTGCGCTCTCGCTCATTCGCACCTGCCGCTCTCGTGCTGGCGACGTCAACAGCCCCCGGGCTCCCGAGCAGACGCGACATAGCGTGGTGCTCTCGACGGCTGAACACGACTCCCTCCGTACCGCCATCGACAGCGACACAAGCCTGAGAGCGTGGGTGGGGGATAGGCTTCGGTCGTCGTGGACGGCTCACGCCGGCTCTGGCCGCTTTGTCGTGCGCATGCCCAATCCGATTCACGACCTATTTGCCCTGCAGCTCCAGGACGCGATACACAAGCGAACCCGCCGCCTTGCCAAGGGGAAGGAGGGTGTGCAGCCCGCCATTGCAGACGTGCAGCGGCTGCAGGATATATTGCGCCTCGGCACAGCGGATGCAAGAAGGGGCAAGGAGCAGAAGAGCGCGGATGCCGGCTTTGGTGTTCCTCACAGCGCGCGCCTCCTTGTTGCCATCGAAGTCGGCTACTCGCAGGATGCTGCCAGTCTGCAGAAGACTGTCGGCGAATGGCTCAAGCTTGGCGCTAATGCCGTGCTGCTCGTCAACATCGCATACGCCAACCCGAGCAAGAGGAAGGCGTCGGCAACAGCCCCCATCACGACATACACCCTCCACCGTGTGGAACGCTATCGCGATGTCGAAGGCACCCTGAAGAAGCGCATGGTCAAGACCCAGACCGACGTTGATATCGCTCAGAGCGCCAATGACTATCTCGAGCTTTGCCTCGCCGATTTCTGTCTTCCGACTAATCCTCCTGCAACCAATTACCCCATTCGCCTTGGTCACGATGTCATGATTGGCCTGCTGCAGACTGCATTTGCTCGACAGCAAGTCTACGATGAGGAACCGGGCTTCAGCTCCGATGCTGAGATCGATGCAGCTCTCCAAATTCGCGAACCCACGAGATCCTCGAAGCGCAATAAGGCCGATGTCGTCGCCGTTCAAAGGAAGGATGCAGCTCAACAGGGTGGGGACCCAACTCAGGATGCGGCTGAGGATGGGGAGGAAGCTCGGAATGGGGACACAAGTCCGAAGGAGGATGCAGTTCGTGAAAACGTTCCAGCTCAGGAGGAGGATACAGCTGGGGTTGACAGTGATGCAAACGTATCAATCGGTCAAGGGCATCAGGCACGTTGCGTCGCCACGGATGGAGAAGATGGCATTGATTGAACTTTGATTATGACATGGCTTTATGGAATATTCGATACAAGTAACGACCAGTGTCAACGGGTTCACGCCGCAACCTCTCCCGAACAGCTACGCCGGACTGGATTACAGAGCATCCTCGCGGCACTGCGTGTGGAGTACTTTTGTCAGACGGAGAATCTAAGCAAACTAAGCGCTCCTGCAACGCCACCACGCATAGCGAGCCGCTGACAGAGGCCAAAGTGTGGTGTCGCCTCGGGCACTGGGATGGAAATAGGTCAAAAAAAGCAACTTCGACCGACCGGTGCTGGCAGCTTGTGAACTCAAAACAAGACACGTTGTAGAGTCCTTCCCACCCATTATACCAGCTTTCATGTTCGATCTCCTCTTTCTCATTCGCTTAATGATAATAGCAACGTTCTCAACACAGGCTCGGACTTGTCGCAGTGGAGTGGGGGGACCGAGGAGAGAGGACAGCTGAGACCTTTGGCACTTAAACACGATAGCGAAGACTACTTCTAGCTCATCCTGGCTTCTACTATGGGAGAGGCCACGCCGTTGTCTGGGTTGACATTTGTTGCATTGCGGCGAACTTACCGGAAATGGCTTAATCTGGTTAGCTCCTACACTATCATTGAACTCGTTTGGAAAACTCTTGGTATTGTGATGTACATAAACACTCCTTGTTACATCAAGAATTCAGCGTATATGCCTACATCCACGTTATGGCAAGGATCAGAAATTGATGTCACGACGCCTGCGTCACGGCAGCTTTGTAAGTGTACGAAATAGTAGTCTGCAGTGCACAACTCTTAATCTGTATTATCAGAGACACTAGGCTGGTCTCATTCTCCTCCTAGAATAGGTATTATCTGAAAGTTTCCTCCCAGATCTCGAGGTGTAACCCTGCCTTAAAGGTTGAGCTTATGAGATCGTCTTCTTTTTGGTTCTCGCATGTAATTCTCGAAGGATGGCTTCTGCTTGAGTAGCTTTCTCGAATGAAGGGTGTGCCCATTGAGGGTAATTCTAGACAATTGCAAGATTAGCGTTGCAGAAAATAGTCTAGTTGCCATGAATTTACTAATAAGGATGATGCTTCTAACTCGGTTATCTACGATTTAGTTTCCGTGCCTACCTTTTTAACTACACTTAACACCCCGTACTAACTCTCACGACACTATTGTTGCAGCAATTTATTCTCCTTTGCTTACCTTTTTCCCACTTATTGGAATTAGGGTTCTACTTGTGTGGGGCCTTTAACCTTCATCAACTTGGTAAGCGGCTTCGCTCGTTTCCCCAAGTTATAAGAGCGCATTTTCCAACAGGAGATTTAGATTTCCCATTTGAGAGCAGTGTACGGCAATTAACTGTCTTATAAAACACCTGAGGGCAGAGGCGTTATTTAAAAGATAGGAGATTAGTAATCGCAGAGAAAGTTTGTTCACTGCAGTGATTTCTCAGCAGTATCAAAGCAAGACGGCAAGCGTTAACAGGGAGGGCATAGCGGTAAAGAACGTCATCATGGGCTGAAGGGGGTGCTCGATATGATTTCCTTGATTGCCACGTCTCATCACGCTTGGCCGGAAAACATTCATGAGGGGCCAAGAAGTCGAAAGCTTTGAGTATCGCCAGAATTGTAGATGTCGTGAGTTCCCAGGTTGTATCTCTAAGAAGATCATGTGCACGTGCAGGATGTTCCGAGGTTTACAGAAGAGTCACGGAGCAATCAGTAACATGGGAACATGCTCGAGAGAAACGAGATGAAATTTTGTTGTTTTGCTGAATTTGGGGGGTGTGAGATAGAAATATGGGTCAGAGTTACGAGCAAACTCTACGAGTTATATAAAGAAAGCACCTAAGGCATATTAGAATGTAGATACAAAATAGGCTTCCGGAGCTCGCACGACAAGCTCACGACTATATGAGTAGAGATAAGCGAGGAGAACGAACGAGCAAGTGCCACTCAGGGCTTGAGGGGATATTTCACATTGTCAACTCATTCACTCTCAATGAGCGAGTCCCGCAAGTTTTATGTTATTTAAACCATTCGAATATTGAGAAATAGTCACTACGAAATGGGGGACTATCCTGCAGAATCGCACGCTCAGATTCTGACAACGAATACTGGCCGCGCACGCCTATGACAAACGCTGAGACACTTCGAGCAAGCATACGCGAAGAGATAGCCTTACCCGCACAACAAGAGGCGCCTGAAAAGGACAAGACTGTTGGACCCCTGGGTTGCCAGTCGATCTTGAGGACGCAGTAATGGTGAAGGCTAACAAATCCTCATAATAGTTTGCCAACCCCGTCGTATCTTAAGGTTGGCTTACTACAATGTTCAGCTGAGTTTCAGCTGATCGATAAAAGCTAACAACAGCTAATCTGCCGAGCATTCTAAGCGAACGTTTTACCCCGTTATTGGCCTATCTGCACTAGTCGCCGCAGCTGAACTGCACTTCAAACACTAGCTCGAATATAGATGAAGATGTGGCGCGCTGAAAGAATATGCAACGAGCAGTGATTGGCTCAAAGCGTCGAAGACAAAAGCAATGGCGCTAGGTGACGAGAGGGTAGATTTGGCGGGAAGAAGGACTGATAAGATAAACGGCGTGAAGAAGAAGGAGTTATCATCATACAATCAACGGCTCACTACTTTCTCTGGTCTTGTTTCCAACACATCCTTTGCATCGCGCATCCCGCATCGCAATGGCCCTCCTGCATGCTTCCAAGCTCATACCAGCACCAGGCTCAACACCAACATCCGCCATTCCCTTGCGCCGCCCACTCAAAGCATACAAAACGCACGTTACGCAGTTCCTACGCACGTTGTATCTCTTTACCGCAAACGACATCCTTACCTTTATCTTCCCAACAACGCTCTTCAGCCTGTGCGGCGCACTATCTGGCCCGGTACTGAGCACCAACGCGTCACCCTCGGTACTGCCGATTGTGCTGCGCATCCCGGGCGCAGTGTGTGTGCTATGGATTAACTGTACGCCCCTAGTTTCTCTGCGTTTATCGACCATTGAATAACCCCGTGTCTGAGTAGTGCTCATCTTTACCATGTCCAACCAACGACACCCAGCCGCTATCCGCGAAGACCAGCTTGACAAGCCGTACCGCCCGATCCCCAGTGGCCGAATCAGCAGCGGCGCCACGCAGAATCTCTTGTTGATCCTCGTGCCCATCGTCGCGGGTTGCGGGTGGTACATGGGCGTATGGCAAGAGACACTCATGCTTTTCACAGCGCAGTGGATGTACAATGACCTGCGTGGGAGCGACGCGCACTTTCTGGTGCGTAACCTCCTCAACAGCATTGGGTATGGGCTGTATTCTGCGATTGCGCTGCGGATCATGATCGGCGCTGAGTATGTGCTCAAGATTGAGGCGTATGAGTGGATTGGCATGATTATGCTGGTGATGTTTTTCACCCAGTACATTTGTGATATCAAGGATATCGAGGGCGATAGGTCGACGGGGAGGAAGACAGTGCCCATAGTGCTTGGGGATCAGGTGTGCCGATGGGCCATTGCCATTCCTGTTGTCGGGTTTTCCGTGGCATGTCCTACGTCCTTTCATCTTGGAGTATCGAGTTATATTGCCACGGTTGGCTTCGGTTTCTTGGTCGCTTTGCGAACACTGGTTTCTAGGCATCCGGAGGCGGACAAGTCAACGTGGAAACTGTGGGCTCTCTGGACGTGCTCGTTGTTCGTGCTGCCGCTGGTAAGGAACCCGGTAGCATTACTCAAGGCGTGGCAGAGTGTAGCTGAGTGCTTTTGTGCGAGTGTTGACTATACGCATTGTTCGGATGCAGTGGCTTTGTCTTGTGTAGCGCTGTTTGTTGATGGTCGGCGAATGTTGACACAGACGGTTGGCAAGGAAGTATACCTGCCAATACCTGTTGTCAAGGTTGAGGGTGTCGTTGCATGATCGGATACATCTATCTTGTAGATATGCTCAACATCAATTTGTATTACTTCATTCACCCTGCGAGTTAATAAAACTCGGAAAAGCTTTGGCATGGGTGAGGTTCCAGGATAGAGGTTCGTCAGTAATGCTCCGGACGGTTTCCTCACATAATGTCGATCTCGTGACACAACCTTTGACACACGTCATCACGATCTTCACTATCTCCGTCTCCCAAGGCGGAAGAGACCAAATGCCGATATCGTAACCCGTAGCTCGTTGAGATCACGCCGACGCAATCTGCCTCAGATGCCATGTATATGCAGGCCCATTCTCGTTCTCTATCATTACAAACGACCGCGGGGAACTTATCATTTGTGAACACTTAGAGCTCGTCATCCGACTTCTTAGGCGTGAGAGCGACCTGGTGAATTTTATCAAGATTGTAAACTTGCATGCGCTTGATGTTTTCGGCGCCCTTTCCAATGCTGTAGAGATTCAAATCGCCGGTTTCGATGGGAAAACTTGGAGATCGATTGAGGGCATGACGATGGAATCTTTAGTTGGCCTTGTGACTGGCAAAGTAGTAAAGAATAAGCACAGTGAATACTGAGTTAGATGCCAGATATTTGTTCGGGGTTTTGATGATTTTATGTCTTTCGTCGTTGGGTTCGATATCGCTGCGAGCCCGGTCAGCAAGCTAAATTGTTCGACACACATTGCAGGAAGAGACTGGAGGTCGATAACGTTTGCGTTCCAAATTGCTGCCATACGCTGAGAAGTTGGGAAAGCTCGAGTGCGACCAAAAGATATATCCGCTACTGAACATCACTACGCGGTCATCATCGAGATTGCGACACAGGATCATTATCCTGGACACCAAGCGTTGAGCTCCAGGCAATGCTCACTATCAAGGTTTCTTGGCCAGCAAACAGAACCCCCAGGAGGTTTCCAAGCCTCTGGAGAGAACGTCTTCCATTCATCAAGTCCGTAAGAACCAGAGCAGATGTCTGCTCTGACTGCATTGTAGCACAAAAGCGTTCACGAGAAGTGAATTCAGTTGCCACGGAACCACATCGAAAGCGCAGCCCCAATACCTGTCGACGTAGCCAGGCCAACGGCTCTCATTGTCGACATACCTGCCACTTTGGCCAACACGCCAGTGCCACCAGCAATCGAACAGACAAAAGCCACATCTTTCTGTTTCACGAAGTCTTGCCTAGCTCTAGCCCTCCACATTGACATCAGAGCTTCACTTCTGGTTTCCTGCGGACTCGATTTCGGCGTGATGCTGACCTGCTTCAGCACACCATTCAGTCGCATAGAGTGATTGAATGACGAACCGTCACGCTTGGCACGCATTCGCATATACGTATCTGTAATCTCATGCAGTTGCTTTCCCTCCACGTTATCTGTCAATGAGGTGCTGTAGCTGCATGCGCCATCCTCGGCAACGACAAAGTAGCTGTCTTCCATGTAGGGGTTTAATGCAGCGAATACGGTCCTATTCGAGCTGTTTTCCAGGTGTCCGGCTGAAGCGAGGCTGGGGTATGCAAAGCGGAGGTTCCAGCTGCGGGTACCATCGGCCCAAAGAACGATCCATGAGCCCTTTATTCCGAGTGCGATAGTCATAGGGGATGAATCAGACTCTTTGATCGCTGTCTGCAAGTCCTTGGGCAGTGCGTGAGTGACGCTCGATGATCCGGAACGTGCGAAGTAGCTTCCCTTTGGTCCAATGCTGACTGCTATGTCCCGGAGCTTCTCTGGGTCTGACTTGACGCGGTCCCATATCCAACCATGTAGCTTGATGTAAGCATCTCGAGATTCGATAACTGGGGTATTTAGGTTAGTAAAACTGCGTTGACATTCCAAGCGGTCACGATTATACTTACATGAATCCACGTGTTCAGCCCTTACCACTGGAAGAAGTCAATCACCAGTTGCCATAACTTCGCCTAGGAGTCATGCTTACTGAAGTCATTATTCCACGTGTGCACTACCTTCACCTCACCGTCTTCGTCCTCGCCTCCGATCAAGAAACCGGTGTCGTGCTTGAACGCCACCCAGTGAGCGTCGTGAATGCCCAGATCTGCCCAGTCACTCAACTGTGACCTTACGCTACGTGAGTGATTAGTGTAAACACAACTTTAGTAACTGCAGATATGCTATTACAATCTCCATCGCGTGCCACAGCGAGCCCAATACCAGTTCTGGGGTCCGAACGCTACGTTTACGTCTGACTTGACATGTTTGCAGTTTGAACTGAGCACATTATCTTCAGGTATTTTCGCAGAACTTTCATCGTCACTCGACATAATTGCACAAAGATGGGGTTATTAAGCGTAAGGGTGGTCTTGCGACGGCACAGGCGGAAAGATATCAGGCTGTAGCCTACGATGCTACGTCATCGTGCGGGAAGCGTGGGGGCTGAACATCGAAACCGAATCCGCAGTTTTCATCGTATGAAAAGTGCACCCAGCCAGTCGAGGGTTACGAAATGAAGCTGAACTCATTCCATGTATCTTCGCGAGTAATGACTTCACAGTTGTATGCAATATGTTCCCCCTCTTACATGCACTTGCTTGCTTTCCCGTGACAACAGCATTGGAAGCAGTTACGTGTCGTTGAACTGTACAACCGTTCTCGGCCTTCACAGCCTTCTCTAACTCGCATTGACATCGACACCAATAACGATAGAGAACAGTACAGTCAAAGAGCCGCTATTCCAAGTCTTGATACGTGTTCCGGTGCCAAGATCTGTTCCATAACGTCATTTTGTCTGACACGATGTTGTTGAGAAATGACGAGTATGTTCAATGCTTCGAGGATGGTGTCCTGACGGTGGAGTTGTCGTGCAACTTACCTGTTGGCCTGTTTCCACACAATTTTTGACAAACGCGCAGGCTTTCTTCAACGCCCGCTCCAATCGGCAAGTAAACGATCTCAATCGCTATTGCTTCAGTACATACTAGCTGAGAGGTTGTCCAGCAGAAAGGACACGGTGGTGATGCCGGCCTGAATTTTGCTGGAGTGACATCAAACTCAATTTGATTCCTACGATTGCTGCAGCTTCATCAACTACACCGTCGGGCTCTTCCTAGGATGATCGTCGACGGTTATCTTCGCGAGATCAAAGACCTGGGCCTATGCGGCCATGTGCTTGAGCAACAAAGATCGCTTTAGCGTAGATCGACTTGCTGGATCGTTCTGAGATCGACCAGGGTGAGGATCTGGTTGGCAGGCGAAGCGGGCAGGAACCATAGTTGTGGAAGGATAAGCAAAGACGGTGAGTAATGATGTCTTTTCAAATTGATTTGGCTTGCAGGTAAAAGTCTTTCACAAGGTGCTCCTCACGGCGAATGTACAAAAACTGGAAATTGGTGCGAGTCGGCCATCCAACAGAGACGTGATTGCGATGCGCCGAATCTTCCAGCATCGAGCAATTTGTGAGTTGACGCGTATTGCTGTGGCACTCTTTATCTCTGCGATTCTACGGCAAGCGTGAGGGAGACAGTTGAGGCGCGCTGAATTGGGAGTAAGATTGTGGATAAGGTGAGTCTACCAAAGAGTTGTCGGTCAGGGGCATGGCATTTTGAGCATGCAAGTAGATCGCGGAGACCTACGATGGAGTGTCGTGCGCCGAGCATGGACATGGCGAAACAACCATCGCGATGAAGTGACACACGTGTGATAATTTCAACTCGCAAAAGCCTGTTAAGCAGTCGAGTGAACTCCCAAAGCCATCAGGTTTAAACGTTCTCCCAGCCGTCCTGGCCGCGACCCAATGTTGTAACGTGGTTGTTTGCCCGTGCATCAACTCGTTGGGTGTCCTTGTGCGCGGCCTGTTGTGTCCCAACCCATCGATAGTTCAAGACGCCTCGCGTTCCAGTGTTGCTCAACTATGCCGCCGCAGCGTCCGTTCTCCGTATGAGTTCTTGACTGTGTGGCCACTGACTAATGCATTCTGCGAACGCAAAGCCGCCTTCCTAAGCAGGCTCAAGAACGTTATGTAGATTATGCTGCGCAGCGGCCATGACTGCATGCGTTCTATATCTATCGCTCCCAGCCTGTGTTGTCCGACCATAGAAAGAGTATGTCGTTTGTAACGTTGTGTCTCGGCGTGGAAGACTTCGCAATGATGTGCTATATGGGCGGGACGTAGACGTACTTGGAAGAGCTTTCCGCAATTAAGCCGCCGGTGTAGTACAGAGAGGTAAAGCGGGCCTAAAAGTCGTGTTAGCGAGACCAGATCATCGCAGCCAGCACATGAATTTTGCTCACCTGAGCTCAAAACACCTCTGGGTTGACTGATCCTGCTGAGCAGGAAGGACTCCGTCTTCACCAGTGATGGTGCCAATACGGCCCCATGCACCAGAAACGAGAGAGCCCCTCCTCGGTCGTCTGATGATCGCAGTGCTCACTCGGTTTCGCTATTACTTCTACTTATCTTTGAAGTCTCATGAGCAAGTGACCAGTATGTAGGCTACGGCCCATCAAGTCGCGCCGTTATTGTCCATCTCCGCGGTCTCATCAGACAGCCCATCGACACCGATGCTCGGGACTGGGCGCCGTGTTCTCCGCAATGCTTCGTGTATAGCCGGGAACGTCAAGGGTGTAGACACGCGCGTAACCTCGGAGTGCTCGTGTATCATCGTTTGACTGGTCCCAGGAAATACCGCGGGGGTTTAGTGGAAGAGCGGTATTCTTGGATGTATGTGTCGCGTCCCTGGGCTGCGTTCGCAACGCGTCATCTCAGGTTCCGTCGGCGGACGACTGGAGCTCCACTACGCGGGTGCTCGAGACTCAACGAAGATCTAATTCGCCTACTCAAGATTAACCTCTCGATGATCGTCAATTCATCGAGCGTCGAGCTCGAGGGGCTGAGCTCGCGATCGTCTCGCGAGTGTTCCCGCGAGCTTGGCGAGTAGAGGAGCACTAACTCGCGCTTGGGATACTGGCGGGTATATCGCCGAAAAGGTAATTGGAAATGTGTCAGTTGTCTTGATTCTAATAGATGCGATGAGCTTGTGGGGGTGGTGGTAGTGTATCGATCCAGATCCTGCTGTGGCTGGATCGCCGAGGTGCATGTAGACTCGCCCTTCTTTGGTTTAGTCTGCTCACGTGATACCTGTTAACAACTTGTGTCTCCCGAACTACGAGCTGCATCACCGTGACACTTTGGAAACACGTCTCTGAGATCAAGTGACCGCCTTCTTCCCAGTCTATCTTGCGCCTAGTCTTGTCGTTGTATTGTTGGATCAAGCGTAGGGGACTCAGCCTGTGATGGAGTCGTAAATGTTATGCGAACGTGGCGAGTCTGTTATCAAGACTGAATTGAAGATGAACAACAATAGTGAAATACTCTATTGGCAGCTGGTGTATCAACCTCGTGGGGGTCGTGGCAGTGTTGTAGTGTTGAGGCAAGGTGCCAGCTACAACTTAACCACACCCTCCGATTGGTCGCATCAGTTCTACGCATAGCGACATCAACCTGCCTCACTGCTTAACAAAGTCAACAGTTCGTACCCAGACTAGAATCCCTTACAAGATTTTCCTATCAGTACATGTCAGAGCAAACCGCAAATGCACAATATTCAATACTAGTATCCGAGGTTTCGAGAACAGAAACTTGAACAACACAGCTAAGTTGGTGTAGCGGCAGTTTCGAATATACAACTGCAACAAAAGCAGATGAGGAGATGCAAGGGCGATAATCTTGAGGTTGAGAGAGCGAGGGTTGAGTTTATTCCGACGTGACGAGCATGCTGTTACCTCCCTTGAGGTTGAAGCCCATGAAAGGAAGTGCACCTTCAGTTAGTTTGCGGTAATAGCCTACGTAGCTTAATAAACCAGCAGGATTCACTATCACTTCCGATATTCCTATCGTGAGCCCTCAGAGCAAAACTACATTGGGCATTTCTTCTTCATGTTTGGCACACAATGCCTCTACAAAGAACTTTTCTATCAACTCCTCTCCAAGTGTGTCCTTTCCAACGCTCCTCCTGAGCCTCGCGACAGTGTCCTGATCAAATTTTCAAGCATCGTCATCTTCAGCACCAATCTCATAGTACAGCCTTCTGATCGTGATGTTTTCCTCCACTTCATTACCCCAATTCTCCGCTACTCCTGGCGCCCAATATGAGTCACTGAACCTTCGACGGGGGATACTGCAAGTAAGAGAAAAGTGTTCCAGTATGTTTATCCGATCCACTGCTTTGACGAATGCGTCAAGTAACGGATAAATCGTGTCTGGGTCCGCATGCGACCGAAATTCGTCATATCTGTCCATATCTTCACCGCGGTTGCCTGTGAAGTACCACTCCGCTGTTGGAGATAACATCCTGAGCTCGACATCCATGGTCTTCATTCGACTCCAATGGGGAACCACAGCATCTCTTTCGCCTTTGCCCGGCTAAAAAAGGGTTGAATCGGCGACTCCACTGTGACTAAAGACTCTGAGATTATACGATACGTTGCGCAAAGCAGTACCGAGTGGGTCATAGGCAACTCCTAGAGGATTGTGTTGTATACCTGATATAGCTTGGTTATCAGGTGGATTAAATCCGTCACTGAAGGTTACACTATCGAGATGCGGGGACCGAGCTTTTGTTAAGACTTCCGTCAGAGCTTATGCAAAGGCGGCTTAATGGTATCCTCTAATAAAACATTTATCTCGGGTGTCTTCCAGGCTACACCCATTGCTCCGGAATTATTCCCTTTTGAGATTGGGAAGTTTTGCTACAAGATCAAGCCCTATACGGGGGCCTAGATGTCGATACCCTGGCGGGAAGTCTAGTTGTGTGATATTGGATAGCTATAGCAATGTGTAAGGAGCAGCACAAGCGATAACTCAAATCTAATAGTAAGGAGCCCATTGATGCTTTCCTGATTATGAGATTTATGAGAAAGATTGTAATTTTTATCAACAGTGGAATAGTTGTTTGCAGTAGCTGAAAAGACATTACTGAGGTTCAGCCGCAGGTCGATTTGCACCCTGTCATTCTCCCACGTCTTTAGAATTGAAATCGTTTCGTTTAAGCTAACAGTAGGTATATAGTTATTTGCTTGCTGCTCCTCATCCAACTCCTTCTGGCGTCGCTCTCCTTCTGAGTATTCTGGAAGTTGGTGTCTGAACTCCAACTCGGCCAGAAAGCAACGGCAGTTACCCGTCACCATGTCTTCAAAATCGTTGATTTCTGAACTCGTAATTTTGAGGTTGTAAAACGTGACTGATTTGATTGCCTCTTTCCACAGCCTGAAGAGCGTAGCGAGAAGTGGAGACTTCGATCTAGAAATGCAGGAGATGAACTAGTAAAGAACAGTAATCTTCGACTGTCCTTCCGTTTCGCAAAATGTGCGATTAGATTGATAAGTTCTTGTAGGGCCTTATTCATGATGTGATGCAAAGGATAGATCTGTGGCAAATCTTTGAAGATGTCTGTTGAAGGGCACGGCAAAAAAAGTCGGGTTGACGCCTCCAGCCCAAGACACTCGACCAGACATCCTGCGGCGAATCAAACCACCTGGGGTCCCTGGGGACGGGTGGTGACATGCATCCTTGGGTTCATTTATAATAGGATACCATCGTTATTCGGTCGCATTGACGTAGCAGAGGTATATGACTCAGCTTTCGAGATTCGAAACGTCGGATTTCTCAACTTCGGGAATCTTCCCATCGCGTTGGTGAGCGTATATCAGCCACGTTCAAGACGTACAAGTTGTCTCCCAGTTGCCCACGCTGCGGTCTCATTGATCTCGGGACAGCTTTATCCCAGGGGTATGACAAAGCGTAGTGATGAAGTTTGGGAAAGGTTATCTCATGAATTAGACGCTCTGGCAACCAATCAACGTTGATTACGTACACCTGCGCACGGGGCACACAAAACAATTGTTTGCGGAGCGTCTAAGGAAAAATAGTTCCTAGCTTAGTGTATCTCTATTTTAAATAGGTTTTTACACCTATTTACTAAGGAATATCTCTACTACTACAAGCCTACAACACTTTAAGTTATAATTAGATTGTAAAATACCTAAGAAACTACTGTATTTTAAAGAATATGAAATAAAATTTTGCGTAGGAAGGAGACATATACACCCTTGCAAAAGGTGTGTTTTTTACTTTTTTACCCCCTCCTACGCTAAGTTTCTTAAAATTTAATTAATTTGAATTTTTTGTTACAATAGATTTATTCTTTGGATTTTTCTGGATCACCCCCTCTACTTAGAATTATTATACAACGTTGTTGTGAGGAGAAGTAGGGGGGTAGCAATAGGTAGGATCTCTCACTAAAATGAAATGGAGATACACTAAAGCACGAACCATTTTTCCTCAGACGCTCCAGCTGAAATCGCCCTGTTGTCAAGTGATAAAATTAAGCGACGCGCTAATCCAAACAGGGCTAAGATTTCAGCTGGACCGGGCGTCTGATTCATGAGATAAGGGAAAGGCTGAGAATAGTTTAGACCCTTAGCGCCCCTAATGCTACCCCACACTAACGCGTAACGCGTCAAAGCCCAACGAACCACCGACAGCCCGCATCAGTACGCATCTCAACGCAAAACGGAGGTCCGCATGTCATCCTTCTCTGCTACCTATCTGAATGGCGCTGTCGCGGCGTGTAATGCGCCTAGCATCTCGCAGGAAACGGCTCTACAACGCCGAAAGCGCGTAGCAGCACTCCAAGTGCGACCGCCATTCTTCGACATCGAGATTCTTCACCACGACCATCAAAGATATGGCGGCCACAGATGATGAACAGGAACGAATGCCTGCACTATGACTCGTCACCAGCCTGGATCGCACGTGCTATTCTATGCACCAATGACATGGTAAGTTGATTGCTCTCCGTCATGAATATCTACTCACCAGCCGTCGTGGTCATGCAGGTCATCCAACTTCACACCTGATAATCCACCAGCCTCGACACAGCTTCTGACTCGGAGAATACCGCCCGGCAATGCCACGGCAGTTTCGACAGCCCGTCGCTAGGCCTCATCATATCATACCTGCGTGTCCTGAGTTCCTCATTGACGCAGAGAAGACGCAGCTCGCGCCAGCTAGCCTCGACCGTTCCCAGTATGCTGACCTCTGTGGGATCATCCTGGACGTTACGAGCGAGTAAGAAACATACTGGCTCCATCGCGTAATGCTTCTTGACGAAGACTTCACCGGGAGAGTTGATGGACTGGAAAGACCTCCCTGACGTGGAGAGAACATGGAAGGCCAGGCGGCATAGTCAGGAGTACATCACGGGTGTTGCATAAGTGAGGTGCAAGCCGGCCAGGAGCTCCAAACGTCGTGTCGGAACGGCATGATATCCCCACGAGACTGCGGTTGGAGGAGCCGGGATATGTGATCAATGTGATCTATGTGGATATCGTGATTGGCGGGGATGACAGCGGAAGTTCAGTGCAATCAGCAATGGCGACATGGCGTCATTCAACCTTGCCGGACCACAACATGCACACGTTATGGGCTATAATCGCTGCCGTAGATGCCACACAAATTACGATTTCAACGAAATCCCTTACCGCCTGCAACCGTCGAACTAGAAGTCTACGACATGCGCTGTCTCCATACAGCAAACAAGCACATCCCAACGTCCCAGGATCTCGTCCAAGAACACGCCAAGCACATCCTCAAACTCACATCTTGCACATCGCATGTCCTACTCACCCACACTCCGACAATCACAGCAGCGACGATATGTGGCAACTTCAGCACACCAGGCGCGAGGTTTGGGGCCATCTGCAAAGGCAAAAGTCTCGGTTCCTCTGACGCGGCGCGGAAATCACGTAGACGAAGGAGACGATGAAGATAGTAGAGACGATGAAGATAGTAGAGACGAGGGAGACGATAGAGACAAGATTTGGGATGCAGGGAAGCGAATGCGTAGTGGATATGTGTTTGGAATACGTGTATATAGTTAAGGTCCTGGTGTGTTATGCATCAAGATGTTAAGCGAGAATTTTGCAGGGCTGATGTAGAGGGAATATTCATAGCCATTTCCGTCCCTATGCAGTGACATGTCAACGTTGCTTCCTTTGCGATATGCGTGCGTGTACTGTAGACCCTCTCTTCCAGTCTGCTCGATACATGCACTACTTTTCGCGACATGTACTCTCACCTCGACAGGCGTTCTCCAAAGCACTGAGGTGAACAAACTTGTCATGTGCAGAAGCGCACATCGTGTGAGACAGCGGGAAGCGTTCACATCTTGCACCGTTAAGCGCTTATCGATGGCAAGTCGTCGCTAGCCCTGCCTAACCTGTATCTTGGATGAGACTCAATTGTATAATCATGGCGCTGAATTTGCACCGCTACATCTCGTTTGATGAAGGAAGTTGGTTTGGTTCTATGCCAGACAGTGGGCGCGGCGCGGTACGGCGATTGTTGGAATCGAATGACACTCTCTTCCTACATTCATGAAACCATCTCACGCGGTGGTATTTCATCGCATCGCGGGGATTACACGTGGTCGTGTCCAGTATCATGGGGTCGGGTGGGACGTACGGGCTGCCTGAGGCAGCGAGGACTACATTGCTGAGTGTTTAGTAAGTACCAGATGCTGGACAGGTGCCGGCGTTCAGCATGGGTGGTGATGAGCGAATGTATGATTGGATAGACGAATGAATAAGCGAAGAAACGTAGGCAATACTATCCGTCCTTCGCTCCGCACTTTTTGCGCTTCTCTTTCCCATCCAAATCCTACGCCCTCTTTAACCCTGTGCACTGTGACCGAAAGCGTAAGAGACTTCCGTCAATGAGGGTCCCTGGTTGTTGAAGTCGTCGGCGCGAATGGAGGCAGCGATTTGGGTGCTTTCAACACTGATGTGTTGGATAGGAGCAAGTTTCCATCTCCCTCCAAAAACACGCTGTGTAACATCTGCAACATCTTTATCAAGAACTTTATTATCAAATGCCAACGGTAACGCAGTGCGAATACGGAATGGGTGTATGATGTAATGCGAGACGTCTACATACAACCTTGAAGAAGTTCTCTGTTGTGGCCAATCGAAATTATGTCCAGTTGCTGCATCGTAAGGAAAACGCTATGGAGCACCGGCGGTATTGGTGAGTATATGTCGATGGCTATGTTTTGATGCCTTCAAGATTCCACAATCGAAACTAATGGGGGCCGTATAACCGGCGACTTGAAGCCGTATCTGGGCGGAGTGACGCCGAGTATGGCTGATGTAGGTGTGCTGTTGACTTAGAGTTTCTCGAGTCTGAAACTCAACACACAAAGCATGCTTTTCCCGTCCTGTAGAAGGGAGGCTATCGCATGTATTCCAGTATAAACCAAAAAGAACCAGCTTCTAAATTCTACAAACTAGAGTTATATCCAGAGAAAGTCATGCAGGCGAGACCCCTGATATATTCTGATCGTCGTTTGTTACTAATGCCGGTGCTAGCTTAATGCGTTTTTAATGTACAGTGCGCAATAATTTATCAGCCCAAATGATTAACACTCAGGCCCAGGGTGGCGTTAGGCCTTACGAACCAGGATTGTAGAGTTAATGTTGCTTTGTTGCACCTTGAGCAACCTATATGCTCGATCATGACGAAACGCATGAGAAAACGCGATATGTGCATCTGTAATCCTCAAATTGCGAAGAATTGTCAGAAACATGGCGGGAATGGCGAGGTATCGATGCACGGCACCACGCGGCGAGGTGATGGGATTCAAGGTTCCGCATCCAACGGACCCACATGCAAGAATGTGCCGATTACCCACCAGCAAGTTGCTCCTGGGTCATATAGTTCCAAAGCCGGTCAGTGTTTGTCAAAGTTGCAGCGGGCAGAGAGAGCTTGCGCATGCGGTAGCGCGTTGGACCTTTTCGCGGCTTTGTCGTCGTTATCTCTTCTCAGCCCCCGTTGATCGTGGTTGGTATGGGCCGAATGTCCCTTCTTTTCACGATGCGTGGAGTGCGATTCGTGCAGACCTATCGTGTTTCCCTAGGCAAACCATTTGCGTCACGACCATCTGTGGCTAAAATACCTTTGATATACCGGAGCTACCTTGCGCATTGGTGGAATTTCGAGCAGGATGGCAAAATTCGCAGCTCGATTCATCATGTAAGATCGTTGAGGGGTAACTTGTTGGTTTATTCTCTGGCTCCTGTTGGGCCAACATGCTCTTCTGTCTCATTGTCGTTAGCAGATGTTCTATGGCGCTTCACCAGGTGGATTCGGTGAGGTGTAGGGAGAAATGATCGTCCCAATAGCTGGGAATGCAGTGTAGCATCAGCAGCTTTCAAGGGGCCGAACGATCGACCATCCATTATGTCATCCCATGATTAGCCGCGGAATGAACCCTGCAGAAAGCTAGATCCGAAGCAGCGCCCTGCATGAACCTCGCTCATTGACCCGCGCTGACCAACGACGGCAGCCCCGCTGATCTGGTCCGCAGCCGTCACCATCGTTGAAACCACAAAACGACCCGCCGTCGATAGCGCATTTCTCGCGCCGCTTATATCATGACCGAATAACGGCATCGCTGCGCTATTGCCCTGCCACGCCCGTCGACAATGGCGAATACTGAGTGTTCAGGGAGGAGGACGTGAGGAACACACATACCGGGATGGGGTTGGCATAGTCGAGGGCAAGATCGATTGGGAATACAAAATCGCATCGCCGTAGTCTCTTCGCTGCATGGGAAGAGTGTCGTAAGTGATTGCAAGATGGGGGGATATAGGGATGTAACGGGCGTTGGGAGAGTAGTCGACAATGAGAGCTAGCTCGGATATATCACGCAGCACCTGGCTTAGATGAGGATGACAGAATACGCGGTTGTTGGTACGATAGAATAGATGGATATACATTATTCATGGCCGCGAAAACTCTCTACCGGATCGGCACCGTGCATTGTCTTCGTCGCATTACTCCAATGTTATCTCAAGTCTTCGGCGAAGGGCGTTTCTCATCTAAGCCGAGCACTGGAGTTGCAGCTCACCAATGACTTACGGGTTATGTTATATATCTGAGAGCAATTTGCAGTCAGCATTTAACTTCGATTGCTCTGTACTCAGGATTGTATAGAAAAGAGGAAAATTACCGGCGCATTGTGAACTATGTTTTGATGCCATGATAGAGATTTGTAGATATTTGGTATCGCACAGTCAGATAAGTATGCTGGTCAAGATGCTCCTAGTTGTTTTCAAAGTACGTGATTTCACGGATTCCGGGCCTGGTTGGATCGACACTGACGTCTCCTGCGAGCATTGTTCATACCGACAGAAACAGCAAGACACCAACAAGCATCAGACCGAGCTTACCTATTGGCGCCTTCAGCGACAGAGATAAAACAATGGGAACATGTGTTACAATATCCAAAATCGCCTTGTCTATCAGATCTACAATGGTCCTTCCTCGAAGGTCGTTTAATTCACTAACACCTACTGGGAATACAACACCCTGGAGTTGAATACATCCCCATTATCAAAGCTTAAAAGACGAGACTTGGAGGTAAGGAAGTCTGGCAATGACCAGCTTCATAAATCCCTTCTATAATATCTGCCTTCTTGTTCACTCTGCATTGAACCGCCTTGATTGAACTCATTGATAAACTCTTGACAGTGAAGGTTTTAGATGCAACGTGATTAATAAACTGACAGAGCGTATCGAACGTGCCCTTGCCTTGAACGATGAAATAAGTTAATATCCTAAGAACGAGATTCAAATCCTATTAATTGCGAAAAGGCATCCAAGACTCCAGGAAACGTATGCTTAGATCATGTATTGTCGGCTTATTGCCTATAGATCGAAACATTACCACGAACTTGTGTTTCTATGCTCTCCTGCAATCTAGCCTCTAACGAAATCTGGAACAGGGTTATCGATTTACCCTGTGGTTGAGGAGCTTGAGCCCAAGTATTCGCGTATGCGCATTAGCAGTCGATTTGAAAAGCTGGAGGATATGCCCACCACGCAATTTTAGAGGTCTCAAGTGTTGATCGAGACAATATCAACGGCTCAGTGATGTCCAAGTCCCAAAGAGCACATTGGTGAGTCTCATTCTAGACTCCTCTGCTACTCCAGATAATGGGAACTTGGGACAGAAACTTGGTGGGAAGGGACGCAGATACACCTCAACGAATTCTCCTCATGTGAAGACATACAAGTACAGAATTCGATTGTAAAGACTATATCAGAGTCTGATTACGGCTAAATGAATTGGCGCACGATTGGAAGATATGCGACGACTTCATAGGTAGCGAAGTACTGGCCAAGCCAAAATCAAACAGCATTCCATTGTTGTGCCAATCCAAATTTCTCGAATATTGACGAAATGGAAGTCTTAAACCAACCATTCCTGCGTCCCTTAAAAGCCCTCTCACGTCTGATCTTACCAGGTTAAGTTGACAGGCAGATGGAGAACCCAAGCCATTGTGTCATCAGTTTATCCCCCAATCTAAACGATGTATACAATTCCAGCAGAGTACATGATTTCGTTCCGGTCGCTCATCTCCTTCAACACCTGTCTAGCCTCGTCGGCATTGAATGGATGAGTTCCGACAGCAAGTTTGCCATTTACCGCAGTAATTATATCATCAAATTCAGCAGCGTCATCGACAACGAGCGGCCCATCCTTGAGTTGGCCGAAGGTGGTGCGGAAGAGAGATTGTCGAGCCGAGATGGGTGCATTCGAGTATGGGACTGGTGTTGGTGTAGACTCCACAAATTGAGCGTGTGAGGAAGTCCTGTCATTGGTGTCTCGTGAAATTCCTGGGCGAGTTTGGACAACTGCAGGGTATTGAGCGAGAGCTTCCAGCGAGATTTCTGGCTGCTCCTGCAACACCGACGACAGGACACTCTGAGATCCAACAGCATGGCTACGTATCACGTCCTGGGATGATGTTGATGCCTCACCAAGCTGCGGGACCTGTGAGACCCCTTGACGATGTGACACGGCTTGCGATGATTGCCTTTCGTCGTTTCTTAGTATTTCCGGCACTGACGCTTCGTCTTCTGGATCTCCACCAGGAAACCTCACCAACTTGTCCTTGCTGTCAAATTCAAGTTCTCCCATGTTGGATAGCTCAACAAGCGCACTTTCCGCTTCATCAGTTCTGAAGGTGTAATGTCCCGCAGCAAGGTTGACCCATGAGTTTACGCCATAAAGGACATCTTTGAACGGGACAGGGTTAGAGCGGAACCTGCCCCCATCGAGCGTGGAGCGAAAGACTTCAAGTCGGGCAGGGCGGATGCCGACAGGACGTGCAGATGATTGCACTGGAGCAATGTCGACTCTGATGGAGTTGAGTGACCCAACATGAGAGGAGGCAATTCCCGAACGATCTTCATCATGGTCAATTCTCGCATCATTGTGTAAGTAGTTGGTCAATCCCCAGATACCCTTGGCGACAATCTTTTTTGAGGACCTATGCTTTCGACCTCTGTATACGACAGTACCCGGTGCGGACTTTCCAAATCGAGCATTTCGGACCTTCTTGACTGCGGCTGAGCGGGATGACAAGATGTTTGGGGTATCGACAGGCCTAGCATTCATACTGCGATCGACTTTGGCATCTTGAGTCTCAAACGGATTCATTGTTGGAGCTCCCAAAACGAAGGTCCGTTCAGTGTTTGGGCCAGATTTTCTCTGACTGGTGCTGTTCGATGGGGTAGTGACTCCGATATTTTGAAGGTTGGGTGTTTGCGATACTGTCGGCGAGGGCAGGTCCGGTGACAACGTTCTGGAGGAGGCAACACTGACTTGATCGTCATCGACATCGCGATGTACGTGTGAAGGCAGTGATGATACATCTTTCAAGCTTACATATTGATGCCGCTGCGACTTTTCAAACGCCTTGCCATCCGTCGCAGAAGTAACAGACAGCAAGCCGGTAGGCAAAGGCTGTGTCAGTTCATTGTGAGCAACTTTCAATACAATCTCGGTTTCGTCGTCGGAGTGGTATTGCTCTCTGTGTTGCACTGTCCCCTTGTCATTTTCTGACTCTGTTTGCTGAACAACTTTGGCACGTGGGATAGGTTGCTTGAGCATAGTATCGTCAGGATTGATCCTCAGCTCTTCGATGGAAGATCCTCGAAGGAAGTTGTGGGGTACGATGTATTCACTTTCTTGACGAGGTTGGGACGGCTCCTGCCCCGAGCCTGTGTATGTTTGATCGGGGTCGGCAAAGGAAAGACGTCGCGCCACAGACGTTGGCTTACTGCGAACAAGCGATGATGGGACCTTTGGGGTCAAGAGCACGGATCTCCTAACCCGGTGGGTTGGTGTTATTGCCGTCGCATTCGCAGAGGGGCACTGTCCAGTAGGCGATCCTCCAAACTCATGACCGTCGTCTGGAGCTATCGGCTCTACGTTCGAGAGCTTTCTCAGCCCTAAGAAGTTTTCTCGCAATTTGGTTGACTTGCTCGCCTGTTGGATTGTCAGGAACAATTCTTCTGTGAAAAAGAGTAGTACAGACACTGGCCTCAAGAACTTCAGTTCGCCTCCGTTTGGACGATGATTGGGCATCCTCATCATCGTCATCTAGTGTGATTGGGTTTTTGCGATTTGAGCCTGGGGTCTGGTCCTCAACTACAATAGGATCTCCGCTCGAGCCATGTAGAATAGAGCGGGACCCCTGCGGCGTGATGGGTGCTCTCGGCTTAGATAATGTCAGACCTGATACTCGCGTGTGAAGGAATTACTCACGGTATGCGAGCCGCGTGATGATGGTAGCATTGCGCGAGGCATGTCAGCAATCGGAGAAGTAGCCTCGCCGAGAAAGTCGTATTCAACCCGCTCAGGTTACTATCGCATGTGTGTAAGTGTTCGGTAGTAGCTAGGTTGCTGCGGTAGACGTACTGCCCGGGCGCTTGAATAGTTCGTCTGAATAAAAGGTGGGTTGGCGTTTCAACAACCGTAGGTCAACTCCAGTCAGCGAGGTAAGTGCCTGGAGGAAGGATATAATAGTGGGGTCGCGAAGTCGCGAACCCGTGACACAACCCTGGGAATGAGTCCGCCAGTGAAAGCAAGTGACGAGCAGCCATAGAACAATTCAAAACATCAAGAACCTAGAAACGAGCATAAGGTAGTGCTTTCACTATGCCGCACATAGGTCTTTGCTAGAAAATGTTTCACAGATTTGAAGAGCAAAGAGCTGAACAAACCCGTAGAAGAAGCAAACGGGTCCAAGAGGCGCAGTGGGGGTAGCTGAGGTGCGTGTTCACGCAGACATTGGTTCTCTATTAACTGCTCTCTATCTTTTTCCCATTGCTCTAGGCCGAGTTTCCAGCTTGTAAGTCGCCGAACCATGGGTTTTAGAAACATCTAGGCTTCTTTCTGCTCTCATGTTCTCGTTCGGGAAAGCCGGCCCAGTGATTCAAACTATGTTGGTGACGTTACATGGTTTCGCTGAATCGTAGGTTCTCCAGAATAAAAGTTCAGTCAGCGAAAGAGCTGATACTTTGGACGAGCATGATAGCGCCCAGCACTTACGGTAGCAAACTCGATGATGTTAAATTCTTTAGAAGGTTTGGCGCAAACCGTAGTATTCATAATACTCACAAGGTGTTGTCACGAATGTGCAAAGAGGTTCGTGAAAAGTACATCCCCAGTGTGTAAAAGGGTGTTAGGTTGTTTACTATACATAAGACTTTCGCGTCGCGCATGTATCTTCCATAAGGCACAACTTTGCATACATTCAACATAATGAGTATCTCTCTCCAATTTCTATTCAGACTTTGGCAGGTTTTGAGGAAGTAGGAAGAGCGAAAGGAAAGGTTACATCGGCAAATAAAAGAAACCTAACCAAGACAAGATCGCAGTCAAGCCTTATAGCACGGTAACAAAACTATCAGGGGTAGCTTTAGTCACGAGAATGTACACAATCTGCCGCGTGAATATAACATATCGTTTATATAGACCCAACCCCAACCTTCTATTGTCCGGCTTTGTTTCTAGCTCCTGGAGAACATGTAACTAAGCCTGGTTTCCAAATAACAATGCCTCAACCCGTACACCTGACTTCCCTTATTCAACGAGATGCACACATGGCGCACTGGCGGAGAATACCAAAGTCAGTGTTCTGATACATCTCCATGTAGACTTCTGTCCCCTTGGCAATGTCCTTCACCCACTCGTCAAATATCTCGGGATTCTGGTCGATCTCGTTCTTGACACTCGACATCAACTCGTTGAACCATGGCGCCAAGGTAGAGTTTCCGGGACGGTGGTAGTATGCCAAGTTGTACGGAACGTTGCCCATATTCTTCGGCCACAACCTATCGATAATGAAGCGTACACGCGCGTAGCCAGCAGTGACAGATACCACTTGCGTCTGCAGATCGATTCTGGCATTCTCAACTGCATTCGGGTTCTCAAGAGCGTGTTGGCATTCTGTGACATAGTCCCAGATGAACTTCATAGCGCCTTGGAGGACGATACATGCTCGTTTCAGTGCCACTGCAAGGGGCCTAACCTCCGTGCCCATGGCCAGTTCAGCGTTGTGAGCTTTGATCTCGTCGTATCTCTTGTTGAGGTTGATGTGGTATTGAAAGAGAGCCTCAAGGAATGTACCGATATCCTGAGCTGATTTGGCTTTATCGTCGGTAACCATCTCAGTAATCCTGTTCAGTGCCGTCTGCGTGTCTGGGTCTGCGTGAGCTGTCAGACTCTCCAATCTGGCGTCCTTGATAAAGGTGTCGGAGTTCAGATTGGTCTTGATCCAACTGAGCACTCCCTGGCTGACATCGCGTTCTTGCTCGATGTTGATGTTGAGCTGTTCATTCTCGAATTCGAGTTCGGCGCATCTCTGTCGAAGCTCCTCAGTCTCGGTATGGTTCTTGTTGCTTGTGTCGAGGAGCCCTTCGAGAGCATCAATGAGTTGGGCATTTAGAGCATAGCATTGATCGAAAGTCTGCTTTTCGCCTTCCCTCACATGCTCCAGAATAGCAGCAGGAGAATGGGCCGGCATAGAAGCAGTAGTCATAAATCTCGAGCGCCGATGTTGATCGAGATTGAAGGAGAGAAGATGGAAGATAGGATGGCTTGGTATACACTGGAGTTGAGCAGAAGTAGGACCAGAAACCACATCATGTTAAATAGAATTGGACATCACGGGATTCGCGTTAATAGACGCTGACCTTGTCATCGTAAGATATCCTAGTGGTGTAAGGCTTTCGTAGCTTGAAACACGAATTGTATGTTTTAGACACTGTGCGAAACGCACATGTTGAGAGTAGGCATAACAGATGTGGCTTACTACCCGCCCCACTCTCGCTACTACGAACACCAGCGAGGAGGTCCGTGGGGCGAGTGGCCTTAAACTATTATCGAATTCCAAAGCTTGATGACTCGTGTCGACGTCTTGAGAATGTTGGTGGGGTTGCTGAGTTTGGTGTTGTCAGCGCCTGAGCGCAGGACTTCACCACCAATTTACACAGTTGGAACGCCAGAATCTGTAATGTAAGGCAGCAGAAAGAAGTGGAAATACATGCAAAAAAACACCAGATTCTTGTGCCTATTGCTCTCACATGACATCATGCACTCGACTGCAGGCGTCCCGGCGCGCAGGTTGACGAGGGCGCTAAAGATAGCGGGCTGTTGTGTACGCCGACGGTGTGGAAAATACACCAAAGTGAGCCAGATTGGCCATAACGCCGCTTGCCGGACAGGGGCCGAAGCGAGTGGGCAATCTTGCCTCCGGAGTTCTGGCCACTTAGCATCACGATGTCGCTTCCCCTATCTGGGAAAATATGCATCAAAAAGCGATGCTCGAGTTAACGTTACTATTCACGCTGTTGACCAAGCTTGTGGAAGTTTACAGAGATCCGCATTATTCCATCCAATGTAGTAGCTTTCTTCCAGACCTATCGCTCTCTGCTGATACTGAGTGTTATCCTCGTTCCGCGTGGTCCAGCTGTTACCTTGTCGTTCTCGTACTTATGTCTTTCCCATTAAGCATCTGAGCGTCCAATGTTCTTACACACAAACAATCTTCGCGAGACAAACCAACCAGGCTGGCCAGTGTCTTGCCAACCTCTACACTTTTGCAATACGTCTCTTACTATTCCAGAATTCCGGCTTTGCAAGCGATTCTCCCCACACAACAAGACAGTCGAGTGTTTCAAGTTCTTTTGAGCAGAAGACATGATGGGGTACACCACGACATGCCTTGTCTCTGATGTACTGCGCTGCGCAGCGCCAACGACAAAAGCTCAGATCTTCACCGGTGAATATCTGTGAAGGAACAAGGAAACGGCCGTTTCATGCCAGCCCTGCGCTCGCCGCCAACAGCACCTGGCACGTCGACCTGCGAATCGTGCGTGCACACTGCGAGACAGTTTGTGTGTCCAAGCTTGGATATGTTTCGCAACCACCAACGACCTGTTCTGGTTGATGGCCTATTTAGGCAATGTGAGGTATGAGCATACAATCGTCATACAACGGATGTTATCGATTGACTACAGTCTTGTGGCTTGCATAGCATTGACTTCACGTCTTTTCAATATTCATTTATCGTTTCTTGTACGCCCTTCAGCCACAGTCTGCTTGATGAACACTGGTACAGAAGCCTCTCCTGCACTTGGTCTTAGATCATCATTATCTGTCAATACGATCCCCGCCTCACGCTTGAAAGAAGAATTCACGCCAGAAAGAAGAATTCACGCCCACTATGGATATCAACGCCCTAACGTCAGGTAAATCGCCAGCTCCATACAGTGAAGTCTGGCACCAGGATGAGACCTCGCTGGCAGAAACGCCCAACTCCACCGCAACCTCTCAACTGTACAATTTCGACGAGGAGTTTGGCATGGCTACTGAAGCGCATTTGGCGAGTGCAAATACCGGCTGGCCGGGCAATCTCAACAACTGGGGGAATGAGCAGATTCAATCTACGGAAGTCACATCAGATACAGCTATATCCAGCATTGAGGATGTTGATCAGTTCTTCTCAGAAGAGGATATGCATGCGTCGTTGAATGGCGTTTACCGTCAAGACCTTGATCTGAACAATGTTGGAAAGAGCCATTCTCAGCATGCGTTTCAAGGCAATTCTCTCGGTCACATTCAACCGTCGACTTCCCACGCAGGCAACCATGATGTTCACGTCTTGCCCGATATGACCATCTCACAGAGTGATCACATCTGGCCGATTTTCAGCCCAGACATAATTCCCTCCCAGCACTCCAATGACTCAAGTCACTCCAATCACTTATCTACAACCCCGCCCGTCGCCGACAATGCGAGCTTAATCGACATCCTGATGCAGATCAGCGAAGAGGTGAGCATTCCCATCTGCATTACATGGCATGACGATACTAAAACATACGCTCAGGAACTCGAAGCCGCGCTCCAGAAAGTGCGGACTCGTGATCCAGGTAGTCTTCCCCGCAACATGACGGCCAAACTTCGCCGCCTAGCCCAAGCCTTCAAGCCGTCACGCGTATCGAAGAAACCAATTACGACCAAGGACAAGTCAAGCTCCTCATCCCCCTCGTCTTCGCCCTCCAGAAACAATACACCACGATGGTGGTCCCGCTTCCTCGACCTAACACCCAAGCACCTCACGTTCTCCAACGACCTGCGTAACATGATCGCTACGCCCGCACACGAGTTCCTCAACTACAGCACCCAAGTCCCAGTCGAAACGTCCGCCAAAGCTTCCTACCTCTCGACCTGCGTAATGAATATGCGCGCCTTGCGCACGGCCTCTACTTACCTCACGATCCTCTCTTATGCGCATTGCCTATTCTTCCACATCTTGTCCTTCGGCACGCTATCTGCATGGCACAGATCCCGCACTACTACTACCATTCCTCGCTTGCGCAATGATCGTGTTGCCAGCTTATACGACACGCTCGCCCTCCCCATCAGCGAGGACGAGTTCGCTGCTGAACTGCGCGAGTGGCGCCACATTGGGTCATGTCTGGCATTCTTTGCGCAACGCCTGGGACTGGGGTGTATTGTAGTGCTGAGCAGTCAGTTGGGCGATTTGAAGGGGTGTTCGAAGGGAGGCGAGAGCGTGTGTTGGGAGAGGCCATGGGGGGGTATCAGGCCAAGTGAGGGGGCTTTCGCGCATCTCGAGCGTATTGGCATGGGGAAGGGAGAGGAGGAGCAGGAGGCAGAGGATTTCATGCAGGATTTGCTGTTTCTGCTATTTTCGGGGGTGCCCGAGTTCTTCGAGGGGGAAGCCAATGCGAAGGGAGTCATGTTCGAGAGGATAGCTGGGTAGAGTGAACAGGAGGGAATGCATAGGGAGATACATTGTATACCTGGTCGTATAGTAGTCGCTGCCACTGCTCCATCACTAATTTCAGTACATACAAGATTGTATGTCTAGCAGTACCAACGCTTGAACTGAGATCCACCAACCACCCATGTGAGCCTTTACTCACTCCCATAGAATATCATCCCACCATATTCCAACTCGTCTACTCTCAAATCCCAAATTCGCCTCATAAATCTCATGGTCTTCAACTTGTTCGCTCTGCCACGCTCCCCGTAAGTGCGCCCAGCTTCGGAAAACAACTTTGTTTCGTGTCGCTACGTCCACAGGTTCTGGCGGGTTAACAGCGAAACGCGCTATCTATGTTTGCAGTGCGGTATGCCAGAATGTGTACTCTTGGAATGTCATAGCGTATAGATTTTTGGTGTTCAGTGGCTTAGTTGTCTGGCTGGTGCATCGGGTGCAGACGGCGGTGTTGAATTTGGAAATGCAGAAGTGCATAGCCGCCAAACAGGACGTCGCGAGGATGATAACAATGGCACCATTGCAAATGGCGGAGAGCATCGCTATATCAACAGGCACGATGGAGCTACTACGAGTGTGATCAGGACGGTTTTGGAGTTCAAGTAGAGTAAAGACTGTGAATGATGAGAAGTGTGGACTCAAGAGTTCAGTCTGAACGCCGAACATCAACCAGTAGAAGCTCCCTGAGGTTAAGAACCGTGCAGGGCGGACACAATGATGGGAATCATTGGAAGCCATATTAAGGAGGGAGATGGATCTGACAAACCTTGTCTTACGGTGCACTAAGTATATTTAACATGTGTATATTCGAGATAAGCACGCTTACGACCTTTGTAGAGAATTGATAGTAAGTCTGTGACCGTTTATCTTCACAGGCACTCTAGCCATTATGCCGTGGGATTAGCGCCTCAAATGAAAAGGCTCAACACTGGGACCTTACGGTACGACAAGAACAGGTGACCAATAATTAATAGTAATGGGCTCTACAGCCTGTCCTGTTCAAGTATTTAACGGCTGGTTAACATCAGCTTCAAGTTCGATATAATAATGGACCTAACGTGGTATTACTGAGTTACGCCTGAAAGCTCTCCACGTGTGGATTATATAGCGAGACAAGTGCGCATCGTAGGGCGGCCATTTCAAGATCACAGACAATATCGTCATGTCACAGATGAGGTCATGAAGAGGGTCGGAGAGGGCAGGACTAATACACAGAATCTGCTGGGAGACTCCATAACCCCTCAACAGCCCACGTTGATGTTGATAAACCATCTTGCCACCATCGAGCATCACTTGCTGGAAATGGTTTAAGTTCAACTGTATCGGTGTGGTAAGAAAAAAAGATGCCTTCGAGAGCCTGCAAGGTGTTTGTTAACTCCAAAACGCTTGCAATAACTGGCGAAACAGGTTCCTCTTCTCAATTGTATATCAGACGGTAGCCGATAACCGGGAGAGATGCAGTGATCTTGATCTATTAGGATGGACAGGGCACAACATCAAAGTAATGGGGGGGCAGGTAAGGAGCGGATGTTTACTGAAATGAGCGAGGTAGGAGCATTCTGCGTTCTTTGACTAGACAATAAAGATTGATGTTCCTCAAGACCAAATCGCAATGTACCGATAGGACGGAAGTGGTGTGTATTGTAGTGTTCGAAACACAACTGTACAGAGGCAAAGTAGTGCGAGGATGGGTCATCTTATGGTTTGAAGCAAGTGATCCTGGGAAGCTCGAATGCCAAAAGCCGAAGGTTTAAAGTATAACCGACTCCCATAGCTCTTTACAAAAAGTCAGGTACCATGGACAAGATAGTAGATTTCGCGAAGCCATGGGTAGTCAGCTCGCCAATAATGTGATAATGCGAGCGATAAGAATTTCGAACCACTCAAAAGCGAACAATGCCCTAGCCACCAGTGGGGAGAAGGGGTCGCAGCGAGCACGTTTTCAGCACGAGATTGTTTCTGTGGGATGACAAAGACATACCAAGAACAGGCATACTGGTGAAGTGGAGGTTGAATAGATTCCATTCGCAAACGAGTGTATAGGAGGTCTGCGCCGGCTAGGCTGTTTCGGTTAGGGAGGGTCTGATGCAGAATTCCGTGGAGACAGCCCATTATTTGCTAGGCGTAAGGAGGAGAGCCCTGATTTGGGACATGATAGTTTCGTTCTTGCTACAAGATGTCAAGAAGCGGGGATAAAAGGACAACGCGTGGGTTATTTACAAATTCTTCGGGTGAGAAGCGCTATGAGGATATAGAGGGCGCAGATGTGGACGCCATATTAATTACCAAGATAAAGTGTAGTGTTGTGATGACGCAGACAAAAACTGAAGCTTTGTATTTGGCGAGTGAGATATTGTGTTGTAGCATGTGTGCTCAATGGAAATGTTCTCCAAAGCGACGAATTGGTATTAAGACTTTTGATCCTCACGGCAGGGAAAGCACTGTTGTCATTGCCTATCTCTGATGTTGGATATTTCTGTAAGTCATACCATTATATCGGAAGCAACCAGCAATGCGCAAAACTCGAACATGTCAGTCTTTGCATGTCGTAATGTGCTTCGGTCGTAGCATTCCTGGACAATTAAAGCCAATTCTGAGGCATCAGAGAGTATGCCTTTCACGAGTGGCTGGGCAAGACCTTCTCCGCCAATAGTAGAAGTGGTGGAGTCAATTGGATGAAATGTAACGCCGTGCACGCGAACGAGGGGACAGGAATTCAAATTATCGCTGGGCTGGTTCTAAGCTAACGAAACAGAAGTCTGTACACAGGTCAATACAAGTTACAAGATAAGATAAAGGTGTATACCAATTCCTGGATGCAAAGATAGAATGTAGCGCAATCAATCTGGGCCTTACGTAATAGAAACAGTAAGTCAGGAAATTAGTTTAAGTTGGTGGAGTTGTTTCCAAATGGCGGTCCGAATATATCAGCGAGAAGTGGAGCTGCTAGCTCCAGTGCTGGAGCTAAGGAACCGTTTCGACACATCCCGCTTCCTGATTCGTACGATTCTCCATTTTGATGTTTACGGCGGAAGGAGGAGCTGATTGACGCAGATGGAATTCAAGATAACATTTCAGAACACAAGAAGACTGCGGTTGTCAGCGTTGAAACCAAAGGTGTAAGTTGTACCCTGGATGCTTACCATCTTGTACCAATAACCTCAGAACGTGCGGATTACGAGGACATCCCGCTATGTGGCATGATAGTGCAGACAAATACCAGTCTTTAATCGGCAAAGCCTTCAGGAGACATCGCCGTGAAGATAGTTACGGCAGGTTTGAGACGACCTGAAACCTGCAAGTCATTGAGTGCCCTGGCAGCGTCAACGTAAAAGAAGGCGTGATCGTAGCTTAAAGCGGAGGCGCTGTAGACTTACTATATCGGGACGGTGATCTTGTTATAGATTCAAGGTGGACCATCAATCAACCCTTGTCGACAACAACTGAGCCCGGAAATCGAGGCGTGAAGCAACGACCAAGCAGAACAGGGGTACAAAGGCATTGCCACCAAGCAGAACCATCAGCAGATGGTGAGAAGCATGATCAAAGCCGTTCACATCTGCAAGTAAGTGCACTCTCGAATGAGAGACGTTAAAATTCAACAACACGCAGGAAACCCGGACACATCCACAACTCCCGTGTTCCTTCCTTCCCCGCACCCTCCACTTGAGGCCTCCACCCCTGCCACCACATGCCCCTCAAGGGCTAGCCGCGGAAATGTGGCGGTGGTATCACGATAACCATGCCGAGGTGGACTCTCATCTTCGGCCCTGGCTTAGACAAGTGGTATAGATATGAAATGGCGATACTGTGAGGTGGGCGAATCAAAAGCCGACGAAAGACTTGTACGAGCTGTGGAGCTAGCAGAACGTTGTTTCAAAGAAAGAGTGACGATATTGGCAGGTAATAACGTAGTCGCGGAGGATATAATCGGAAACTAGGCAACATGGTATCGCGAAACCCGTCGATACACGCGAGAAAAAGCAGACTTGAAATGCTTCAGGCGAGCCAGGGCAAGCTTTTCTTGAGTATGCGAAAGGCCGGCCACCAAAAGCATCGTGAACGTGACATAGTGATTTGACATCCTTGGAGTGTATGCCACATAGATGGCTCGGTTGTTGATCGGCAAGATGGGAGTGTGCGTAATGGAACCAAGGAGGTCGTGTCTAGAAGATCAAGCAGCACAGTATCGCGAAGTAGAACGGCGTTGGTAAGATAACGGTTGCTTCCGAAGCAAACCAGGCTTAATAAGACATCTTCTAGGTAATTCAAAAATCGAATACTAGAGAAAAGAGATAGATAATATAAAGACTCCAAAAGTTGCAACTTCAATTAAGTTGTACTGGATAATAATAGCAAGAGGTTTAACGAAACGAATTTAGTAGCTTAACAAGGCAGTAGGATTTAGGGAAGGTAATAAGATATTTAAGAAGACGTTTAGACGTTTAATAATAGCAGTAAGGTATTAATAATATTAGTAAATTATCTAATTATACCGGTAATAGTAACTAGTAGAAAGAGTTTAGAGTAAAAATAAGTTTAACTAATAAAGCCTATAAGACCTACGTTATAATTCCTAAATATAACTATAGAAAAAGCCTCTCTGTAGGCAAAATCCTGCTATAGCGCCTTTAAGGAAGTTATATAACACTTTAGGATAACTAACCTAATACTAATAATAATATATATAAAATATTAAAATACTTCTTGCTAGTAGTTAAACTTCTATACGTTATTATATATATATATTATTTATTCTCTAATATACCTTATTAGCAGTCTTTACTAGGCAAAGAAAATCTATATACTAAGATTACTAATACACCTTAATAGTAGTTCTTACTTAGTAATCCTGTCTTATTTTAAGCCCCTTTAACGTACTATATTAATAGTCTTTACTATACTCTATATCTCTACTACCTACTTCTCTAACGTATATTAAGGATTATCTTTACTACAAAATGTATAAGAGTCTATTACTCTGCTAAGGTGCCTTTCTAGATACCTTTACCTAGTAAGCCTCTTTAAAATACTCTTTCTTAATATACCTTAAAAAGTACCTTTAGCTAATAATAACTCTTGTGTACTTCTCTAATATACCTTATTAATAGTCTTAACCTTATAAACTTCTCTAATAGCTCCTCTACTAATATACTTTAATAGTAGTTTTTATTAATTATACTTCTAGAATACTTCTCCTCTAATCTACTTTATAATAGTCTTTTCTATAAAATAACTCTATATATATTTAAGATAAAGTTAGTTTATTATAATATAGTAACTGTAATAGTAAGTATAGTAATAGTAAGATTAATCTAGTAGTAATTAAAAGTAAAATAGTAAATATTAATACTAGTAGAGTACTCTTAGTTATTAAGGCTAGTAATAGATAATAGTATTAATAATATTATAATAGAAGAATAACTATTAGATAGACTAGTTCTCTAGTATAACTAGCCTAATAGTAATACTATTATAAGGCTTAGTAGATAAAGTTAAGAGTAGAATATACTAAACGTTAAAGGTATATACTAGGTATATAAGTTTAGTAATAGAACGCGTTATATAGTATAATATATAAGAGTCTAGTATTACTAGAAGTAGAT